GCATATTCACACCCGGCTGACAATTTCGGAGCGTATCTTTCGGCGCGTAAACACAAAAAAAGAAAGAAAGAGAAGCATACAACACACACCGAACACACAGAATGTAGCAGTAGAAAACAAAAAGAAGATACGATCTGCGAGGAATAAAGAGCAGATTAATGTTAACGAGCACGCGCGCACCTCTCGCGAAGGGGATTTAAGGTGTCTCCATGTTCTCTCACATTCGTCTCGTAATGAGCGAGCGCCTAATACGCCGATTATTCCCCTCTTTTTGAAAGGAGCAATTAAAATCCTCATTGTAAGAGACGCTGTTGCGCTCGTTATATACTTTACTCTCATTACCCGCTCGTCGGATTGTGCGTGTCGCAGCGAGATCTAACATTGTATCGTGCGTACGCGAGCGAGCGCGCGCGCGCGCCAACTATCGCATCCCGAGCGGGTTCGCGAGGCGCGTTTCTGTTCCTACGCGTTACACTCAGGCGACGCTGGTGGGAACCCTTGACAGACGCGGGTGCGAAACACGTGTGAACACTCTCCGAGAGAGGATTAACGGGCGGATGCTGCACTTAATAATTTGCCAATTGTTTCTGCATCGCAGCGCGCCGTTAACCGGTAAATGTTCGCGCGTATCGCCGTAACCCATTTGCAATACGGTCGACGTTGACTTTTTCCCTGACCGTCACGCGTATATTTTTTGTCGGTTCCGACGCGTAGCTGAATGGACGACTCGGCTCTGTCGAATTGAAGCTCTCTCGACGGGATCGATCGTTTTCACGTTTTCGTCGACAAAACTGTCCCGAGAGAGCTGACGTTTCTATGTAATTAATTTTTCGATGATAATTCGACGTTTTCGCGCTATCGAGCTCGTTTCTCGCTTGAAGCGTACGCGCGATGTCTACCTATTCAACGATCTTGATCCATTCACCGGGGGTCCCCGGGGAACACATCGTACATCGAACGTTACTCAGGCTAGGAATGCGGAAGGGAAAGAATTCACGAGGTTTCGTTGATTTAGCACGGCGCGAAGTTGGGGAAACGCGACGGACGAGAAGCCGCATTCTCGTGTGACGACAGCACGCATTTCAGCACCGTCTCGGCTTTTCAAACGCAGACTTTACTTTTCTCGTGTCCGAGGAGAAAAGCGCGTCGCCACGCGACGATACTTCGTGTCATTTTGCGCGCTCGTAGATGAGGGGCGAATTTTTCGACGCGGTTTTTCAAGGTAAATTTCTCCCTTGACCATCCGATCCTTTGACAATTTTTCTTTCTTTTCGGCGTTTGACCAGCGGGTTAAGTGGGTTATCGGGTTTACTCGGGACGCGCGATTCTCCATTCGGGGAAAGTTAAATTCGGAACTGGAATAATAAATGTCGTTTCACTCGGCACGGAGATAAAAGAAAGCGCATTTGTTCGAGCGGAATTTACAGTACGGTCCTCTCTCTCTCCCTCCCTCCCTCCCTCCCTCTCTCTCTCTTTCTCTCTCACACACTGTCTCTCAATAAAATGATACCGGTCGCTCTGAATGAGAGATATTAATACCAGACGATTTGAGAAGGAAGCGTTTCTTGGAAAGCACACATGTCTGTGAGCGGAATGAAACTGTTTAACTTGACCAATTGATCACGACCATTCCACTCGTTATTTATAGCTATCTTGGTAATGATTAGTTCAATAGGAACTTCCTCCGTATTACCTGTGACCTCTCTCTTCCCTTCTCTTCTCTCTCTCTCTCTCTTTTCTTCCAATTCTACCATTTCACAATCGGGATCGTTCATTGTGAAAATGCGCCACATTGTCACGCGATTGTTATGGCGCGCATTTGCGGCGTATACAACTGTAAAAAATCCACCGTAAGAAAGCCACGCGAGCGAACGAAAAAAAGGATTGACGACCGAGTGGAAAATTTGCCGATAGAATTGTTAAAAATAAAAGAGATAAGATTGTTGTGTTAGATTATAGTTTCATCGAGATCTTCCCTCTCTCTCTCTCTCTCTCTCTGAAACATGGATAGAAAGAGAAAGAGAGTGGCTCACTCAACGGTACAATGTGTTAGAGGCACGAAAAGCACGCCTCTGTTTAATACAGAGGCATCAGTAATAGAGAGAATCAGTTGCGCGCGTTGCCGCTCCCTCCTGAAGGAAAGTGTTATGTTCAACAGATGTCGGGATAACGACTCGCAAGGGTAGGCAAGAGCGACAATGCAGACGTAAGACAAACGTGTCCACGAGGGCTGATAACCAGACGAAAGATCGCCGACGGAATTCTATTAGAGTTTCAACCGTGGAAAATGTCTGTCTTGTCCGTGTTATCGTCGAGAAAAAGAAAGCAAATAAGTGAAATAAGCGCGCAACATTTTTTCAGTCCATATCTCTTCGACACGGCCAAGAGGAAAGGGAAGAGAATTCGATGATCGTTCGATGCGATCGACCGGTGCTGCTACACAAATCCGTTCTCGTTCGTTCTTAATAAACAAGATCCGCGAGAGTTTGGATTATTAGTCGCGTCGGTTACGATGCAGCTGCAAGCGTTTTGTATCGATTACAGTTCGCCGGCGATGCCGGGAACCCGTTAACCCGCTGTTCCTATAAGCCGATGATGAAGATATAAAAGCGCAACGACGAGTGAAGCCTCAATTGACCATTATCCCGATCATTAGCGATGATTTTCGCTCACAATATCGTCCTAATGAATCGCGATAATTAAGCGCGAGCGCCGACGGCAATGCGCAGTCTCACTCTTTCTCCCTCGGTGGGAAGAATTTCAACTTTCGCGCGAGAAAGCGCGAGTATCGCGAGAGCAGCGGCAACACAATCGATCGTCGCGGCGACGATCGACTCGTATCGCGAGGCTGATCGCGTCGATCGACCTGATCGACTGTTACCGACGGCGACGACGGTGGGAAAGAACGATCCGAAATCCGACTCGCGAGCGAGCGAGCGATTATTCACCGTTCGCGGTTTCTCGGCGTCGAAACGAGCGCAGCCGTAACGATACCGCGGGATAGCACGGAACTTTCGTATAGATCGTTTTCCTGCCGTCTGGAACGGGATGCCCCGCTTTCTATATCAATAAAATCGCGCAGCGGAAAGAAACGACCCAGCGCTTCCCGCGTCAAGAGCGGCGCGTCTCTGCATACCGCGAAGAGATATTATTTCGTATATTCCCTCGAATATCGAATTGGCACAACTGGCGCGCAAAAATCGCGCCGAGGATTTCCCGCGGGACGATTCGCGACGAGAACCTCGAGCGAACACGCGGAAATATCACGCGCGATCCGTGGAATACAGAAATCGTCCGATTCAAAGCGCACATTTCTCGAGAGGCGAGATTTTACGTAAATATCCCACAATTTCACTACGAATTCACTACGAAATTTCGAACGACGGAAATATTACGCGATTCCGTTACCGATTCCGCTGCTCTCCTTAGCTTGGAAACCCCGTCTGACAGAACGCTGAATCATTCTTATTAATACTCTCGCATATTCGCCCCTTAATTACGCCTAGATACCACTACTCACGGTCGTAACCACGCTCGGCAGAATTCCATCATACATTTTTATCGGTGTAATAAACGTTCGCTCCCTCGCTCTTTTACCGGCGAACGAGTTCACGAGCGAATTTACGGAATGCAACGCACGGCTTTTCTCTCACCGGGGTACGCCTAGGTCGAATGCACCACTGCTCCGAAAGTTGACAGCGGCCGCCATTTTGAAGCGGTTTGCGAAGGCCGTCTTTATGCACGCATTTTTGTACGTCGCATATATGATAATTACGGCGTGGCGTCGCGATGCGCGTTCAAGCACGTGTCATTTTCTTTCTACGTGTCGGGTACATTCATCTACGTATAAATAACGCACGAAGTGCATAGTCGTTCGAGAGAGTGTTTGCTTACAAAAAAAGAGACAGTTTGTTTAACCGGCAACACGGACACTTTGAGCGGCAGTCGAGTCGAGGTTCGAACACGAAAAAAATGACACGCACGTAAACGATAGGAAATGCCTGAAAATCGTAGCTGAGATGCGCCGACATCGGATTTAAGGCACTCGAATAATTAGACGAATAAATAAATGAAAGCGCACCTCGAGAACGCATCGGGAAAGTAGGAACGCGTTGCTGCGCGCTGTACGAACGCGCTCCCTTCATCCACACCCTGATTCCTGCCGAATGAAATGCCGTGCCGTGTTCGTTGCATCTCGGGAAACCCGGCGGACCGCACAAATCACCGCCGAGTCGCATCGATACGCGAAATGCTCCGTGCAGCCTCCGACGATTAGCCGATCATCATCACCACTATCATCACTAATGGTAGACGACGCGATAGAGTTCGTGACGTTTTGTGAAACGGTGCATATCGATAGATCGATACCGCGAACGAGCGAAGTCGGCTGTATCTCTTAGGTTATTCTTCGATCACGGCGAGACATAATTTTCGTCCATTTGCAGTAGAGAAAATCGAAGTAACCGCGATCTCGATCGTCGACGGCAAACCAGTGTCGTTCCGCGCGAGCAAGGTTAATTCTAGTCAAAACGTGCGTTCTCTCTCTCTCTTTCTCTCTTGGCGTCATTAGCACCTCAATATTCCAAAATACCGACATGAGGAGGTAAGCGCGCGCCAAGCTTGCACTGTGCGTCCAACTTTCTCGCAAGAACAAATAGAAGATCCAAGTCATACGCGACAAACGCATAACTCGCGCAACTTGGAGTGCGAAAACGCGCAACTCGCGTTCCCGCATTCCAAGATAATAATAATTCCGAATACTTTCAAGTCGAAGTGATCGAACCGTGACGCGACGGAGTGACCAGTATTCGTTCGCGACACAGCGTAAAGGAAATCGATCCTCCCTCGCCGCCGGGTTACAGACCGACAGACACGCACGTCCGTGAGAAAAAAGGCAACGAGAAGACACGCTCGGTGACGTATTCGGTAGCTTGGCGAAAGGGGGGAAAAAGAAGAGGGGAAAAAAAGAACCAAAGGATAAAACGCTCTCGCCCCCTTACCTCATATTTGATGCCGTTGAGTCGCAACCATGTCTCCACCTTGAGACCGTATGGTGACAGAGACGGTAGCAGCGGAGTACGCGGGAACTGATACAAGTAAACAACATCCTTCTCGTAGTCCGGGTGGTGCACGGTGCTGGCCTTCGCCGGCGCCGCGTTCGTGCCGCCCGCAGCGGCCGCGGCGGCGGCGGCGGCGTCGTCGTCCTTCTTGCCGACCGCCTCGTCCTTCTTGGCCGTGTCCTTCTCCTCCTGCTTGTTATCCGGCGGCGCGTCGTCCTTCAGCGCCTCTTTCATCTCCTTCACGTCCTTGATTTCCTTGCTCTCGGGCCCGTTGTTCTCCGTCTCGGTTGCCATCGTCATTCTTGCTGCTGCTGCGTTTTTCTTCCTTTTTTTCTTTTCTCTCTACCTTTCTCTCTTGCTCGCTTTCTCTTTCTTTATTTCTTTCTTCCTTCTTTCTCTTTCTCTCTCTCTCTCTCTTCTCGCTTTCTTTTTCTCTTCCTCTTTCTGTCTCTTTATTCGCGATTTTACTCCACTCCGAGTACCACTCTCTTGTCGCGTAGCAGACGCTTTCCCTCTTGTTCGTTCGCGCTGCGATGACCTGTTCTTGTAAAAGCGTACACTCCGCTGGAGCCTGTCTCGACGGGTAGCGCGCACACAACACAAACCGTACGCCAAGCACTACTCGTCGCCTCTTTCTGCTCGCCGGCCGGTTCCTTCTCGTCGTTTCCTCTTCGCTTGCGGTTCCTACCTTCCCCCTCTCATCTATGTGTCTCTCCGATCGCCGCTCTTCCCTTTCTCCTACCGCGACGGCCGCGCGCATGCGTAAGCGCCACACCCCACCGTGGTCGCCATGTTTAATTGGTTGGCCACCCCTGCCCTGTACGCGTTCGCTCGCTCGCTCCTCGCGCACGCAATCTTTCTCTTTTCCCGTGCGTATGTATCGGGGGAAGAGGTTCGTGAAAATCGGCAACGCCGCCGCCATAGCGGCTTTCTAGCAATGGCTTTGAGCAATGCTGAAAAAGGGCATCGACGGCTCGTAGCTTGTAGCAGGAAGGCAACACGTTGGAGCGAATGACCGTTGTCACAGATATCCTGTTCCTGGTCGAACATTTATTAAAAAAAAAAAAAACGTTCGGCTACCTTTTCTGTGGTCGCGTTCGTAAGATCTGTTGGTTTCATCGAGCGGACTTTGGAAGATCATTCCCAATGCATACATGCAGCGGCGGGATGCAGCGATAGTCGAAAATCGGATCGGTCCCGTCGCTTGCGCGTCCCGGGCGACTACTACGCTGCGCACGCGCGTGCGCGGCGCGGCACTACGCAGGGCTGCACTGCGCAGCGCGTTGCACACGTTGAAAACGCGGCAACGCCGTGCAGTCAAGCGACGCAACAACGAACCCCTTTTCACGGATTACTTTTCTCCACTCTCCCGTGGCCGATGGACTCTATTTGGAAAACTACTTGCTGAAACTTGCGCCATCCATGAAGCGCAGCAAGCTCGACCCGACTTGCACCCGATATTCCCGTCTCATGTATGTGCTTCTCCATTTCACTCCATTTTCTCTTTTTCTCTCCTCTCTCTCTCTCTCCCCCCCCTCCCTCCTTTCCCCTCTCTCTGCTTCTCTTGTTCTTGCTCTCTTTTTATTTTTCTTCACCACCACCATCACCACCACTAGCATTACCCGGCTAGAATATTGTTTCGAGATCGTTAAACCTAGAGGTGGAATTACACCCTCGTACGCGGCGCGTTGCTTCACCTCGGAATTATCGATAGACCGAGAGACACGGTGGACACACGAGCGCACGATCGATAGACGCGCGCGACACCCTTCCGATGGGACATTTAAACCCTTTGCGGTCTCACACGAAGGTAGGCTGGACACAAAGCCTCTCTTCCTGTGAAATACACAGGTCTGGTATATTTCGCTAGTGAACTTGCCCAAGAGCGATGAAACGATTTTTTCCGAAACGATCTCGAGATCATTCTGCACTAACGGTAATGAACGGACGTACCGTTAATGCTAATGGCGGCGACGTTAACGTGGCGTTGAGAAACCAGAAACGGAATATTTAACGCAAAGTCATCCGCTCAATTTGTCGCCGTGTCGTCAAGGGTGAAAGCGCGCGTATGTAAACGCTGCAAGATATTTTCGACCCAATATTCATGATGCTGCGGACCGACCGACCGCTCGCGGCCGGCGGCGATCGCGTACGTCATGGGCGGCAAAAGGATCGATATGGGTGATGATTCCGGGTAACTGTGACGTGCGATAATTAATCAGTTACCTTTGGGCGTTACGTTATATCGGACCGTGCTCGCGCAATCAAGCATTGCTTGGTATGAGTTGAATATGGAATATTATTACAGCGGACTGGGGCGAAATGAATTTTCTCGAATAATGAAAATCTCGGATGAAACCTGCGGCGCGCGGCGGAGGAGAACCATTGATGAGTAACGTTGTTTCAGAGCTAACTTCTATCCCATTAAAGCGAATAATTCCACTCGACATTGGATATTATGTTTAGTGTTTTCATCAAAACACACAGTTGGTCAACTCGTGCATTTTACGCGTGTACATTTTATGTGTATTCAACGTACAATTCTATCTCGTAACAAAGAAATAGAAACGCGAGAGGCGGCAGTGTAATTGTTTAACAATTCATGATTGTCTATTTTGTAACATGAAATATTATTTATCCAAATTACCGGGAATTATATATGCTACTTTTGTTTATACGTTCATATATATACGATATTACCGTCTGTCGTGTTTTGAAAGCAAATTAACGTTAAATTACCCAGTCGCCCGTGCCTCGAATTTGCAATAAATTGTACGCGCGAGAGAATCGTATAAAAAAAATTAAATTAAAAACGTCGATAATACGATTATATCATTATATGAAATATTGGCAATCTCGAATGGGGGAAGCGGAGCGTGGAGAAAAGACCAATGGTCGCGACATACCATATGGTATGTCGTGATGTGAAATTAAAATGTTGCGAGTTACATACAAGCTTTTTCTCTCGCACGACGACAACAGTTGAAAAATCGATCCGTCTAAATGGGGCTTAAGGGTGCACCTTCTGCTTCTCTTTTTCCCTCTTTACCGGTAGTGCCGGTGGTGCGAAAAGCAACGATATCGATCTGAATGAAACATGTTATCAGAAAAAGCACCCACGTGGAAAATCTTACGATGCGTTTGTGCATTATTCATCGTTCAAGAGTTTTTTTCAAACTCCGCGTGCATTCTGTACGTCCATCCCGCTTTTACGTTGAATAACCATTTAACCTGTTTCAACCCGGTGTATTTGATCGAAAATACTCCCTTCCCCCTCGAGGTATCTTCCATCCACAGCGATTTCGATATTTCCCTATCGCTGTACATTTTTCGCGAAACATTTTACTGAAATAATTAGCCATAACGTTGGAATCAGAATGCTTATAACGTGGAATTGTTTCGAACAATTCACATAATCGTTTCACTTTATTTTCATAATTTCACGATAATAATGAAATTATATAATAAGAATTTTAAATAAGAAAGAGGAAAATAAGAAATAAGAAAGATTATTAAAACGTTGCGCTGGCGTGAAACTGGTAATCGCTTTACAAAATTGACTTACTTGATATCATCTTGAAGTTTACGAAGTCAACGTATAACGTTCGTGTTTCAACAAGTTAGGGAACGTGTTTTATTTGAAATTATAAACGAACTTAATGTGAGGAGAATATATATTTCATTGTTCCTCTTTCTCTCCCATTTCGTGCGCTGGAATAACGTAATGTGCGAGCTGTGACAAATTAGATACGTAACGAGCCAAGTGCGTAGTATTAACGTGAATTGTTTATTTACGATCTGTTTTACGGGTCTTATTATTAGTCACTGTAAACTATACACGTATACTTTTGGGCATGTAAGTAGAGACGCACGAATGCCTGGGGATAATCCCTTACGTAAAAACCATAGCGACCTTTTGTTCGTGCGGGTTCACGCAGGTATCGCCGAGAGGGACAAAAAGAGAAAATTTTAGGTTGTACTTTGATGCTTACTCGACAGAATCGAAAAATAATATTTCCCCGAATGTTTCTATATCTTGTCATTTCGCGGGAAGTGAAATATTATGATGAAAAAAACAAAAGGTAAAATAAAATACCGCGTATTTTCAATCTCCGCAGAGAAGTTGATTGAATAAAAATTTGACTTTTGTAAAATGCGTTTTTACCATTCTCGTGCGAGAATCGCCTTATAAAATATGAAAATTCTAGGAAAATCAAACGTTCCTGCTTTTATTCCTTGAATTCGAGTTATTATCAATTGATCTTAGATGGAGAGGGAAAAGAATACGATGTTGAGACGTCGTTATGAGCTCCATTTCCATGAAATGTCATAAAAAAAATTAATATCAAGGTAACAAGGAATATGGAGGAAATCGTGAGTCGTGCTTGTACACGTTGTATACGTTCGCAAGCGCGATTGTCGATGCGAATAACTTAACGGATTAATTACCGTCGATATACATTCAGACGCGCACATACACACATGCACACATAAACTTGCGCGAGGAAGGTTAAAGATAACACACGTGGCTTCTTTGCGATCATCGCGATAAAAGTCGTTCGGTCCTCCGCGCGGGATAAAATGGGATATCGTTTTCCTCGTTCGATCCAATTAATCGACCCTTCGCGGTCGTGTCAGATCCACACACACCGGCTGTCGTCGTACCGCGCGCTGACTCACTCGGAAAATATGTACCATTCGCACGCGCTACTTCCCTCCGATTACGAGCATTATGTCGTTGTTGAAGATCGCACCGTGTGTCTATATAATACGCATTCGCAATGATTGGTTGGATGGTATGAAAAAAGCCGCTCGTACGAAGGGCAATCGAGGTATTTGGATGAGCAAGAGAGGAGGAAGACTTCCTTTAATACGTATGCAAGATACTTTACCGCGTCACTTCTTCAACGACGGACTTCTCGTCGTACCGACGAGATACAAAGTGTTATTCTTTCCCAACGGGAAAAAGAAGAGAGGAGAACCATCGAGATACGCTTATCGTTTTTGCTTCGTAAACGATTAAATAAAGAGAGAAACGCGAAGGGAAATTATATAGTGCAGCTATTTTCGAGTGGAATTTTCGTCCTGATGAAACTCGGGCTCAAAGTTTGAGTAACATTAAGAGATCGGACAGCTGCGGGAAGAGAAAAAGAAAAAAGCGAAAGAAGAGCAACACATTCGATCGCAAAAAAATTTCGACATTTTCGCCGGGAAGAATCAATGACGAATTACTCCAGGGGGAGTACTTACAGGGGGAGGGGGGGGATAGGGATGTGCCGTTGCACAAAATAACGCGGCAAAAGTGGGGCACTCTGTGTCGGTATCGTTGGTGCAGCGGAATAAGAGTTGCGATCTCGCGGAGTCGGCTCGATACACGCCGATTAACCGTGGCTTTCGCACGTTGTCACGCAATAACGCATCGACGTGGACTATTTCATCTATTACAGCGTCGTCACACGAACGCGCGTAACGTCTCGTCGTCACGCGATGCAACGCGAAGAGAGAGCCATTAATAGACCGCTCTCACTTTATCTCTCTCTTTCTCTCTCTCTCTCTCTCTCTCTCTCTCTCTCTCTCTCTCTCTCCTCTCTGGATGCCGGTAAAACGCCGATAAAACGCCGTGGAATACGCCGTCGATGACAAATCGGTCCGGCCACGGTATTAATCGACCCTCGCGCTTCGGCGAGATACGCGGTCAGCAGAAGAGGAGGTCTTCTTCGATGACCTTCCACACGCTGCAATAGGAACGAACGCACGCTCTGCACATCTTGCCCACGGTACGGCGTACCCGCCGATCGAACGTGCTGGTTTCCGCAGGGAAACGTGCGCTAAATTATTAATGCTATGGCGCGACGCATTGTAACTCCTACATTTGCGTTCTTCGACCAGTCCGATAATAACGGTGCATTATATATCTCCCGACGTACAAAACTTGCATATATATATATTTTTTTTGGGCATACTTGACCGATATGATGGAACGATAAAATTATAATGGCAAAAATTGCTACTTACAGCTACTTATCTTGTCCGACAATGTTAAAATGTAGAAATTCCACGACGATCGTATCGAATTGAATGAAGAGAGAAAGAGAAAGAGAAAGAGAGGGAGAAATGCACGATTTTTTCCGTACAGATTTCACTGCAAAAATACACGAGGGATTGCGAATGATATATCTTCACGAGTGATATAGTTCGCGCGGCTTAATCGCGCGGCTTTATCGATATCGTAGGATGCAATCGTGTTCGCTGGTTTATTCATAATCGCGCTTTTATCAATATACGGTCAATGATTTAAAGCTTAATGGAACGAATTCGTATTTCTGGTGTTCTAGATCCAGCGAGTAAAATTCGTTAAATCATAATTCGTCGATAAATTCTATATATATCTTTCCTGTGTTGACGATTCAATTGATTTTTATCATCTACCTGACGGGATATCCTGATGAGATTAATAATCTTAAGATAACGACATTAAATTATCGTTGAAACTAGATTCCTTTGAATCAATCGACGAACAATGTGATTGCATTACAATTTCATTAACGTCGTAATAGTCTCGAAACTTAATTCGCTTAAATGTACCTTTTGTAGACAGAAAGAGAGAGAGAGAGAGAGAGAGAGAGAGAGAGAGAGAGAGAGAGAGAGAGGCAGAGAGAGAGAGAGGCAGAGAGAGAGAGAGAGAGAGAGAGAGAGAGAGAGAGAGAGAGACAGAGAGAGAGAGAGAGAGAGAGAGAGAGACAGAGAGAGAGAGAGAGAGAGACAGAGACAGAGACAGAGAGAGAGAGAGAGAGAGAGAGAGAGAGAGAGAGAGAGAGACAGAGAGAGAGAGAGAGAGAGAAAGAGAGAGAGAGAGAGAGAGAGGGAGGGAGGGGGAAGAGAGAGAGTTACAATTGTGAGTAGTTTCACAACTATCGGAGAGAAAGCCGTAACGTCAAAACAATTGTCGTGCTAATTAATTCGACCTCCGCTATTTGGAGCTGAAAGATAACTCGGTAGGTCTAGAACAACTTATACGAATTCAATGGTGCAGAAACTACTGATATCTATTACGATCACACTACACCGGCTCACCGCAGTTATTTTACGATACTAAAAATGATCGCTGCGCTAAATGATTAAATCGACGGTGCGATTAAACGCGCAGCGAGATCAGGAAAAATGCCGTGAAAGCTTTTCCTTAAAATCAATATGCAAATATAGTTGTCACTTTTTTTATCTTCGGTCTTGCACATTTATTCTTTTCGTCGTGCTACTTTACAGTTACATTGCTTGACACATCGTGAAACAGTCAGTATCGCGCACTCGCGTTGTCTACGCAGTTCTTGTTCTTAATGGATATTGGAATTTTGGAACCTCTCTCATAATGGGACGCCGCTAGCGCGCGAGATACGCTCGAGAATCGCGCGAGCAAAAAATCTTTCGCGATTGCAAAAATTCGCTGTGAAGCACATTGCAATTGCAACGCACTATAATGAATAATACGAAATATGATTTTTGCGACGGCGTCGTGTATCATCGCCGTGTATGTGTGTGTGTTTGTTTGTGTGTATGTGTGTGTGTTTGTTTGTGTGTATGTGTGTGTGTGTGTGTGTGTGTGTGTGTGTGTGTGTGTGTCTGTATGTGTGTATATGTTCGATAAATATGATACACGCTCATGCTAAAATCTTGCACACATGCATACGTGAAAGCGAGGAGAGCCGCCATCGAAAGTGACGCGTGTTTCTTTACCGACGCACACACGAGATTCGCGAGACGAACCAACGAGTTGAATGTTAATCAATACCAATTATTAACGCAACACAGAAGAAAAAGGATGTAACGATTTAGGCCAAGCGAAAGAGACGTGTTGCAAGTAGGCTGCGGTGACTCGCTGCGAAAGAAAGTAGTATAATAAGGCGTCGTGTTATGTGCTCGTGTCGCGAATTACTTACATTGGAAATAATTATCCTAATCGCTGTAAGAAACGAGTTTATGCGAACGCTAATTTTTCAACACTAGTACTTCCGATTATCTCTCGTTCGGTTTCGGTTTCGGTTTCAGCAACGATCCGAAATCGTTAAGCTGATGAAGAAAAAAGAACGGCTTCTCTCACCGCCTTTGTTTCGGGATATCAGATTGCGGACTTTCTTCTCTCTATATTACGGTATCGCGAGAAATTTATTTTCAAACTAATTAACTAATTAGATTCACGTTTGTGCTGTGTGCAAATTGCACGTGTCGTCCGTAAAAAGTAATCTTTTTTATTCTTTTTCTTTTATAAGAAATTCGATAGGTATATTACAAATGATATACATATAGAGGGCAACAATAATAAAGAATTTCAATATACTCTCCCCTATTCTCGAGAATATAGTGAGTTTTAAACTTTAAATAGTCAAATTTCGATTAGAATAACGCACGCGATACTTATGTATACATATGAGTATCATGACGTGTGTGTATGTATGTATATGCGCGCGCGCGCACTACACACAGATGCACGCACGCACGCACATATACACATACGTACGCGCGCGCGCGCGCACGCACACACACATACACACACACACGCGCGTGCACACACACGCACGCACGCACGTACGCACGCGCGCACACACGCACGCACGCACGCACGCACGCACGCACACACACACACACACACATACACACACACACGCGCGCGCGCGCGCGCGCGCACGCACGCACGCACGCATGCACGCACGCACGCATACACACACACACACACGCACGCACGCACGCACGCACGCACGGACGCACGCACGGACGCACGCACGCACGCACGCACGCACGCACGCGATGATCCCTCATGTGACACACACATGTAAATACATATATTTATAAAAAACGGCGATATACTTCCGTCATCACGTTTTTTTCCCCGGCGCTCAATATACAACTTCTTAAATGCGATTACATTTGGTATGAATTACAAAAAATACACAGAGTATATCATGCGTATAAAAACAGTTGCGTGTGTCACGGAATAGTTTATATGATAATTTTCGGATAATCTGCTGATCGTAATCAAACTTCGAAACCAAAAGATCGTTCGTTAGATCCTTGGATAAAACGACAGAGAACAAAGAAGAAAATAATATCCCCATATTTCACCTGAGTCATACGATAAAACGTTCATGCATCGTATGTTAGGTTCTACAGTTACTTTATATTAACTTATAAATATAAGTTCTAGATTTATTTGCGGGAGAAAAGAAGATACCAACCGTTTTGGAATTAACGTTATTCAATCTCACTAATTCCCTTTCTGTTTTAACTACGCCAGTCGGATCAATCGTATCATTCAACCGTTAGTAAAAAGTACATTTCAGACATTTAAAAAGTGTCCTAAAGTCTCATTTTTATAGTTTTTACAAATCATGATAAAACATTGCTTACCCGACAGTTAACAGTTTTAAATAAAAATAAATAAAATTCGAGTTCGTGAATGTTAAATTTTGAAGTTCTTCCTCGAAATTATCCTGTATCAGTCTAAACCTTGTGTGAAAGATATTAATATGAAATTATATGAAATTAGGTAGCAAACAACCTTTAGTTACGTCCTATATAATACTTCGAGTCATTAGCTCTACGGCTAACATATACTCTATAATACTCTGCATAGTAGTCTATAAAGTTTAACATAATGATACGATATTGTTATAATAATAAAAAATATTATATCATAGCGCTGAGTGATAGTACTGCGATGGTTTTTTTATCTTGGCGGAATAACCGACGCTATTCCAAGGAATGCTATGTTTTTAAAGAAATCTAAATTTCTTCTGTCATACATACTGCGTCACGTGATTAAAGAATAAATATATATATATATAAATAATAAAAAGAACATCGTTTCGGGCCCTGATTACGATCGAGATTATTTCGCTTGTTTTACCGAGAGTGCCTATCGTTACTGTTTCTTCCTTTCTTTCGTTCGTCGTTATAGTGTAACTAATTAATGACTATATATATTTATTATATTTAGCCTAGTAATATATAGGTAATACACGTAACTAAACAGGATTATTACGATAATCTACTCTCGTGTTACGATCTAAGCGCATACGCGTTATTTCCTACAGCGAAAGCTGACGACGAACAAAAGGTTCGCGCGCATCGATAACGGAGTATTGTTAGCTGCCTAATATATATCTGGTATACATAGAATTCTATACCTCGGGTGAGTTTGGCGTGGTCGTATTGATATGATCCTGTAAGCAAATTCTGAGATCCCGTTCGTCCAATTCGCTTTCAGTATCGACGCTAAAACTTCGTACGGTTTGACCAGTCCATCGTTGTTTCCAACTCTCTAGCCTCATGACCTGCGACAAACGAACGTCACGTGAAATGTGCTTCCAAGTGATCCTGCAGAAAGCCTCTTATGCGATATCTCACTTTGTAAATTGTAATTGTGTCGTTGATTGTGTTTAATCCGTTTTCTTCGAAGCTATTTTGTAAAATATTAAATTCAACTGTTCAAATTACATATCTTTTTTTCTCTTTCTCTGCAAATATCTCTGCAAATAGAGAAATAATCTACCATTTTTTTGAGACATCTTACTATTCCGATATGAATGAAACTGTTTGAAAACTGAATTTCTTTGTTTTCGTACATTTAATTTTCACACTTTGCCACGAGTGGATTAAAACGTACCCGACAAAAACAACGTACTACACATTGCATTATGTAATATGCATATCATTATGATCTCAGATCAATGTTATTGTTTGTTCAAGAGGTGTTTGATCGCTGAGCTACTTGCTATCTTTGCTCTACATGGCCTATAAAAGTGATTGACAGGGGTCGTGTGATCGATCGATTATTTAACAATAACATCATATTTTTCGAACGAAGACAAAGTGTGCCTTGAAACTTGCAGCAAAAAATTTGTGGCATAAAGATTCTATAAAAGAGTGGCGAAAATATTATCGTTTGAGAGAAATGTTTATCGTTGCCTCGCGAAACTTTTTGTTAGTGCTGTAAATATTATAAACTCCCATAACTCCCAAAAACAACCAAATATATCGGAAACAAGATATTTTCGTATCATTTTCTACATTTCTTTACACACACAGACAAAATGAACTCTCGTAACCGTAAGTTGAACATACGGTTGGTAAAAGTTTATAATTTTCAGCATACACAATATGATTTTGGATGATATATTGAATTTTTTACATATGGAGAGTATACACAGAACATAATTATTATTACTGCATGAAATCATGCGGGTGAATGATAACGATAAAAAGATAAAAAAAAGCTTAATCATTAACTTTGCACTAAATTTGGTGAACTCTTACGATATTTTCACGGACACTTTCACGCCTCTTTTACATCTATGTGTTTTTCTCCCCCGAGCTAAAAGCAAAGGCCGTGAATGTTTATTAGAACGAAACCATTAACTTAATACGAAGGAAGCATGCAGTCTGATAGGAAGAGAACGCCATGCCATATCACCACGCATATAATACAGAAAGTGAGCCACATTTTAATGAAGATTCATCCGATTAATATCCAATGGTGCTACTTGTGGCGGCTCAAGTGACAGGTGTCGTTGATACTTATAAAATTACACGTTCACGTTCAATCAAATCAATGAATCTTCTTCGATTCAGTACCTTTCGCAAAACAGACTTCATTGTTCAATTTCGATTGAAAATTTGATTGTTCGTACCAATTTATATTTCATATTGCAAACCTGTCCTCTGTTTCATGTAATGACGAATCGTCCATGTAAATTTATTTACACATGAACATACAACGCTGATAAAGCGTTGAGAATGAATATCACCGGTTTCACATCATCGAAAGGAACTTAAGAAACTGTACAAAATCCTGGCTTTGCCTAAAAAATTAATCGAGTTACGTAGTGATGTTGGAGAAATCAGCTACGACAGATCATTTTATAATAAAAAGAAAAGAAACATGCCACGCATACGAGACGGTATAAAATGATGCTTACACATGGGTATTAAAGACTTACTCGAGCCAGCGCCAAGGCTCAGTCTCCGGGCTGGTGATTGGCGTGGGGAACTGAGGAGACAGAGATAACACAGCAATAGAGGGTTAGTTTTACAACAACGATTAGTCCCTTCTGGTTTTAGCATTAGTTACCGCCTGGTACCTTTACACAATAAGAATCACTTATTGCACTGATTGCCTCTCTCTCTCTCTCTCTCTCTCTCTCTCTCTCTCTCTCTCTCTCTCTCTCTCTCTCTCTCTCTTTCTCTCTCTCTCTCTCTCTCTCTCTCTCTCTCTCTCTCTCTCTCTCTCTCTCTTGATATGATTGTGTCTATGTATATGTGTTGCAGCTGAAGAATCGCATACATGCATGAAGAGTTTATCTTTTTCTTTAACACGCCGAAAAAGCGTAAAGATTTGATTAAACTTGTTTGCTTTTTCAATAAATGTCTGTTATAAAATGTGTGGTAACTTTTTAACAATATTAATCTCCATGCTGTGCTAACTCTCATATTCTAATATGACACTGTTAACATATACATTCAACAAAATTAATTAACCTAGTTTTACAGACAACGTCAACTCGATCTATATTGGATGAGCGAAACACCAATAAAGATGTATAAAATGATGATGATGTTATAGCTTATGTTTTCTGAAGTATTCGAATAGAATTGAGGCTTTCGATTATTGCATTCCTCAGGGAATAGTGAAGATATGATAAATTGTAGTATATCAAACACGAGAAAATATAAATAATCTCTCTGATTTTCAATTACGTAACAACTTTCTGTAATGGATTAATTCGCGCAACATTGTGAATTCTTGATGTGTATAGGTACAACAACAAACTATTGTAATATATAAAAGCCACATTCCCCTAATTGATTAAGCAGCATTATTAGTGACATCTAATAAATACCGACGAAGTATGTTCCTTATAATGAAATTATTTCTTATAATTATCAATATCTGATGACTAATATTATATATACAATAAATTTCCTTTGAATAAAATGTGACCATACACTATATAATTTTTTCGGTTTTTTTCTTTATTGTAATATTTTAGTCTCTCATTACTAAGTACTCGTTTGATGTTCTCCGCCTTTTAAATATTATATGTAACAATTATTTTTACTACTTGACATATATAATCAGTATTCATCGACAAGGTAGATTTTAGTCATGATATTTTCGTCCGCAATTCACCAGAAGCGACGACGTTATGAAGCGTGTTGATTAGCGTTACATTGCAGTAAGAGGTGCAGTTTGTGCATAATTATTTTGTAAGTGTAAGACACGGGCAAAAAGGCGGATTATCTGTGAATCAATTTTGCAAAGTGAAATAACTTTTCGCTATATACAAATTTGATATGCATGAAATAACGGTATACACGAATTTATAGTTTTTAAAAGAGTGCAGTATGTGATAGCACATGAAAAATCGGAACGTCCAGTTATATATGTATATAATACAATTGTTAGGAATGTACGGCATAATTATACAATCTTAAATAACATATATATATCACACTTACGTAAGTAGATAATATTCGGTTTGAAATTAGTACAGACTCAAAGTGCTACATTTTTGTTGTAACACTCGAGAATTTCATAAAACACAGTGTCACACATATTTTGCACAATTAAAAAAAAAACATATAACGGTGCTTTGAAAAAGAAAGAAGTGAAAAAATTTTTCATAAAATAGGGTTCTATATATAATATTTGGGAAGTCTTAACATCATTGCTGAAAACCGTAAATGTAATCACATAATTATAGGACTGTAATAAATACATGAATCGTTGTCTCAAATAATCGTATCGTCAGACTTTTAATACCGTAATGCTCTTTGCTTAATTACTTATATACAATTTATATTTCTTATTACACATGAAAAAAACAACTGAGACAAAAATTCATTACGAAACCATTAAAGATACTAAATATTCTGTACATATAATGATAAAATCATGTGATCATGTATGATTTGTGATTATCATGATGTATAAATTGCAATTGCCTAACATATATTATATATTACATGGCAAATATAAATTTTTTTATTTGTAATAATTGAGAGTTAACTAGTTCACCCCTTACTGCAATATTCCGAGATACTGCACGTTTGTTACATGTACAATGGATACAATAGGTTGTTGAATTTTACATACCTCAGCCTTTAATTCAGCCACTTTATCTTGCAATTCTCTCACTTTCTCACTGTCATCTAAATTATTCCGAAGTTCGCCTTCCGCGTGCATTTCTTCGTTCTGCAAATACGTTAGACGTTAGGCTTCAGCCCAACAGTATTAAAATTTATCAGCTTATACATAGGATCGTATGGACCAACCTTTAATTCGAGAAGAGATATTTTCTGTGTGAGCTCCGCGACCTGCTGCGCGTGTTCCGCATCGCGTATCCTGGCCATCATAGCCTCATCCTTCATTTTTGACTCGAGATCGGAATATTTGTACTGTTGTTCCTTCAGCTTAACAGCCAGATCTTTCTCTCGAGCTAACGCAGCTTCCAATTCCTCTTTAAGTACTTTCCCAACCTCGTCTTGTCTACGAAGCTGATTTGTCGCCACCTGTACCTGAGTCTCTAGCTCCATAACTTTGAGTCGAAGCTCCTTAACTTCAGCTAATGCTTCCATCTCACGCATTCTAGACGTCATTATGTCTTCCTCGAGCTTCTGTACATCGTAACTTCGATTTTCCCAAAATATCAGCTTCTTTGGCGTTGAGTCAGCAGCTGCAGTTAAATGAGCAGACCGATGGTCTTGTAAATGCCTTTGCCAAGCCGCGCTTAAGTCCAAGACTCTCTGCCGCAGATCCTGCGTGATTCATCGAACGTTAACATACCTCTGTACTTCGTAACGTTAATAAGAACAAACAAAATACAACTACTACAGTACGAAATATTATCACTGATCCTTAATAATAAAAATTCTTACTTTTAAAGATAAATTGGCTTCAGCTTCTCTGAGTTTAACTGCGATAAGTTCCTCTTGCAGATGGGCCACGGAATTATCCGGCGTCGACTCGCGCAAAGTCTTTTTATCTTGCTCCAATTCTTGTATTCTTCCCCTAAGTTCCTTAATCAAAGCGTCATTTTCCGCGTCGTGCAATCTGACTCTCACTAATTCGTCTTGCAGGAGTTGTATCATATCTTCTTGCAACGCCAATGCTTCTTGTCTTGTTAGTATCTCGTCGAGCGATGACTCTCTGGATAAAGCATTCTGCTCGAGAACGAGTGACAACGATCTGACTTCTTCGCGAGCTTGTTCAAGCCGATGACTCGTTTCAAGATGCTTATGCCGGAGAGCCGCCAATTCCCTCTGTACTACGAAAGTAGTCTCTTCCTCTTCCGCGCGCGATACTTGACCTTTGACTAATCTATCTGCGAGTTCTGATGATTCTGCCTCTAGAAGTTCAGTTCGTTGTCTGAGCAATTTATTTTCAGCTCTGAGCCTGCGAATCTCCACCATCTGCTCCTGCTCTTTCATTTTCAAAATCGTATAATCTTTTTCTAGCTTCTTCATTCTCTTCGGATGAATTTTCATTCCGTACGCGAGATTCATGAGGCCATCAGGATCTTTTTCGGCTCTTCCGGGCAATTGTTTCTGGAAAAACTGCGAGAGAGAATCCAAGTTACACGAATACCTTTTTCGATTCGGCTTGGAAAATGTCTAGTGAACATCTTCGCAATTCCTACTAATCGTGTCTAACAACGTAGCAATCTAAACTTCTTGATAGCGTCGGAAACAAATCTTACAGTTTAACTCAAATCTTACCTTTAACATGCCCTCCATGTCTAAACTGAGCAAATCTTCCTTGCCTAAATGCAGCATCGCCAATGCGACTTTAAAAATAATTTCCATACCCTCCGACAGAAAGACGTCAAAAATTCGACACGCCAAGGGAAGTCTTAATGCTGTGGTGAACAATGTGAGAAACCAAGAGGATGCGTACATCGATGTATGGAAACCGTGGACCGTAAAGTGAGCGTGAAGTTCGGGATGCGTGTCGGCAACCAAGTGTTCTAGCTGATACATGCACACTCCTAATTCAGCCATGCTTGGTTTGTACATGTCTCGCAAGCGATATTCTTGCATAAGCGCCACGAGTACGGCGAAAGCTTCTTCTTCCGGCATTTGCTGCAACAATATAAACACAATTACTCGGGTGAGTGATCATGCTTTTCACGTGGTATATTAAATGTTAGAAGATGCAACACGATTATAAATGTGTGAATAAATTTATAAACTCATAAATAATCTACGACTCTTGTGAAACGTTTCTATAAAGCCTATCTTTCGTGTTCCGCGACTTGTCAAAAGGGTGCTGCGTTTACCTGCAGTAAAAGTAATCCTACTATAAATCCTGAGCCTTGGCAGTATCCTACTTCGCGATCGTGCAGGCTATACGCTTTCATAACATTAAATAAACTCTCCTGACCGAGACCATCTTTCTCCTTGAAGAAATCGTGTTCAGGATACGTTCTGGCGATATCTCTTCTGATTATCCTCTCGCAAGCTGACGTCGCCTTAATGTACTCGGCAAATTGTTTTTTCACAGGAGAGTCATGGGCACCGCTTAATAATTGCCAAACAATACCCCTGGAATAATACGTGTAGCAATGTAATATAAAATATGCAATATTATAGTACGTCTCTATGTTCATATTCATATTGGAGCGCAAGATCTTATGTATCTAAGCAACGTTTATATCGAGTCTCGCTGAAGGTTCTTGAATGTAAAATTTACCTGAAATGATGAGGTATGCCCTGACGAACCAATTCCTTGACTGAATCCTTCCGCTTCTTCCAATGATAGTCCCAATCGGCCACTATGTGACCCCAGAGACTCCACGTGTTCTCCTCGACATCGGCCGGGTTGGGACGCCCAGGTGCAGCATCGCCATTTCCTCCGCTGCCCCCTGACGCCACAGACACCTGTGATGTATCGGAGCCCTTTCTACTGTGGTTACTCTGGAGAGAGTTCAGTGATTTTGCATCGGACTCAATCAGCCTGGGAATTAATAAAACGGTGAGCCATAATTCCCTTTTACGTCCTATTTTCCGCGTACCGCTCGTCCGAATTACTCGAGTTACTCAAATTAGAAAACAATCAGGCAATTGATTTAATTATGAATTATGTACATCCATAAGAATGAGATCTTCTTTCGTTTACCGAATGAGCAGAAAATCACACGACTTATAAACTTGCACCGGTATAAATTTGCGTCGTATCGATGAAGATTTAATGAGCAGGACTTGAAGCTTGCCCGATAACGATCGAGACATTGGATCGCTCACCTGTTTGCTTCCTCCAGCTTAGCTAATAGAGCCAGCTCGTCCGTGGGTATTTCCTGCGAGGGCGTTACTCGCTGCTCGCAAAGGGTGTCTAACGGCGGACTCGGGAGTATCTTGCCGGTCTGCGTGACGTTACGGGTAGATTGATGGATGTTGGAGGTGCATAAACACAGCACGCTCATCACCTGCGGTCCATAACGCGACAGACCCAATTGGCCGTTTATCGACGCGTTTATGCCGTCCTGTTGAGCGACACTCTGGCCTCTGAAACGATACGAAACGAATCGCGAATGAGACGACGGGCAGCAATTAACGCGATACGATTCGACGGACGACACGGCTCGGCTCTACGACCAGATCTATTTTATACGCATTCATCACCGCCTTTATTCGAGTGCCTTCAATTGCACGTCTCGAACTACGACTCGGCTGTCTCTCTTGATATAACTTGATTTACATTGTTCAGTCGTAGCAAAAGTTGTACCGCGTCGATATGCAAAATGAGAAGATGTGATAACTGGCAAATGAGCAAAACTGACGTGCAATTCATCCCACCGATCTCGCGGCTCCGCACTCGCGTTTTACCTTTTCGCGCTTTTATTTCTTCTCCAACGAAACGTCGCCGCAGGGGCCAGCAAGCCAAGAAGAACCATCGAGGCGTTTTGTTCGATTTCACCGTAACGATTTTAGTGTTCGCGGAAAGCGTTCTCGCGCTCTTCTCGTTTACCTCGCACCTCCTTCTTACCTTCACATTATCTCAGTCTCGCGGTTTTTTTACACGCCGAAATTTCCGAGGTGCGCGCCTATAACGTCATTGATTTTTTGGCCGATTTTGATTGATTGCCCGCCAACAATTAGTAGCCCGCCCGATGCAAAATCATATTTTGGATAACATCTTTTGAACAAAACGACGGCTCGGCTTTTTATACCTCTCTACGCTTCTACCCGTCTATGAATGATAAATAAACAGAACGATCATTCGATGTTAAAACATAATTTGTACCTAAAAAACTTATTATTTAACGAAAGATAATGTGGGTTGTATTTCCGTAGGTGTAACAGTACTCCCGTGGAACACCTCGTGCGAGCGCCGCGCATTCAGTGAAGCAACGCGCAAAGAGCAGTTCCACACTGCCAGAGATAGGAGACCGAGAAGGAAGCAATTAGTGCGTGTGAACAAATTAGCGGGCGAAAGAGCAGGTGAATCCGAGCCAACTATTATGACGAACTCGCCTTACGCCATGCTGTACTGTAGCGCGCGGCTGTAGCGAAACGGAAGCGAGCGGAATACCCGGAATACACGTTAGGATACCGTTCGTAAGGGACTCGAGAAAATTAGCGACTTCGAATTCTCGAATATTTCCGTTTCTTTGCCCTTTTTCTATCGGTCCCTCTAGGCGTTTTTAGAATATTTCTATGTGCACGTGTATTCTCGAGGCGTATTGCATTGTTTCACTATCTCATCTATGACACAAGGGTCGAGATTAAACGTGAAAAAAGATAAGCACTTCGTTCACACTAAATACTGTCTCAAAAAGAAGCTCAATGTGCATGTTCTCCTCTCTCTCTCTCTCTCTCTCTCTCTCTCTCTCTCTCTCTCTCTCTCTCTCTCTTTTTCTCTTAAGCAAGGTTCCTTCCCGAAGCGAGCGACTGCCGTTCCGAAAGTGCCCGCAACACGATACTTATTCCTTATTCAATATTCAATACACGCGATATTCAAAGGGTAAGCGTAAGCGAGAACGAGTATCAGAATCGGCACATTTTCGGTCTCTCGTTATTGCGACACACACACGCGAAACATCAGCCGCGTTCGTTTCTTTATCTCGCGACCGTGAGAGAATTGCTCTTTAATTTATATAAATTACTCGGACAGATGACAGCTTTAGGGGGAGGAAAAATAACTTTTTGACAAAATCGTGCGGTCGTGATGAATGAAGATATTCGCTCGGATGTCCGCGGTTTTTCTTGCTTCGTCGAGACGCGAGACGCATGCACGCACGCACACACGCACGCACGCACGCACGCACGCACGCACGTTAGTCGATGGCGAATTCTTATTAAACGGTTAAGTCGAGACCCCGATCCCGTTGGCGAGGCGATCGTTTCCACTCGGTTCCCGATTACCCGGCACGGTAGGATCCAGCTAGGCACGTACTGGAAAGTACCAAATGGTTTGAGGGGGTCGATGCAGCCCGCGCAGGTCAGGACGCTCCACATGCGCAGCGACGTCCGTTTCATGACAAATAAATAAAAGAATACTGCGAACCGTTGCTTGTGAAAATGAAAGAGATAATGTTGGGCGTTCTCGTTGTGCGCTTCTCAATCGAATGCCGATAACGCCATGTCCTGTGCGCATGAATGTATAAAAAATTTTGTTTTATCTCCGACAAACCCCCAAGAGAACATCGTTTCATTTGTATCCTTGCGATCAGCGGAAGATTGTAAATTGCGCTCTTTGTGTCTTGACATTTAATTCTCGATACAGCAACGGTCTCTCTGATGGATTCTTCGGGATAGCTGGAAACGTTTTTCTCTTATCACTTCCCCTTCGTGTTATTGTGTCATAAAAACAGAGACCGGACATTTCTGAACGACTCGACATATTTATTCCAAAATGACTAATAAGTATTGGGTGTACAAATTAGTTCGGTCCGTTTTCAAAAGATGGCTCCGGCCGTTATGAATGAATTCATAGTGACTGCCGATTTTGGCGGTTTCAGAGAGGGTAGACATCTGCCAATAATATTCAGTTTATATAGCTTTGAGTTTCATACAAAAACCTTACTTTTTACAGTGTTGAAAATGTCGAATTTTGTGTTAACCAGGCAGCATTTGCGGGAGGTTTTAATTTTCTGCTTTAATTGGAAGAAAAGTGCAGCTGGAAGCCCATCGAATGCTTGTTGAAGTTTATGGTGACGCTGTACCAACTGATAAATCAGGGAATGGTTTCGACGTTTCAAGGATGGAGATTTCAGCGTCGAAGACAAGCCTCGCTCTGGACAGCCAAAAAAATTCGAGGACAAAGAATTAGAGGCATTACTCGAAGAAGATCAGAGTCAAACGCAAGAGGAGCTTGCAGAATCATTGGGAGTGACTCAACAAGCCGTTTCCGTACGATTGAGAGACATGGGAATTATTAAAAAATAAGGAAATTGGTTGCCTTATGAACTGAAACCGAGAAACGTTGAAAGGCGTTCTTCGTGACAACGCTCGGCCTCATGTCGCAAAAGTCGTAAAAAAATATTTGGAAACGCTCAAATGGGATGTTTTACCGCACCCGCCGTATTCTCCGGACATTGCTCCTTCTGATTACTGGTTGTTCCGAAGGATGCAGCACGATTTGGCAGGTCACCGGTTCACTTCTTTCGCAGATATCGAAAATTGGCTCCAAACTTGAATCGCCTCAAAAGACGAGTCATTTTTTCGAGATGGAATTCGAAAATTGCCTGAGAAATGGGAGAAAGTAGTAGCCAGCGATGGAAAATACTTTAATTGATCTGTTTATTCATTTTGTTTTGAAATAAATACATCTTTTAACACAAAAAAACGGACCGAACTAATTTGTACTCCCAATATAATGAAGTATAATAAAGTTTTCAACTTTTTTGGAGAGAGAAATATACCTTGACTGATATCCTCTAGCAAAAATTTCACCGAATGATCGATAAGCTCTGTCGTTTCCAACATGATATCTCTTTCGATGTGTAACAAAGCGGTCGATTGGAACTTCATTAAAAAAAATTTCATCTGGGTGTAGTTGAAAAACCAGTCATGAGTCACCGCAACGTCACGACGCAAAGCAACGAATGAAATGAGATTATTTTGTAATAGTGGCGATTACACACACATTCCTAGTAGAAATATATTATGAAGTATACTCGTGCGCGTATGCGTGCATTCGTCATCGCTCGCTCGTCGCTGCAACGGTCGTCTGCTCGTGACTAGATTACATCATGACGTAACAATTTCGGTCCTTCCTGTGCAAAACGGCCCGTTCTCTTTCGAAGGATACTTCGATGATTCTTCAACGATATAGAGTCAATTTCCTCTTAAATAAAAAAAGAAGAAGCAAAAGATCAGTCACACGCACGTGCTTGTCGTCGATCAGTCGTGACCGACTTTTCCAGCAAGCGCTCGTCGTTTAGCGCATGAATTTCCACATCCGCGGAAACATTAACGCTAATGTTCTCTGCTAATGCTTCTCTGTGATAATTAAAACTGCACACAAACATCAATTATTATATATCAATCCCTCTTCCGTTCGTTTCGCGAGCCGAAGCTCACCCTCTGGATCGAAATTTCGACAAAATCGCCACAGGCGAGTTTTTCTGTCGCTTAAATGTAAAACAGACGCTGATAACTTTGCGGGAAATTGCCAATTATGTAACGCTGTCCCCAGAATTTCACACAGCGCTTACGCAGCTGCGGACGCTTGTATGTACGTAGCAATATCGTCGCTCACGATAACGATAAAGGGAGTCTCAAATGCTTGTACCTGAGGATAATTTGAAAAAAAAAGGGAAAGAGAGAGAGAGAGAGAGAGGGGGAGAGAGAGAGAGAGAGAGAGAGAGAGAGAGAGAGAGAGAGAGAGAGAGAGAGAGAGAGAGAGAGAGAGAGAGAGAGAGAGAGAGAGAGAGAGAGAACAAAGAGTGCGTTCGATCGCAACACACTAGCGCGATAACGCGTAATGACCGTTGGAAATGCACGGCGAAAATTGGAGTCATGTAACTTTTGTCGGGCGAAGAATTAAACGCGTAGGTAGGTAGGCAACAGGTGACATACTTCTATTTTTACACGCAACCGATATTATACGCGGCTTATATTTGGTCGATATTTTAATTCCCGCGAAGATAAAAATTTGACGGAGGTTTGTATTTGCGGTTGCGAGCTCGCAAGTGCGAGCAGAAGCAAGCGATTTCATTCGAACGAGCATTATTTGTTACAATTGGACTCGCAAGGACGACGGGGATGTTCTCAGCGGGAGAATTGCGTGACATTCACGTTTCTCTCATGGCGAATAAATGGACACGTTTGTAGCGATGCGATCGCCAAGGATCGTCCGGATCGAACATCGCGGCCCTTCGCGGACATTTAGCGTCCAAACATCGGCGAGAAGAGACTTGATTCTCCGAGACATTTAAACGAAGTCGGATGATTCAATTGTGTGCGGACACACCTAGATGTATTACGAGAGAGCACCGTGCTTCCGTGGGATTGGCATTATTTTCGCGATGAACCGCGTTTCAGAAGGTCGATGGCGGGTTTATTTCCACTGGATTGTGCGCAACGTGGTTTTCCATCGAACAGGAATTCCGCGGAAATTCGAGAGCACGAGGATATAGGTATCCCTTGGCTCACCTTGGCAACGTATACAGGATGTCCCATTTTAAAGGATCCAATATCTCAGAATCACTAGGATCAAATATCTCAGAAACACTGCGTTAAATCGAAAAATGTTTCAGACAAAAGTCGTTTGGTTCGAAGGGGGACATAAGACGGCGATAGCGTTTTGTTTACAGCCGCGCCACTTTCGAGATATTCGCTGATCGTCCATTTTCTCAAATAGAGATCCCAATTTTTTATTATAGCATTTTTTTCCACCAATCAATTTGAACCACTTTTGCCTGAGACATTTTTCGATTCAACGCAGTATTTCTGAGATATTTCTGAGGTTACACATATATATATATATATAAATTTTCCGCGAAAAAAATTGCAAATTTTAAAGGAAAAATGCCGGTTCTCTAAAGGTTAAAACGAGACACCCTGTACATCTCATGCGGAAATACGCGAATAATTGTATGTGCTGTAAGAGAGTTATAATTATTTTCTTTAATACGAAGATCATTTCCGTCGTCTCATCGGCAAAGTCGCGCCGATAGACATTCGAGCGAGTTGCACTTGAGTAAATCATAAAGCAAAGTGTGTACAAGTTCTTTTGTTATTTCGTTTCTTTTCTAGTTTCCATGTCTTTCCCGTTATCGGGCAACGTTATCAGCAAGACATGTAGCATAGGCAACGGCGAGTTTATCTGCTCTAATTACAGTCTGTAAAGTAAGAGCGTGTACGGCATAAATGGCAGTTGGCTTCGAATATCGTCCTAGTTTTTTTTTATTCGTATTATAAGGCATATCTCAAGCACAAGCTTCGAGGAAAAAGAGTGTGCACTTTGAAGCAGCTGACAAATTCGTCTTATTTGGAGGTCTTTACCGAACGAATACGCAGTCAACTTAGTGGAAAGTAGCCTCGGAGATGCCAGGTAATTATCAATGCCGGTGGTGACTGGACTCATTATTAATGGTATAGCGTTTTTCTTCTCATGGAGTACAACAAATCCATGTACTTAAAAATCATTAAAAATAAATTTTTCTACACATTAACCCGTACACGCTCTTACTTTACAGACTGTATAACTCGCGATGCGCTCCGCGCGACTACGTAATTTCAATTGAATGTGACCAAGAGAGGATTAACATCTCATCGATATTAATTACTTTTTTATAAAAGCTCCACATGCGCAGAGCACGTGTGTATATTCGTGTGTCGCTTTGTCGCTATGTCGGGAAGGTTCCCAATGTAAAAATGAACGTCTTCATTTCCGATGTCTGTGTCTGTGTCTGATGAAAGGACGATAATCCGTCATTCCGCTTCGAATTACCAACGTGTGAGTGAACTTGATACGAGTGAACATCGAAGTAACGTGGAAAATTTCGGACGAGAAGTTCCGCCTAGAATATGCTGGTGTTAACGCGCTGGTAGATCGTGATAAATGGAGGAATTTAGGTTGCGTTCGGGTCGTTGTAGAGCGACTAAGGCATGATGATGTAACCGACTGATTTTCGCGGTTTCTGCGCGAGAACACAACGAAAGAAAGGAGCATAGATCCGGTGTGCCGAGCTATTGACCCGTAATTCGCGACAGCATTTAGCACCAAAGGTCGCCGTCTGCTTCTCTGCGCCTCGCTGACGTAACGCGCATTCTGTATCGTCGTTCGAGCGAGACGACAAACGTCCGAACATCATTAGATGCATTCCAACGACACGGCGCGAGTTGACAGATTTAATTTCGAAACGCGATTTAATTGCGTTCTGTCGATACGATTCGAAAGTTTCAATTACGCTCTCGCTTATTCGCGATTCACTGGAATCGCGCGGAACGGACAAATTGTGACAGGTAGTGCGTGGAAATTAAATAACGAGCCGATCGATCCTTCCGTTCCTTTCGTTCGTAAATCACACGCCGGCTACGTTAATCACTGGAGAGTCCTACACTGTGTAATCGCAGAACGACAGGTTTAATTTGGAATCTGCAGTCAGCAACGTATATTCGAAACCCTCGGAATCGAAAATCGTTCTTGCGAACGACGCGAATTAAATTTTATTTAAATTGAATTTTCGTGAAAAATCCATTGTCTCGAAACTTCTCGATGAAACTTGACGAGACGATGAAATTGTTGTCGCTGATGTCGGAGAGATATATTCTTGTCTCGCTGGGATCATTTAGCGTTAAGTACGCAGCGCGGGTCTTTCGGTCGCACCGAAATTTAATTCTATGCAATTAGGAATTTAATGACGTATGGAAGAGAAATGGGCGTACACTGTTTTGCGAGTGTCGACTGCCTTTCTCTGTGTACGCGCGCGCGCGTACATATATGTGTGTGTGTGTGTGTGTGTATGTGTGTGTGCGTGTGTGTGCGCGCGCGCGCCACGAGAAATACTCAAGCTCGATCTTTTACAACTCCGGGCGATTTTGACGCGGCTTACCGACTTTCACGTACTTCGATATCGTTTCACCTTACAGTTTCACAACAGTACGACAGTGAAATGGTAGGAAATTAATGCTGCTATATTATGCTCATTCACTTTTCGCACCACAGAGCAGTGCGTTAATTTGATTGCCGCCGATAATGTGAGCTTTCTTTTTACAGTAAACATATACGTAATATATCTCAATAACTCAAATCGTTGTTCTCTGCTCATTTAGATTTATTTGTTTATTTGTGTTTGAGCGAAACAATATAAGTATAATAAGTGGATTATATAGCAATCTTTAATTGAGAGGAGAAGAGAGAGAAAGAGAAAAAGCACTTATTTCGTTGATTTTATAAATTAAAAATATCAATAACTATACGAAATAAAATGTTACTTTGATTAATTTGTAAATTTAGTAATTGTTTAAAAATATACTGGCTCTTCCTTTCGTTTCGTAGTTTCTTAAATGTAATTTCTAAACAAGTTCTTTTTGGCATTTTTGAACATCTCTAAACATGTTCTCTTTCCTCGTGTAAATGCGCCAATTTAATTTACCATAAAATTAAAAATTTGTTAAAAACATCTTTCCTATTTTTGCAAGACGATAATCGGTGTAGTTGATGCCGATATAATTGAGTATATTTCTTCTAAAAAAAAAAAAAATAGAAGACATCGTTTTTTCTCATTTCTCCGATAAATGCCGGCAGAATTAATTGCTTCCGCATTTGCCACAAACACGCATACACATACATATTTATATATATATATATACATATATATATATATATATATATATATAAAGATCAAATTTTACCGTTTTCAGAAGAAACTAATCTCCAAGTAACTCCCCTCCCCGCGTTCTGTTTCTATCCACTTCTCCCACCCACCTTTATCGTTCACAGCACTTCAATTAGTACAGACGTCAAGCTCTCGCATACCGATAGGAAGCTGGAAGTGCTTACGTGAAAGTCCCCCGCTGCCTCGTTAAAAGGGCTGCCTCGTGCAAACGAAGCGGTCGGGAGAATGACAAAAATGGACAACACGAGACGCATGTATGAGCGTAATCGGGAAGGAAGATACGTGCGCGGCCGTTATCTGTATTACCAAACAAACTAGCTGTCAGGTGGACGACCGTTTTCGCGGCCATCTGGTCGCGCACCGTGTCGAATATGACGGCTTGGCTTACCGAGAGCGCGTCGTCGCCGTGCGGACGATCGCGGTTGCGTATCCTCGGGGTCGTTCACAGTCCGAATGCACCTTCCTCGCACGTCGACGTGTCGTCGCGGTACGCAACGCTTCCGACTAACGAGCGTCTACGCGGCTGTCACCACTCAAAACTGTCGTTAGGAGCACAGCTAACCGCACACAATGTTACCAACGAACGAGCGTCCTCGTTACTGACGCGTTCGCGAGACTCGATGACATTAAACGGACAGCCGCCATGTTCGATCGACGAGTCGATACTCGCATCGACTCCTCCCGTTTCGACGGATCGACCGTCGTTCTCTCGATGGCTTCGTGAAGTCGATCGATAGCTCCAGTGTTGATGGCTCTTGAATCAGTGCTTCTCACTTGCGTGACTTTGATTGTGATACAAAAGGTCAACGAGAAGCGTTCAGCTCTCTTTCTGAAAACAGAATTACTCGAAGCCGATCGACTTGGATCGCTAAATGAGAAGCAGCGGTCGAGTCCTGTCACGCGTGAGGATGCGGATTCCTCGGTAAAATCATTGGGTGTGTTAAGTTAAAAAAAAAAGACTTTCAGCTCGCGTTAATGAGTGAATAGAAAAGTTAGTCGTGTTATTGAAGAATAAAGAGACTTGTGTGACTTGTCGTTGAGCCGTGCCGTTCGAAAAGTCTGCACAAGTGACGCAAAACACTCATTCGTTTTGGGGATTTGTTGCAATTTTTAACTTTATGTCTGTAACGTACAGGCAAAAATTTTTTTTCTCTTATAAAACGCATTAATTATCACGCCCAGCACTCTCTGCACTAACTGCACTTCTAGCATTACCATTTGCGCTCATTTGGTGCTGCAGTGCAGCTTTTTACCTCGGCCGCGATCTTACCCAGACAGAACAGAAAATCACGATGACATCAAAATGATGAGGGAAAACTCTTTTTCTCATCATGATTCGGTCATTTTCTTGTCATTTTGATGTCGTCATGATTTTTTGTTCTACTTGGGTACTGGCATGCGGCATGATATCTTTCATCCGCGATAAATCTTTACATGACAAACTGACCCATCGGTGGCCATCGTCACGGCGGCGAATTTCAGGCCCACGCACGACTGCAGATCTTTCTCCAAACTGAAACACGAAATTGGAAATTCGCAAAATCGTGCGTTCAAAATTGCGTAAAGTTACATTATCAGCCTCGACATCTCGATGAACTTCCAGGTTCTCGCTTCCGCCGTCGCCTCACAGATTGCAGCATCGCGGCGGCTCGGCGTTTTCTCGCACGACAGCGCGAGCGTGTTAGTGCACGCAGCAAGCCGATATCGTCAAGATGGAAGGCGTTCGAGACTGACCCCTCTCGCAGTATGGATTTTGCCGCGTGATTCGTGGTCGTGGTCGTCGTCGTCGTCGTCATATTCGGCGCCGCAGATTCCCCGTCCGTGTCCCTTCGCGTGCGGCGAAAGAAAAGGAAGAGCAGACGAAAGGATACCGTCTGTGTGCCGCGATCGGTCGACCGCATCCAAATGGTGTCGCGCCGCGGGATCTCGGCTGCACGGGGCGATCGGACGCGGTAATGAGAAAAATATCACGGTGCGGCGCGGCAACGAAGCGAGTCATTTACAATGGTGGATAACAGTTGTATTATCGAGGGAAACGTCAAATTTCGCGACGGAAAGAAGGTGAGTGAACTGTCGCGTGATCCGCCGTATCGTTCGTTCGCGCGTACAGCGCGAGCGTTTAGCGGCGCTTCCTTGTCGTGCTGCTATTAATTCCTCTCGTTTTTTCCTGCCCACCGCTGAAGCTCGCGAATTAGCGCGATGTCTCCGGGGAAGACGAGAGTGTCCTCGAGATACGAGGGACGAATACGAAATTCGAATGGACCCGTGTGCTCGCGCTTATACTTATCGACGAGTCACTCGAGTACGAATTTCTTCATGCGCGACAGAAATTATGTAACAATTATAGGAGCGAGATTCGGCGTGTTACATGCGCTTTGCGACGCCGGCGGCTTGTTTGAGTCTGCATGCACAGAGTGCCCCGGGAAAGATGTGCGGCAAAAGTTAAAGCTACAAAATTAAGACGATTCTTTTGACAGCAGAATTTTGACGCAGAATGCGCTCCGAATTTGACAATGGCTCAACACTTTGTCACCTCGCGATTAATCATCTTGAAATTTGTCGTAAGGATATTTTTCACAATCGTCCTATGTCTGTATAATGATGAAAAATTGCTCATTAATCACGTTTAAAGCTCATTCTGCACTAATAAGCCATCCTTTTAATTAAACACTTGATAGATAATCTGAAAGATGTTAAGGTGAAAAATTTAATGAGAAGAATTCTCATTATTTTTTGGTAATACTCTATATATCATATTTCTTGTTGCGTTATATTTTTATGTTCAAATATGTTTTTGAGATATCATTCCAGGAATGATAACACGATTCCTGTTGGATTTCTATGGAAGCATATTGCAGCATAGCTATATTTATCGTACCTGTTATCAGAGAGATTCACACACAAATAGATAAAAGATCTTACTTCTATAGCATCTTATGGAAATATATGAAGTTGAGGAATACTTTACTCTTGCAACAATTGCAAATTACATTCACATTTTATATTGATTTACAAAAGAAAAAAAAACATTGATTTAGCTAGTCTTATGAAACATTGTTGTATTTTAGGAACATAATTTCTTTTACAGTGGAAGTCAAGATGGTGCGTCATGCGGAAATTATCACCAGTAGCAGGTAAAGTGAGGCATTTCATATACTTTTCCTTTAAACCAGCTCTTTTACAACAGCCTTATTGTTTTTCCGTTTGTTTACCTTAGGCGAGCTAATAATAATGCGTTATTAATGAGAATTTGATAAGATTGTGTCAATAACATTCACATATATGGGCATGCATTTTACTATTGCACATCGACTGTGCTACATTATTATCATATGACTAGGGAGGAGTGGGTGGGAGAAAGAGGGGAGTAATAAGATAATAAACAGGATACATTAAATATTCTTGAAGCTTTCTTACCTTTTTGCTCCTACTATCGTGTCGTTGATAAGGACGGTATCTCGGAATTTGCATAATAGACTCTGCTTTGTCCGCTCGGCAAACCGTATATTATGTACCGTGTTTCTATCTTACAGCACTATTCCACTCCGACATGACATTCGAACTAAAAGAAATTTCTAAGATTATTTGAAGACTCAGTTTTTTTTTTTTTTTTTTTTTCCCCCAGTCAAGAGACATTAACACAAGTCTAACCAGAGCCGACATAAGTTATTATCACGAGTGTAATTATTTTATTGTCTTTTTATTGTAATTTTATTGTCGAGGAAGCTTTTATGTAACTTTTAAGATGATGGATTTGCGTCAACTCTCATGAATTTGTTAATTAAATTTGTTGTCTGAGATTGGGAAAAAATTCTAATTTTTTCACATTCACTGTGTTCCATCATATTTATTTACGATAAAACTACAATCGAATAGATCACTCGGCGCTTTTTGACTTATCAACGATCGACATATTGTTTGCATAATTGTTTAATATCTGTTTTATTAAAACCCGGACGTGCCGACTGCAACAAATGGGACGGTCGGATTCTTGCGTCTCACGTGTTACAAATCAGTTACAAATTTATAGCTGTGAAGAGTTAGCCACTTCCACTTCTTCTCGCCCTTTTAAAGGGACCTTTCCTGCTTATTATCAGTACAAAGAATCCCTCTCCCTTCAGACTGCCTTCCTAGGGTGGCAGCTGCCACATCTGTTACAGATTGGCTGCTCGAAGCAGCGAAAAAAAAAGATTTCCAAGAAAAGCTTTGCTCCTGACAATAACCATTAATACGTGATCCTCGTAAGTTGAGGATATTTTAAAACCGCGCGCCTGAGTAGATCATATATTTTTCCCAAGCGGACCCAAGCGGACTTAACGAAGGGGATGCAAACGACATGTAACCGGATTTATATTTGTATGTCGATAAATGCTCAACGCACGGCACGAGCGTCATTTTGAGTTGGATGTTTATCAGGAAAGCGTAACATTACGATGCAGTGAAATTTCTATGCAAATATATGCTGATTTATTTTTCTTTGTATTTATAAATACCAAAATCTCTCACTTTCCGCGTACAGTAAATATTTAATGGGAATAAACATCGAACACCTGTCCTGACTGAAGAGAGATTCTGAAGAATCTTTTTACAGATATTTACAAAAAAAGGAAAAATTCATGCAATTTGCCCGACAAGTCGCTTGAAACAAGCGTACAACAGAGAGAGAGAGAGAGAGAGAGAGAGAGAGAGAGAGAGAGAGAAATAAATAAATAAATAAATAAATACCTCTTCCTTTTTTACATCAACAGACTGTTTGCATCTACAACTTTACGGGGACAGTAAGGATCGTTATAAGCAAGGCCAAACAAAAGCGTCTCTGAGCTTGCAGCATTTTCTCGGGGTGGAGAGCGGTTTCACTCTTGATAAAGAATCCAATACGATCGCGATAATTTGCCAAGATGTGACGGTTGTTCTCGCATTCGACACGCGGGAACGATTGATACAGTGGCAAGTCAAGATCTCTAACAACTTGGGCGAAGGTAAGCAGTTGGTGAGATGCGTTATTTAAAAGGGAGATGCGTCGTAATCATGCGGATTCCTCAAATTTAAAGGAAAATTAAAGGAAAAAATACACAAAATAACAGAGATTCAGAGATGCCGCATCTCGTGCCTTTTACACAGTACATTCAACTTGACCAACTTTGCCTGCGCAGATCAGCAATTCTTGATACTCATCTCCTCGGTGCCGTCGAAGGCCAAGTTTACCAACGGACCGGCGCACTTGCACATTCAAGACCGTCGCTTCTGCATCACCGTCGGTATACCACCTCGACTAGTCGGTATCTGGGAGATCGCGCATCTACGACGATACGGCGTAGTCGAGGGTAGATTCTGTTTCGAGGGTGGCTCCAGATGTGGTCGAGGAGAAGGCTTACACGTTTTGATAACGGATCAAGGGGAGGATATCGTAAAGACGTTGCAGTTAGCGGCCGAGGGGAAGCTCACGACGAAGAAGCGTCCTCTTGGTCGGGAACAATCAACGCAGGATAGCCCACGACGTCAGTGTTCTCGCTCGGAGACCAGAGCCAGCGACTTTTTCCCTTCGGCTGTCGTGTACTCATCGACATACGAGGAACACTGCGATAGCTGCAAGAACGAAAGCTCGCCGTACTGGTCGTCTGCGGAGAGTAGGCAGCAGACCGAGCTTGATGGCGATTACAGTTGTAGAGACACCGTGTCCGTCTCCAGCGAATTACCCGATCAACCTGGTGATCAATGGCGCAGCTGTTCACTCACTCGTCAAGGGGCGACCGGCCTCGAGAGATGCGCCAGTTGCATCAGCAAGCTCGGCACGGTCTCCAAGTCGTCAACATTGATCACCACAGCCACCATGAGCGGTATAAGCAGTCCTGCGGGCACGTTGAACAATCTCGGATGCCACTTGCAACCGCGTACCTTCGACCGGCTCTCACTGTCTTCTTACAGCAGCAGTAGCCATGACAGCGATTACTCCGGCTCGCAGCAAATCGAGTGTCACTGCACGCAGTCCAAAACCGCCCAGTCTCAGCAAGCGCAAACAGCTCATCGGATGTCGCCGAGTCCGAGCGCGTTGCCACCGAGACCGCCGAAACCGTCCCAACAACCGTCGCCGTCGCCAGCCATTCAGTCCCAAGTCACTGCCAAGAAACCTAAGAAGCCGCCGATGCCACTGCCACCCGTCGAACAACAGACCTGTGTGCACGCGAGTCGAAAACTTCAGCAACAGCAGCAACCACAATCGCAACAACAACAGCAGCAGCAGCAGCAGCTTCAGCAGACTGTACCTCGTGGGAGTGGTACTACTGGTGGCGGCGCTACTGCTGCTGCTACTGCTGCTGCTACTGCTGCTGCTGCTGCGGGACCTTACGAGAATTACGATGTACCAAAGACGATTTTGGGACATCATATGTTGTTGGAGCAAGGTCCTCAACCGGAACAGTATTACGACACACCGAGGAAGATAAAAGAATGTCTCACACTGCCAAAAACTTACCCCAACTACGATACGCCTCAGGTACCGCAGGCGGTAGTGCTGCAAGGTTGTGGATGTCCTGCGAAGCTCACGGTACAGTCACCCAGGTCTTCGGGGTGTCCTTGTCACAATGTTATGAGCTGGGCCGGTTTCGTTTTGCCTTACTGTCGACGTGGAGCGGGAATCGAGCCGACCGGGGTCACCGTTCATCCCGTGAAGCTCTCGGGCGAGGGTAAGATGCCGGTGGTGAACGCCAGCGGCGATGTGGCCATTTATGCGACCGCTAGAAAGGTAAATAAGAGCGAGTCGACCGATATTGAGAAAATCCCAGATGATTGCGGCTGTGCAGGGATGAATAAATCGAACAATTACGAGAACGTCGAGCCGGTGATAGACACGCAGCCGGAGCTGAAGCGAGCGAATTACGTGAACATCGATTTCACACAATCGCTGGAGCATTACGAGAACAGCAAGGACGTGCTGACGAAAAGCAGTATTTCGCAGGATGAGATCGAGAAGTTCGCGGATCAGTTGAAAGAAACTGCTGCGGCAGAAACTGAGGCGCCGAGCGAGGATGTCTCAAAGGTGTGCCAGAAATGTGGTCACACAAAGGAGAGGGAGAACGATTATCTGGTTATGGATCCGGACAAACAGACCCCGAAGAAACCGTTTCCTGGTTATCTGCCGATGCAGCCGGCTCACAACGCTTGCTCTAAGGAGATCCTGTCCAGAATCTGCAGCGGTATTAAGAGCTCCAGCAACCCCACGTTATCGGGCTCCGCGCTGCTCGAAGGCAACAAGAAACGATCAGACTCGGAGTACCGTGTGCCAGGATCGGCGATGTTGTCCAGTCCTTACTTCAGGCGTCGTTACTTGGACACGGGTAATGCCGCGGAGTCTAGTGGCAGCATAGGTATACTGCTGAGGAAGCGATCTTACTCAGCGGAGTCCGCGCATTACCTGGACGATGAGACTCGCAGCTTCCCGTCCACGCTCACCATCCACAAGTGTTCGAGCGAAGCGGACAAGAACATTCTGATCAGCGGCGAGTCGCACAGCTCATGCATAAACACCGACAACAAGATCGCGCACGAGAACGCGCAGATGTTGACGAGCGCGTCTCAGCCGTCGTTTATCAAGATCCGACGCTCCTCCTCCGTGCCATCCAAGACTGGCCATAACAGAGACTCGTCGAGCAGCAACGACTCCGGCGTTTCTACCGGCTCTCTCAGCCATCGAACGGCGGAGTTTGTGGAATTTGAATTATCGTTGGCGCCCGCCGCCACGGCGGTCAAACAGAACATGCTATCGGTCTGCCGTAAGAGTCCACCACCCACGTGTTACCACAGCAGTCTGCCGAGGAAGTCCAAATCCAGTGATCCTTTGCGAGAACTCAGCTTTCAATTCCAGAAGATCAAGATACCGACAAAATCCTCGTCCGCAGAAGCCGACATACCTACATGCGTGCCGAAGGCCACCAAGGGCTTCAACAGCCCCGGCGAAGTCTCGAACGCGCCTTACATCGATTCCCGGAGCACTAGCAGCGGCACTTCTGACATGTCGGATTATATCGAAACTTTGTCACTGTCGTCTCACTCTTCGTCCGATACGCCCGACAGCCTCAGGTAAGATCTTGCACATGTAGACACACGCTTGTCAAATGTCTCATTTTGGAAATCCTCGTCTGTCTAGTTTCTGTCTAATATGCTCTGTATATGCCAGAAAAGGTGGAATTGTTATTGTCGTATTTGATAAACGATTGATTTGTTTCATCTCACGTAATCGACACGAAAGAATTACATTCGCACTTATACAGATTAGGAGGCAGAGCGGTAACAACGACCCTTCGGCCTCGTAGCGGCAAAGAATATTATAAAATCGATCGTAGCATCTTGGTAGAGCAGGGACGAATTCTCACTACAGCGTCCGCTAATTATGCAAACATCACTCCAGTGCTGGAGAAGAGCGAGTCCCCGTCACCCGGTTACATGAGCAGCTCGCCCTTCGAGCAACCGCAACCTACTCGTGAGCACTTTCTATTCCCTGAAGTAAGTACCGTATTTGTGTATTATGATATGAATTTACGGCCAATATTACGAGAATACGTTTGAATAATATTTGGTTGTTATTCATATATTGTTACTTTGATAATATTACCTTTTAGCCTTTAATAATTATATTTAATAATTATAAATGCTTTAACAAAAAAGTGCTTGTAATGAAGTTGAAGTTTCGTAGCGTTTCAACTTGTAATAATTTCACGTCATTCAATGTTTCTCTTGCAGGAAGCTTGAATGTAATGATATTGTTTGGGAAAAGAGCTGAAAACTTGAAGTTCCTAGGAATTCCAAACAAAGCGAGTAAGAGTATTCACGGTAGAAATTATAATTGGGGCATTGTGACTATTTACACTATACGCGGATATCTGGGGTTACAGGCGTATTTTTCGAGGTATCTATCATTCATCGCACACCGATTATCGTAGTTATAGCATGCCAAATCAATCACCGAACTAAATAATCCAAGAAAAATTTATAATTCTAAGAAACACGAAAGAGCTCCTCAACCAAATTCGGATGTCTGTTTCGCTGGTGTTTTCGTAAAGTCTTCCTCTAGAGAGCACAATCATAATCAAAAGATGTGTAAAAAGAGAACGTCATTCTACAAAAATCTTCTAGGTACTAGCGTATAGTTGAAATAACGTCAGTAATCAAACACTTCCTACAACGACACAAACAATTTCTAAAATATGCTCAATAAGAAACTAATAGTTTGTATAGTAAGAATCCTGCCCTAGGATAAAAAGATATGTGCATCATATACTTTATATGAGTATATCGTTTTTTAAATACTTTCTTTATTTTGTATGAGTATACTTCTATATAGACTATTGTACAGTCATCTTTGAAAAGGATTTAAAGAAATTACTATTAGAATTTTTCAAATCGGAGTTCTTGAAACTTCGTGTGAACAAACGAATGTGTAATATCAAAGTGTAACGTAACCGTCGTTTTCGGGACATCAGACCGTATCCCTTGTAGATTCCAGAAGCTGGAAACATACTGAACTGACGGTACATTAAACAGGAATTGAATGCAACATGACACATTCGCGAAGCATCGAAAACATCGCAATTGCACGAGCACTTGCGTCGCTAAGTTCCCAGAACTCGTGTTTGGAAAAGCAATTGAAGATCGTTTGTTTGTACCGATTAATAAGATATTATCTATCCACATTCTGTACAACTAAAAAGTGCACTGAACATAACCAGTTGCATAGCATTCACAGGGTTTTCATATTTACAAGTTACTTTTTAAAGATTAAGGTAAAAATATTACCGCCTTCAATGGTCTTCTTTCTAACGAGACATACATGGTAAACGCCGTAGTCTCTGGGCAATCAAAGACGGCGCTATATATAGATTATAAATAAATATTTCTAAATAAAGTTTACGAAATGTAAGGTCTAGTTACTTAACGATTTCGATATTCGCCAACGAATATTTCCACTTTTAACTACGAGCTATTTTTTAAATCGTTTATCTCGTATGTCTCTCTTGTATCTCGCTTGCTTTTCACTGTGATATTCATGATATCACAAAATGAAATAATTTAAAGATCGTATAATATAAAGATCCTCTTATTTAACGTTAAATATAAAGATCCTCTTTCCTATTACTTATACAATCATTTCGATTTTGTCGTTGCATCGTACTTAAAGTAGTAGTTCAGTAAATACTTAGCTACTTAATTGTGATTATAAATTGTAACACACACTGTATGCATATTTCTACAGTCTACCAAAAATATTTATTTTTATTTGTATAGCGCGTTTTTTTCTTTTTTTTTCTTTTTTAATGCGTTAGGTACAAATATACATATACATATATAGATGAGCTCTCAGATTAAATAATATATTTACAATTATTTTTTAAGTTTAAACTATATTATATATTACTTTTAATATATTCTTTAAAAGGATAAATGTGTATACATAAGTATAACTTAATACTTTTCTATTATCCTTGGAGTTTAATGTTCTCTCTTTGCAAGGGAAAATCGCAAATTTACGAGAAGTAATACATTCGTATAATATTGCACATACGTGGGTGTATCATGCTGAGGAAGTTAGCATAATAGTGATATTAAACGCAATAATAAAAGAAACTTAGAATTATACATTATAAGATCGATCTAGATTGAATTTCGTACTGCGAATATAATTAATATACAGAACATTCTGTTTTATATCCATTACGCTACTTGACAAGTAATCAAATTTAATATTTATAATCAAAATCATGAATATACAGAGATATCGTTGCTATCATTAACCGATGAAAAATGTGTAATCATTGAAATTGCGGGACAATACGTATTGTAAGATGTGTTAAGATTGCACATCCAGCAGGAATAACTTCGCGTCGTAATTACAGGAGGGTCTTTTTTTTCATCCTGTGATGTGTAAAGTTGTCCTGCAGCTGTATTCTTATTCCATCTTACGTTGCATTATTTCTCAACTAGCATGTGGAATTGTTTTCATCGGGTCAAACCTCAACCTTTTGCTTTTTATGGCAATTGTTTTTTTTTTTAATTCTGCAACTTTATCTGTTTATGTATAATACACACTGTTACAACAGCATTACCCATACACAAAACTATTGCAATACGCATTGGATAATTTAGATCGCAAAGTGGCATATATACAGTGTTCTTTCAAAATGTATAAATGCGTGCAACTGATTTTATATGAATTATAAAAGTATTAAAGTAGTATTATAACAAGACTGAGAAATAGTTGATGTACTAACGAGTGGTAGGGAATATTTACCAGTGCCAGAGAGTGTATAATTTACATGTACAGGCCCTGTGCAAGCTAAGCCGAGCACGCAACTTGAGAACGATCATTTGTAAAGCTTTTGGTTTATCTCTCTGTGTCCGATAAACATCTCCCGGAAAAAAAAGAGGTATTTAAACCATAACACCAAATATCATATGAACGAAAAATATTCTTTTGGTCCTGCTTAAAGTTTATAAAAAAAAAAGACATACAATAGCTTAGCTACATCAGATAATAGACAGTCTTACGTAGAAGCCTTAATGAACTATTGTACACAAACGATTTATAGAAAGTGATACGAGGACATATTGAAGTTCACGTATACATCGCGTATTATATATTTTACGCAGATATGAAGGTACATGAAACAATTGAATTTATATTTCTCCTCGATCATTTTTATCGCCCCAGAAGAGACTTATAGATTGTAATATCTTCAAGGGGAAAAAATGTATTCGTAAGATAAAGCCCTATGATCTTCATGCATGCTCGTGCGCGAGCGACGTATACACATTCGCGATAATGAAAGCGAGGATTTACGTGCGATTGACGAGTCTGAGAGAAACATGCTGAAGTGTAAAATTTTCATGGAATCACTTAGTTGCTGCACAAGTGATTTTCTATTTGTTCGTTTTTTCTTTAATTTATTTTCTTTTTCTAATGGTTTTATACGTCCAAATATTTTTATACGTGTATACGATATATTTCTCATTTACATTATTTTCGATTAATGATTGCTCAACAAAAAAATATTTTATTCCAGATGTCGTATACGCGTGTAAAGTAGAAAGTCACTCGTGTAAACACATGCTAGTCAGGAATCAAGTACTATATACATGTGCGTGCGTGTACTTGTGCGTGTGTATGTGTATGTGCATATATATATGTGTACATGCATAATACATACACACACATATTGTAATCGTAATATATTTTTATTGCGAGAGAATTATTGTGCATAGCCTAAAAATTGAGCACATGCCCGAACGTACCTTATTTCACTTCGAAATTATCTCTTAGTTCGGTAGAGTTATGGACCAATTATTCGTTAATATAACGATAAAGGGATTTAATCGTACTTTAATTTTATACGAGACTTTTATCAGAACCATAAGACTTTGATTGTCATACTTTAACCGTTCTTCATCTTGAGTCTTATTCTCCAAGAAATTACTCAAAGGAGATATATAAGTCTAACTTGTACTTGTAAAGTATATTAAAAAGAAAGAAAAAAAAAGAAAAGAAGAAAGATAAAAGACACATGTGCTAGCTTTTAAGCTACTAGAAACCATATCTAAGAATTTATTAATAATATATTGATTAATTGAATACATATATTAAATAGGAGTAAGTTTCGAAGGGTATTACCAGTGCTCTATTCATAATCGATGTACATAGTTGGTGTAGCCTTATATTAAATCTTTTATTTTGTGATTTGAGTACGACGTCGTCGCGGTGAAAGCGAATTTCAATTGTACATAAACATGTATTACGATGAAATGCGCCCAAAAAAAGATCTCCGAGCGATTTTATATTAAAATTTGTAGTGATTTAGTTACTCTTTACGAGTACATCTTACAATATATCGGAATACACGTTAATATCCAGTTAAAATTAGAAGTTACGCGATATATCGATAACATAGACTTCGTACATTTATACATTACTTTTTTATTTATATATTTACTTCATTATTTATGTATATTGTATCAAACCGTTTTATTAGACTTATAACAGCAGACAAATATAAGAAATTAAAATTCGCAACTTTTTGTTCCTCCAGCTATCGGATACAAAAATAATTGCTTTGAAATTTATGGCAGAATCGAAACTAAAATCATTTCAAGTTCAGTCTCATAACTTTTCGTGTCCAATGAAAATCGTGCCATTGCTCTAAATATCAGTTACTTCTACTGATTCTATTTAACGTGTGCAGTAATGTGTACTTACAATTAGACAAGTGAGAATTCTATTAGATGATAAACAATTGTAAGTCAGAAAAGTAAAATGAACAAAGTCTGTTTCCTTTGACAATCCGTTCTAGAATGAAATTTTCCCCGTGTTTTAATAAAATGAAGGGGCTATCAAAGTGCTGGGTGTTTTCGCACTACACTGACCACCTGTATGGCAGTTTTACGAAGGAAAAAGTTAATATTTATAGAAATTTTACATAAGTTATTATTAAGAGAGAGAGAGAGAGAGAGAGAGAGAGAGAGAGAGAGAGAGAGAGAGAGAGAGAGAGAGAGAAAGAGAGAGAGAGAGAAAAAGAAATCGTCCGTCTCAAACAAAATTTTTCCCTCTCCACATACAGAACATCGAAAAAAAAAATGTATATTGACGAAACTTTATTTTCAGAATAATTTACCGCTGATCTTTCAACACCTCTGCTGGTTTCTTTTTTCCGTGCAATACTTACGTATTGAGTTTTCTGATATTAGAAATTAATAGTAGAATTTTATTTCCCACATAAGTTGTAATAAATATTTTTTCCAAGGAAATATTTAAGTATTACATCGAATCAATCAATATAAAATGTATGTATTTAAATGCATTTAAATAATTTATATTCGCTAATAGATTAGGGCCAAAAATTGATCTCAATTTCTTTGTAATTAAATAATTATTGTTATTTATATACATCTCTTAATGCAGCCAAAGGAAGATTCACGGTATAATATGTAGAACAGGCACAGTATTCTAAAATGTGCTTTCAGATGACAGATGAGAGAGAAACTCTGAAACTCTGTTATCAAAATATTAAAAAGGTATATAAAAACCTTCTTTATTTTCTGAAATTAATGTAATAAAATTGTCACTAGGTCGCATCTCGCAAGATCGTAAAAAGAGAGAAATTTAATGATAAGTAATGTGACTAATGGAGCTTATATACCAGATTCTAGAACGCATTTCATGAAAAAAAAAAAAAAAAATAAAGTAAAATTATTTACCCTAAATTTTTGTAATATCATGATAAGACGACATAAGCGAAGGTGGAGAAAATTGATTAAATTATTATAGTGCGCTACAAGCAAATTATAACACATACTGTTCGTAGTAGCTAAAATCATCAATTTATTAAGAAAAAAGTAGAGGAAATAAAAAATTTGAAAAATAACCTATTGTGTCCTTGTTATTTTACTATTTCACAACAGATACCTATCTACAATATTAAGATATGTGTTATTACAGAATTTTATTGATATCGCTCTAGAAAATAATTGCATGTTTATATTCTTTTAGAGATATAGATCTATAGATAAAATAAGGTAGAGAACGTAACAGTCTATAGCAGGAACTCTGTAAATAAAATATTCAATAAAATCTTTTTAGTTTATTAATGATAACATATAATATATTAAAACACGCTCACAATGATATTGACAATATTAATAATCTATAGCTTCAATCTTTTCATTTTTTTCATCTTTAACTATATTTTTATTACAGATATACTTCACAAAAATACAATTTCAAATATTTCTTATTTTTATAGGAGTACTATGAGTAATAAAAATATCGTTTTTCACAAATATTCGATTCCATACGTACGTTTGTTAATATTATTTGAATATTTTCTTCTCTTTTTCCTTTTTTTTATTAAATAAATGTTGTGTCATCACAGTTTACTTTTTTTCTACTGCAGGACATAGCATTTAAATTGCAAATATAACGTTTTTACATGATCAATTGCAAGAGAACTCACGAAATCTCACGGATACAATAATGGAATTAATAGAGGTAAAATATAATAATAAAAAAAAAAGAAAACAAAAAAACATACGCAAAAATAAAAATATATATAATGTACAACATGTGTTACATTTGTAATCTGCTGTTCTCTTCTGCTGTAAATGCTCTTTTTTATACAAATAAAAATAATATAACAATGCGTAAACTTTTCGCTATAGCATTACACTTTTCATTATTCTCTGGCACAAAGATTATTCATATATATGATTTTATTTATATCTATACAAAAATAAATAGCGACACTTACACGGAGTAAAAACAAAATCACATCACCTATATACTTTTACTATTCGGATACAATCTTCGGTAAAGTTAACTCGTTCTTCTCCATGCGTTTTTTTTCATTGCATCGTACATAATAATAGCTTCTATAATATTGTATATTTTAATATATCAATATATCTCTGTTGTTATATATATACATGAATATTTCACAAAATAGCGAACGCGTCGTATAGAAATAGAATGTAACGAAAAACCGGAGAAACTAGGTCGCAGAAAATATTTTCATATATTTATATAAATATGGCAATATAGGCGTGTCATTATATTGATGTTTACTATATAATCACTGGTACTACGTAGTATTTTCTATTATCTAAACAATTCAGCGCTATAAGCCATCCCTCAGTTCAGTCAAAAACTATTGTTTATCAGAATTTAAATTATTTGTTTATTTATAAATGTTCGTGCAATATCAAAATTAATTTATTCAGATTTTCGGCATTCTTATACGACTCAGTTTATAAACATATATGTATCCATTAATTTAGCACTTCTGCAGTAATTTTGCAAATATGAATTTCGTCACGAACTGTGTTTACGCAACTAATTTTGATATTCTTAAGATATTTGTACATAAGAAACAATGAGAAAATAGTTCTAAGAAAATTTTATGTAGCAAAAGTTAAATGGTACATAATCCATAACTGCACCGCTGTGTGAACGGAGATCATTATAATTTATATAAATTCGGATTATCGCGCTATAATAATTCATATGTGTTAACATAATTAAATACATACGATTCAATCTTTGAAAATTCTCCTTTCGCTTCTTCATGATACATTCTGAAGGTACTTTATATGTTAAAATTTCTAATACAATGGCACTTATATTCTAAAGCTCACGTAATATAATGCATGTACGCACAAAATGTGTTAAAAACGGTATAAAACGTATAATTATCATAATATTCTTCTTGTAAATATAAGATAAAATAAGTCTCTTTAAATTTCAAATAACGAAATGATTTGAAAATCAATTAATGATTAATGAAAATAATCTGCTATAAGGATCTGCAATAAGAATTTGTAAATCAGAGTTCGAAATTATTTTGCTTTTTGTGATACAAGATAGCTTGTAATAATAAAGTTTTATTTTAAATGTTGTTAAAAAAATTTTCTATAATTTAAAACAGTGATTAGTTATCATTTATATTTGCATTAAACGAAATGTATCTTTATGTAACATTTTTATCTCTTTGATATTAAATGAATCAACAATTAAATGTTGAAATACATTTCTTAGTAACTGAAAAAGAACTCTGATAATAAAGCTGATTGTTGAATACCTTTTTAAGATATCTTGTACAGTACGTAATGCCTTTGAAACTTTATACATTATGTTAACAATCCTCTTTGGCTTAAGAATGTTTTGCACATTTTCGTTCACACATATGTATCTAAAAAAGCACTAATTAAGACTTATTAGGATATATGATATTGATTTAATTAGTACATTATTACATGTACCTTATAAAACAAGACATTCTTATATCATATCTGTTTTTTGTAGTTTCGTTGAAATTTTTTATACTTCGTTAAACATAAGCTTAATAGCTTATATCGATAAAATTGACAACAGTAGCAGACGAAGCAAAATAAATTCAAAAAATACTATTAGATTCATATATGTGCATATTTTTTCTTACGAGAAAGTCCAATAAAAATATCAGAATTCAATTTATATAAAACTACAAAATATTTAAAATAAATACATAAATTCTCTTGCTGCTCTTTTTTAAATTCATGATCTCATAGAAACTAATTAAGATAATTTCGATAGAGACGTAATGGGTAAACTCCCAATAGTAACCTTAAAAAAATAAATAATTTTTAATCGAAAGTATATGCACACGTACGAGATGTTCTTTAAAAGGAAAAGAAGAAAAAGAAAGTTTTTCGCAAATATGTGTTTCGCTATTTTTTCTTTTCTCTTGTAGTTAAAAGGATCCCGAAGAATCGAGGATTCAGACAACAGGAGAACTATATACTCTATGCCATTAAAAATATTAATTTTTAGTCGGACACCCTGTCTATATACGTCAACTTTGGGCGGTATAAGTTGTATGGCCGCTCTCGCCGCAACGATTGCTTACGCATACATCTGACCGTGAGACACTGCTATGTCTCTTGATAGATATTCGCCGAACATACAATTATAATTTGAGGTACATGCGCGATTAAAGTTTTTTAACTAAATATACTTAGACAATCCATATTTCTCTGAATGTTCGACTGATAAATATGATATTCCTCTCTGTTGTTATTTGTTTATAATTGATACGATTCGATATATCAACGTCAAATAAAAAAGAAAAAAAATTGATTTCGGATCATTCTCTCTGTGTGATTGAAGATCCATGTATACATCCATGTATATGCATGCATATTAATTAATATGAAATTATACAAGAATTAATGATAGCAACAACGAAGGTGCGTACATATAAAATACATGTATTTTTGACTGAGATTTAAATGTATCAATTCCGATTAAAGTTAATTGTATCTAAGTTAATCTATCCCTCCCAAGTTTTATGACCGTAGCTTTTTCAAATCTTTCGTAGACTATATCTATGCAGACTAGACTCTAACGCTCGAGATATTCGAGTATTATAAATAAATTTATCTTTCTTTAGTCCTATTTTGTTCTATTATGCTCTAGTAATAACTCAGTTTTTCAATAACAACCTTTTAAATGTTATTAACAAATAGAATTTATAGCCTTATTCTCTTAGAGGCCGATATTCTTCAACATACAGCTTTTAAATAAAATAACAAAATGGTCTCATCGTCGGTAAAATGTGTTCTCATCATATTTTGCTTGTTTTATAATTTTCACAGTCGCAAAATTTAAAACAAAATTTAAAAAAGTTTTTCAAAACAAGTGTATACACTTTCCTTTCCTGCAATATAAAGCCACGACACAAGACTATCTTGAATCGTAAAAATGTCTATCTTTACTAAGTATAATTTGATTCGGCAGATAGTAAAAAATAAATTAGCGAAAAGTTAATACAATTATCTTATTAAAAGTGTAAGTACGTGTGACCTTGTAAGTATCTTGTAAGCGATTAGTACTATATTAAATTAAACTTATTGCCGATTAGCCTTTCTACAAAACTATTTATATAATTAATTACATCCAGTCTTAAACTAATGGTAATCAGGCAATACATTGAGATTCTTAACATTACTGAATATCGTTAAATGGGAATAAAATATTAGCCATGTGAATTTGATGAAAAGAAAATGTGATAGACATTTGCATTAAAATAGAGAAATCAATCTACTCTATAGAAAAGGCACAATGCAGAGAAATTGCCAAAACTGTATGTTAAAGATTCTGTGAATTATAAAAATATATATTCTGTTTAGTGGATAAACAACAATACTAAAATTTATACGTGAGTTATGTATAAAGTCGTCGTATTGTAAAATCAACTTCATTAATGCTAATATGCAATTAAAGCCAATATGTTTACAAAGCGATTTTTAAGTTACATTTTATCAATTTCATCATTTTTAGAACAAGTGTTTTCTTGAAATTTTGTCGTCTTCGGATAAATGGCACTGTGATAGCGTTTTATATTAAGATATGTTGGGAGATTTGAATGACAATATTAGCGCTATGCAATATATAGCTCAAAAATAAATAAAATATTTTTTTTTACTTATTTAACATATATGTGACATTGGCTTATAAAGCAATTATAGTTATTCGGCTTATTAAAGCAAATATTGAGCATTATGAAGACACTATACGCTTATTTTCAACACTGAAATATCGTATAATGTTTGCAATGCAAAAAAAAATCCAATTTCCCGAATAAATATACTATTCGATTGTCATAAATTTCGCAAAGAAATTCCTAAGAAGCAATGTGTAATAATTTTCATCAATCCAATCGTTCTTATAACGAGAACTCTGGGACTGCATACATAAAAATTATTACACAATAATGCGATCGCTAAATGCAGTTACAAACTGAATAAAAATTGTGTGTGTGTGTGTGTGTGTGTGTGTGTGTGTGTGTGTGTGTGTGTGTGTGTGTGTGTGTGTGTGTGTATAGTGAGAAAAAGAGGGAGACAGAATTATATACTTCATAGTTTTTTCATCAACAAGCGAATAGGAAATCTTTCTCTAGTTTTTGGTGTTTCCTCCGTGCTACTTTGTGTCGTTTGAGAATGTAACAACATCTTACACAATTTATCAACCTGCTCGTCACTCGAGCTAAATCTATATAAATGCCTCTCGCTAGAAGAGCTCTGAGGGTCATCACAGTTCTCAATATCAAACCTTAATCGTGTCTCCAGATGAACGGGGCTAGATGCTCGAGTGGTAGGCGCAGTTCTGCTACGAGATCCGACGTTTCTCAAAGGGATTTTGCTAAGGCCCTGATTGTGATTCACATCCAGCGTCGAGAAATATCCTCTTATGGTCCGTCGAGCCATCGTATAATCTTCCAGACTGTGACGCTTCAAGCTTTGCTTTGTCTCCTTAGAGTCGGGAAGTTTCAGATTCGTAAAATTCGTGGAATGACGCTTGGTCCGGTCCAATGTGCACTTGGAATTAGTGAGCTTCAATTTATCCTTCTCGAATATCAGAGAACTGCGTTTCAACTTCTCGTCGATGTATCTCTCTTGGCTGGCGTCAAAGCCGAATCTTGTTCTTCCATGTGGCGCCGAATATCTCTTAGTTCTCATGTCAGTTTTTGAAAACCGCTGGTCACTCAAATTCTCCTTTGTTATGTTACGCTGCAGTCCATCCTCGTAGTCTATAGACGTCGGTGTGCTCCTCGATGAATCACATTCGTTGGTTCTACGTTTCATGCAGTCCTCGTACTCAACGGACGAATGTCTTTTGAATTTGACCTTGTCAAAGCTCACACTGCTCTTTGGTCGAACTGTGATGTTTGATCGTCTCCGTTCAGAAATAAAATCTTGCAGGTGCGGTATTTTGGATGCGCTTTGAGAAGAGGAGAATTGTGCAGGTATCCTGATGCCAGTGTCAACTAGAAACTCGTCGTCAGACTGCATCATAGGGATCTCCGGCATGGAACTGAAAGCCCAACAGGAGTTGTAATGCGCAGCGTTAGTTACAGCTCGCAAAGCGGCAAAATTTGGCGCTTTGTCTTTGCCGCTGGTATTAGTAGGAAATTCGCGTAAATAGTCCCGTGTTAGTAGCAAATTTTGCTGCATCTGTTGCTTGTTCTCTTTCATGAGTGAAAAGAGGAGAGATTTGGTGATGGCGGAAGAATTAGATTCGTTCGCTTGCATAAATTGCTGTCGAAGCTTCGCGTGATCCTCAATATCATCGATATCGTGATAAGACTGGCATTGAGAAGCATCGCTCTTGTGTTCTAGCTCGCATGCATCTGGCAATGTCAGGAGAGCCTGGAATACTGCCAACTTGGAGCAGCTACATTGTGGCTTTTGTGTGATGTGATTGTTAGACGATTCTCCATTCTCAAATTTAAGATACGACGTGTTAGTATTTGAGTCAAAATATGATATTCTTTCCCAAGGATTTGTTAGTTGAGTTCTGTTAGATACAAAGCAAACATAGCAAATTAAGATTCTGTCAGTGTTAATGAAAGGAGATTGAAATTTTGCTAAAGCTTGCTTACCTTGTTTTTACACTGCCGACTGTCTGTTGAAAAAGTGCAGCTCCATCTGCGAGAGAGTATTATATTAGTGAAAGTAGTTAAGAGAAATATTCTTATTACTTTAATCATCAATATTTCCTTTCTCATTTAAATAATATTTGGATAACGTTACTTAAAATTTGTTCTTCTCAATCATTAACGCAAATTAAAGTCTACATGTTGGAGAACAGTTGGCTTGCAATGGGGACAAAGGAAATTTACTTGAACACGGATTTCCGCTTGTCAAATTCTGTTATCATTAAACAATATATATACACACACATACACACATGCATATAACATTAGCTTACGTTCCATGGAAAATTTTACTTCATATGATGCCTCATTAATTTTCATTGAATGCTCACCTTTGGATTGAGAGCTAAAATATAAGATACATCAATTCAATATATGTAATAATATACAATAAAAGCTTGCAAACAAATAATATTTCATTATAGCATTGGAAATTGTTTGTTGAAATTGCACTTACATTCCTCTCGTCGCACCTTCAGTACCTGTTTTTGTCCAACCACCTGAAGAAATAGTATTATTTAGATCTTTAAAGAATCTTTTATCTCGTTTTTAATTTTTATTGTTCTCAAAAATTAGAATATATTAATAAGTTATATTTCTCCGTAATACAATACCTTTTTTAATTACTGTTCCAGTCGCTACTTTTCCCGTACTTATACCTGACAGTTTCTTTTCTTCTTCCAATTTTTTGGCATCTTCCAAATCTTGTTTGGTAAATTTCGTTGTGAACTATACGAAAAGAAAAAAAATATTAAAAGAAAAGAAAAAGAAATTGTACGTGCACATGTATACACACAAATAGACTTACAGTTTGGCCCTCATATTTGATATCTATTTCTTCTAACTCCCGCGTGACGTCTTTTAAAATAAATAGAACATCTCTATCTTTTTCATTGTTATTCAAGTGTCTGACAACCGATTCTAACGATGTCAGCAATTTCTTATCAGTTGGTATCCACAACTGACTCTTTAGTTGTGGCAGTAAAGACACCACTTTCATCCTTATATTAGCTACTGGATCCTCAGCTAGAGTCAATAAAATATTGAAAAAATGTTCCTTAAAATAAGAAGAGGAAAAGATCTCCAGTGCTTCGACCATCATGCGAACAAACATCATTCTCACGTAGCAATCAGAATTATTAGCTAAATCTGTAGATATTCTACTACGCAACTCAGCTCTCTGTATAGGCTTCATATTGTATCGTAAAAGGAAAAGAAATAGTATTCCCGCAGCAAGACGTACCGGTATTGGTCTCTAAAATTTTTTGATTAACATTGCATATAATTTTATTGTTTTACAATTATCTAAAGCTTTAAAACACGGAATATTAGAGACTTACTGCATGTAAAATTCTGGAGAAAGCTATTGGCACAAAATACGAGTATATAAAGTCACTGGGAAAACATTTAGGTAGAATTTCGAGTTGTGCATACATTAAAGATGTCAATCTCCAATTATGCGTACTCGAAACTTCAGCCTCACACTTTAATAAAGCTTTACCTATTTCCAAGAGAGTAGAATCCTATAACGGATATAATGTTTTGAGAATCATCAAATTTTTTCACACTAAAAGCTGCATGTAATGAAATTCATTTACCATTTTATCCGTAACGATAGCTTGACTTTCGATTAAATATTCCAGTGTTAATTTAATATAAGGAATTAAGCCTTGAAGTACTTCCTCAGAATCATCATTCAATAATTTTATCAAGTTCCCTTTTAATCGTGCACTTTTCGACCCTAAAATCTTCACTATCTACAAATCATAAATTATCATTTTATTGTATATATAGTATTGTATATAACTCATGAAGTGTAATATACTTGATCTTACTTCATGAAGTCCAGACGCAACGGTTTTACGAACCATATAGTAATGATCATTTGTTAACAAATCAAGCGTCAAAAGTAATGAATCCACATCTTCTGGTGAATTTGATACAAAGATAAACAGCGCAGGTAAATTAAATGCACAATGACTTCTACATTCCACATATCTTTCATCTTCCGTGGGATTACTGCTCATCTAAACAATTATAATAACACTGGATATGTCAGAATCAAAGGATATATGTCAGTACTTTTAAGAACTAATTTATATAATCAAGGTAATTTAAATACATAAGTTAATCTTTAAATACTCACAAATATAAAGTATTGCTTCTCCTTCTTCGATGATGGTATTCCCATTTGTGCAAGTTGCTGATAGTACTTTAAGAACCATGCTTTCTCTGACACTGATAAACACTCTAAAATCATATTTAATAACATACATCACACTTAAATTCTGTCTATATACTGCTATTTAATTGCCAAGAGAAATGCAAGAATGACTTTTTACTTTCTAAGTTAAGTACAAGTTTCCCAAACTCCTGAGCTATCATACATATCACATTATCTTCTGATTTACTTGCACTCTCACATAGCTTCTTAACAAGTGGTGCTATTATAGTTTTTATTGTATCTGTAAATAAATCGCAATATTAACTTTTTGTTATTTGTGTGTCGATTATTCCCTAAAGATCTTACCTTCCTGAAGATGAGGTAGTAAATACACTATTGTCTGTACTGAGATGTATCTTACATTGCTTTCTTCATCGCTTGCTAATTCTACAAGAGATGGTAGTAAAGCAGGTTTTACAGATTCGACACCGAGGCCTTCTGCGACAAAACATAATTGCAAGCAGATATTAGCTCGTACTTCACTACTAACATCCTGACAAAGAGAGTGTACTGTCGGTAGAATTTCCTTCTGTATCCTAACAAAAATATTAATAATGGTGGATTAATTTACTTAATAACTAGAACATATAAACAACGAGTTATAAATTATTCAATTTATAGTTAATACTTTTTCATATCACAAGAACATATTAATATGTATAATTACCTACAAAGTCAAATTAGATGTAATATTTAATTACACATATATGCGCGCACATGTACACGTATATATGCTGAGATATTTGGACGTCGTTTTATATAAAATAATATTAATTATATTATCTTTTTATTCATAAAAATTTTGTTTTGTCAAGTTTAAAGTTTATAGAAAGTGATTTGGTAGAAATAGATTTGGTAGAACTCACATAGTAGAATCAAACCGTGTGCTAATTTTGCCCAATAATTTGCTGCATGTTATCCTGGAGTAGATAGGTTGTGATAATTGTCCTTTACTTATAGTCGTTGGAAGAATCTATATGACAATTGTTATTAATATCCACTCAAAAATATTGCTTTTATATAATTCTTTTTCTTTACTTACTTTAAACATTTACTACTTTAAACATTAACTAATTTAAACATTACATTAAGTACTTTAAACATTTATTTTCAGAATAAAAAATGTGCATTTATTTGAATAACACAATATGAAACATCACTTTCTAGAATTGTATTTACAAACCTGTGTTCTTATGATTTCTACCGGCAGTAACTCTATCACATCCAGTAAGGTCTCCAACCATGCATCACAGATAACTTTAAAAAATAATGACAGAATGAGATATAAACAATAGGGACAATACATATACAACAGAGATATTTGGCTCTTAACTGAATAGACATTATATCCTAAGATAACAATATCAGTATTATAAGTGATAATTAAATATATCCACCTGGGTCACGAATGTGCAGTGAATTTAATATACTTTGAAGGAATGTCTGACTAAAAACATAATAGCTGACAAGCTTCTGCTCTAAAATTGTTTTAAATGCAGATGATGCTGCTATGTGAAATTCAGTTGATGCAGTGGACAGAGACTGCTGCATCTTAGGTACCACTCGCGACATACATGACTGTGTGTCAGAAGCTAAAAGACTTGGTAGATTTTGTACAACACTAAGCTTCTGGATTTCATCTCCTATCCTGAAAAAATATATTTTTAACATTGCTTTTTTTTATATTGTTAAAATAAGATAAATACATATTCAGACTTTGATAGAAAAAATAAGATATAGCAAAACTATCAACAATTTGCTTATAGCATCGAGATTTGGGCAATTGCAGCTTGAAATGCCTATGAAACTTGTGTTTATAATTTTCCTCGAAACGTATAAATCGACAATAGACAGTTTAACTTAAATCGCAGAATTCGTAAACTTTTTAAAGTTTTGACATCATTTGCGCACTACTCTCTACGAGAGGAATATTATTCCGTCTCTAAAGGACTATAATTAGCGCGCTTATAGTACAGGAACAGTGCGCTCCTTGACATGTTATTTTTAGGAAGACACATGGAAGAAACGAGAAGACGAGGGGCTAACAAGCTCAATTTTACCAAAAGAGACGAGTCCGATCCAATTCAAAGCTCTCGCTTTACGTTGTTATACCACGCATGCAACTACTCACGGATCGAGAGCGATCTCGAAAGGGACTTCATCTCCCTCGTCCAGCATTTTCAAGGCGCATCTTATTTATCGATATTGCAGTAAATTCAGTGACACTGTCAATCGATTGATGAGCCCTTACGCGGATGGCACTAATATACGCACGTTCATGCCATGTTTTTTTCGTACTAGGAAGAACAACAATACGAGAACTCGATGACAACTGAAGTAGGCTCCGATTTCTATGCTATCGATTCTACTCAACTCGACGTCGAGACGCACGAACACATCCGATTCGCGCCGAACCGTCACGAGCGCGGCCTACATATTGGGTAGTGAAAACTGACGCATGACACACCGCGTGCCGGCGCGGCGTGTATTACGCGTTGAGGGACGCGTTGTGTTATGTAACGCAAATACGACACAAGGATGATTTAGCGCTCGCGTCATCCTGCAATTCGATGCGCTGGCGGGCAAAATACACGATAGAGATTTATACACGATTCGATCTTCTGAATATTCTCGAAAAGTGCATATTGGGTAATACACACTGGATCAACGTTGCGTGTTACAGTATCTGAATATTTGTATGATTCATATATTTATCTCATTTGATTAAAGGAAACTTATTGAGCAGTTCATGATATTTAATTAGTATCTATTATAGTTTTTATAAAAACTCCAACTGAAAAGGCATCGACTGTCTCTCGTAAAATTCGGAAAATCAATGATCGATGCATGCAAGTATCGCGAATTATCGTATAAATATTACCGGAGATTACCTGCTACTTTGAAATCGAATAGAGGTTTGATTAATGCGACGTCGACCTTGATTCGGTAATCGAAGGTGAATTACGTATTTCTGATCTGATGTTTAACAAGTCAATTCCTCGGCGCAATTTATGGGCAGACTTGCTCTCGCGCGTATAAACAGCAGGACAAAATTTTATAGATTCACTTTTATATATATATATATATATATATATATATATATATATATATAGTGTGTATCAAATATTACAATTTTCACACTATCAGAAGAATCTTTTAGAGAAGAAAAATTAACATGAAACAAGTTACGTGGTTATATTGAAAAGTAAAATAATAGATGCATAATTTACTTACGAAAGAATATGAAGCGCCCTATCTATAGGTTTTCTTTCCAACCCAGCATCCAAGGAGTGTTTTCTCAACTGTTCTTCATTCTAAAATAATACTCCAGTGAAATCTTGCCGACATTGAATTATGTAAATGTTCATCGAGGTTAAGGTTTCTGATCCTTCGCCACTCTTTTTGGTTAATAACATCAGAAGCAAAGAAATCCACGCTGAAAGTTCCTACAGATTATATAAAAATAAAAAGACACAGATCCATAAAATGGCACAGCTGATTGAACAAATTTTTTAAATGCTTCAAAAACTTCCCTCTTATCGAAACAATCAGTAAATAGGTGAAATATCAAAGTGACAAAATCATAAGAAAAAGTAAGTTGAAAAGAAAGGTTATGTTAATTTCGCATTTATTTGTCGATCATTAAGGCAAAAGAAAAGTTTTTCAAGCATTTTAGAAATATACTCAATCGATTGCAAGTGTCATTTTGTGGATATATCTTTTCATTTCGGCGTCAGTCCATAAGAATTTTTAATACAGATTTCCTCGCTTGTGCCAAAAGTTTCGCAACGAAAGGCAGCAGCCTACACGAGAAATTACTTTTCGAATACTGACAGTAATAAAGATATTCTACGACAAAATTCGCAGTATAAATGAAAATGAACATTAGAAATACCAATAAATATCACATACTCTTATATCAGGCAATGGCTTATCTAACTGAAGACTCGCAAATTCTTCGAGATCCATTTTCGTTTATAGTTTTATATAATCTTATTATATAATGTTCTTCTTGAAAACAATATATGATGTATTAACATTAAACATTTGGTGCATTAGCTTTTGAATTCAGTTGATAACATTCTGACTGAAATCTATATAAATTACATACCAATCAGGTTCAAGAATTTAATCATCAAGAGCCTTCTATAACAAGCTATGACAAGTCGTAAGTAAATTGGCCAATCACAGACGATTATTCCAAAAAATGATTGACTGTGTGATTGGTCAATTTGCTTACGATTTATGACTAACAGTTTGTATATGAAGGCTTTTAAACCACTGGCGTATGATGTTTTTTCCTATTGGATTGCTTGCATGCTTCTGTATTAGCTATTTTGCTAGTGGCTTTAATGATACTGATAAATGCATGAAACATGATTAAAACAGAAGAAAGTACGCCCTTGTGCCAAAGCTACCTTAAGATTAAATATATAATGTATTATTTATATTTCAAATGGTGGTACAATTTTGCTCCACACAAACAAAAAGCTGCTTTATCAGATAACTTTAAAAACGCAAACCCAACATAGCTCATTTACCACCAAATTTCACTAAGTTATATTTATATTGAAAAAAATCAATAAAGTAAAATAATAGAAACAAATTAATAAATTTTATAGGAAATTATACTTTTTATTTGCTGCATAATAACAGATTATGAAATGAATAAAACATATATGAACTATCGCAAGTATGCACGTTATGCGTTTAATTTTTGTATATGTGTGTGTTGAATTAAAATATATTTATACATTTTATATAATCAATAAAAAAACCAAGATTAGTTTGTACTATATATTATATTAAGAAGTATATTAAGAAATAACCAATATTATCACAAATATTTATTAGATTGCATTGATCCTTGATAATGTAATCAGCAGGACCAATAAATAAACAATTTTAGATATTAAAAGTTTTATATCCTAAGGCCTATAACAAATAATATTAGACTGTATGAATCAGGCTAAATAATATATTTTTATTTATGAACTTTATTGTGTATGATTAAAAAAGACAGATTCCATAAAATGCAAAAATATATACTAAAATTGTAAACTTAACAGTCGTACATACAAGAAATATCTTTTAAAAGTATACAGCGCACATTCTTAGAATAGAGTAAAATAATTATATATATATTATAAAAATTATAAAACTTTACACATAATATACAACATATTAGAGTGACTAGAGTAATTTTAATTCTTTGTATTTCACTTAAAAGTCGATGAAACATTTTGCTTTGGTAAAAATCTGCAGTAAAACAAAAATTTACTACAAAAAATATTCTACAGTAATGCAAATAACGTGATATTCAATAATGTAAAAAATTAATTTGTTATCACATTCTTAATTTATTATCACTTTCTTAATATCTGAATTGTATAACATGAGACTACGTCTTATTAATACTATAATTTTACCAATATTATAAAGTTCTTAATAATGAAAACTCACAAAAAGAAGAGTTCATCACTTAATTCTTCTTTTGGAGGTGAATGAAGATATCGTACCACTAATTGCGATAACTTCTGTGTATACTGCAGAACCGCTGGTATACGTACGGTATTGAAACTATTGAAATACATATAAGTTAAATTATAGGTAAAGTTTTGTAAATCATTTGCAGTTAGACCGGGATCAAATAATATTATATTGTATGAGGTTGGTGAAATTGTGCCTGCATGAACGTGTTGTGATACAAGAAAGAAGTCGTATTTAGATACATTAGTCAAAACATCGTCGACGATTGTACCTATTGGCGGATTCCCTTCTTTGTTCCTATCGAATAATATTGTACGAATTCTTCTTGTCACAATAATAAATATTATTTTTATATCCTTGCCATTTTTCTTGTTATAGTTTTTCACCGTTTCTTCCAATTTTTTTACTTCGTTCTTATAAACATTTTGAATTTCTTTTTCATCAACACCGTTGCGATAGATTATAATGTAGTTTAGCATAGCATTCTCTATTTCATAGTATTTTTTCAAAGCCTTGCTTATACCATCGTCGATTCCACTTAAAAATTCCTTTTCATTATGATACTCAGTGACAAAGCTGCAGAACTGTGTCAGTGTTGGATTTGTAGTTGCTACCATAATCACTGTAATTAAAAATTGGCACAGAAATAAATTTTTTTATTTTGTGCACACACACACACGCGCGCGTGAGTGTATTGTATGTGATATATATGTATAATATTTTCATCCGAATGTTCGGAATATGTACATTAAGAAAAATATGATAGAATAGATATTGCATTAGAATATTATAACAGATTCATATTTGTCAAATCAACCTACTATATAAAATACTTACAGAATTTTTTCTCCTTATTATTCTTATCATCTTTATCAAGACATGTATCAAAACCAATAGCCATAAATTTTGTCTTGTCTTCATCTTTCTTCTCACTCTCGTATTGTATATGCCAAGGGGCTCCACCCAATTTACAATTTATCTGTACTGCTAATTTCGTAATAATACTATCAAGCTTTCTGGATATTAAGTTTTTTTCCAAAAAGACTTGTGTTGGTACAGGTCTGTCTAAGCAACATTTCCGCTTAATAGCTTGATATAGACCAACATTGGATTTGCTTATTATGCAGAAAATTAAATTAGGGGAATTCCTCTCAAGAATGTCCTCCAGGAAGTTACTATACGCTTCCGGGTTTGTATTATCGGTATAATGACACTGTGGGGTGGAAACACCAATTGATAATTTACTGCATACATTCGTCAAATTCTGTACAAAGGTCTGAAAAATGAAATCATTAACATTTTGTATCGAAACATATAACACTGTTTTATATCCTAACATACATCATATTATATCTTGAATTAAAAAAAAAATAAAAAAAGAAGAATTTATACCGTTATTTGATGGTGCTGACGGCATATTATTATCCAATTGTCCAATCTCTTCGTATGTAATAACTTTTGTAGTATATTGTCCGTCCAATCTCCAGTCTTGTTAGCAGAAATAATATTGTTTCCTCCAAATACAAGCTTTCTAGGAGATAATGTACGACTTGTAAACTGGACTAATTCTTTACCTAACGCAACATTCCATTCTCGAAGTTCTTCTTTGATTGCTTGTTCTGAATAAAGAATTTGATGTAATTTTATGTATTCATTTAGTCGCTTCTTAGCGTCCATACGAGAATACTTAGAAAAATTTTTCATTAGTGTTTTATTCTGTCTTATATTATTGGTTACACCTACAAAAGAAAAACATTTATACTTCAAACGGAAAAATGTACGCATTGATTAAATTTGATGGAAACTTGAAGTATTAACAGAACGTACCTATAGTACAACACAATTCAGGGACTAGATAAACATACTTTTTGTCTGTACTTCGTTCCCCTAATTTTTGTCTTGCATATAACAGTGGTTGATTTAGATTTCTTATGGTAATCTCATATGTGTTTTTATAATAATCAAAATAGGACATATTAAATGCCATTATCGAGGAAGGATTCTTCTTAAAATCGACATTTTCAATACAATATACTTCTTCTGTATAGAGCGTTATTACGTAAGCTCCAATAATATCGGTGTACTTGTTCTAAAATTACATACTTCTTGTTAAATATAATGCAAAAAATGATAAAGAAGAATAAATATTAATCTTACCCGATCGATAGAATCCGATGCAGGATTAAAATTATTAAACGGTAGATGTCTCAATATTTTATACATTACTTCGCAACGTATCAGAATATTGTTCTCGTGTTTTTGAACCGATGTGATATAACCAGGCCACATTATTTCCCGAGTGTTTTCTATGTTTTTCTACCGTCAAATGATTGTTATAAAAATTATTAATTTTTAAACATAGAATATAATAATATTTGTGCATGCTTCTGCTAACCTCTTCTTTTACATTGAAGTGACAATAGCCTAGCTGCATCATTTGTAAATGTTTAAAGCAATGTTTTATTATCATATCATAAATTTTAACACTAAACGGATTTTTCGGGACTATTTCTCCAACATAAGACAGTTTAACTCTGACGATCTCATTACTGTTATATTTAGTTAGCGCGAACTCCCAATCCTGTAATTGTTGTACATTTTTAAAAGCGTTCATTCATGAAACTGTGTGTATTTACATTTATATAGAATAAGAAACAATATTAAAACACACTTATGTGTATGTGTATATTTATATTTATATAGAATAAGAGAAAATCTGTTAAAACACACTTACATGTTCTAATTTAATGGTGCTATATAAAACATTTCCATTGAATACATATGGCTTGATTGTTTCTTTCCTTAACCTGAGGATAGTTTTACGAGATACAATATTTTCTATTTCCGGTCTAAAAGTTACATTATACTTATAGAAAGATTGACCGTCAGTTGGACATTCCAAAGTGATATAATTTGTTATTAGATTAATAGGAGCACCTGAGTATCCTAGAAATTTATAGAAATAATTGAAAATTACAAAATAATCAGTTTATGCTTAATTTTATTGTCTTTTCTTCATCAGAAAATTTAAAGAATATTATCTGTACATAATTTATATTTTATATATATTTAATATAATAAAAGTTTATAACAAATTCTGTGCTCGCGCGCAAATCGTTTTCAATAAATAATACTCATTCTTAGATAATGGCTACAATTTATACTAACCTTGTTTAGACTCTAAATTACTTGGTCTGGTGTTGAAAGGTTCCGGAGCCATAAGTTCTTCTACTGCATTTTTATGTTCGTCTTTCAAAAATAATTGTATTTAAATATAATTTTTTTAAAGGGCTCTATAATATCAGAAAAAACCAGATAGAAAAAAAACTCACCAGTAGTATCATGTTCTGAATGTGTTAGTGAAGTTATTGAAATTACGGAGAACTTCTCCTCAGTGTACTATAACAAAATGTTATTTTATGTATGCGCGCGCGCACACACGCACGCACGCACGCACGCACGCACGCACGCACGCACGCACGCACGCACACACACGCACGCATATACACTACTGCAATGTTTTTCTCTTTTCTTTTTTTAACAATATTTATATTGTATATTTTATATTGTAATGATATTGAATATTACATCCTTTACGGGAAAAAACACTCAAATATTGAGTATCTATGTTAAATTATTCGAATTTACTCTCAAATGTGGGTATATACACTCAAATTTGAGCATATATACCCACATTTGAGAGTAAATTCGAAAAATTGAAGGTAGATACTCAATATTTGAGTATTATTTTCTGTAAGGGATAAATGACTTTTACTAGACTTTCTCCTGATAGTGTCATCTCTGTTCATGATGAAAAAATTGATTTCACCAATTATAAAATATTTGAAAAATCCTAGGAAAAGAGAAATAGTACAATGTACACAAGAAAAGATACGTAGAAAGAGCTGTAGAAAAATAAATTGTGACAGAATGCTTATCTTTTCTCAAAACAAGCATATGTTTTCGGAACTTAAACAAAAAAAAAGAAACAGATATACAGCCAAAACTTGTTGAAAAAGAAAGAGAGGAAAAAGAGAAATAGTATAAAAAATACAGTAGAAAAGAGCAGGCTAAGAATAAGACACTTAAGTCTGTGCAACTACACGTAAATATTAAATCTGCTTATTTTCTAAAAATATCTGTTTTAGAGCACACTACTGCAATAAATTAAAGAGAGAGCAAGTATATTTGTTTGACTTTAACTTATTGCAACGATTTGGAAGTTTTTAAAAACCGGAAGGAACTAATGGAAGGGAAGATAGAGATTAAAAAAGATACAGAAGACTTGATAAACAAATCTTTTGTCATGTATTATTGACAAGGGAGGACACATTGCCTTCTCTTTACATTTAAGTAATTGATATTTTAGGACATGTTGATACTTACTTGATATGTAAACATGGAGCTCTCTATAGTAGAGGAAGAAGTATCTTCCGGAAATTCTGAAACGGGGGCTTGAGGAGGATCATCCATCTAAAATATATTTCTATTAATAACAAATAATTGGAAATGTAAAATATACCTACTGTAAATTACTGTAAAATACATTAGTTTCTATTGATGTATAATACTACTAGAATTAATTGAACTATACTCTAGTCTCTATTAAAAAGATTTGCAATTTTTTCCATTGACTATTTTATTAGAATTAATGTGATCTTCAATCATTTTCTGTACATCCAAATAGTTGAAATTCTGTATACAAGGCTATTATACTGGTGTTTATATTTCATATCCATTTAATATATTTAAAAGTGCAGACAATTAGTAATATATAAAAGTTTATTTAAATAATTTCTCATAAACATGACATTTGTGTCATATATAAAATATTTAAAAAATCTCACAGCATATTAAAAAATATGATTAATCTATCTAATCCAAATAGCATAGACTTCCTATAAGTATCTAAAGAACATCCAGATGGATGTCGTACGTCCCACGGACACCTACATGACATCCCCAAGACATTGCTTTGGAGATTTATGTTCTCTATTTGGGAAGCTACTTTTTTTTTAATAGAAAAACTGTGCATTTAATATAAGAGCAATATAATATTGTGATAAAACTAACCTGTAGTTCTTCTGACGGCTGCTCACTCTGTTTATAACGAAAACATTTCATCAAATACAAAATAAAATAATTGAAAAACACAACTATAAATATGCAAAATACACCAAGAAAAGAGAAATAAGACAGAGTATAGTCGAATCGATACATAGGAGAGAAAGAGAAAATGGCTTATTCTTTCTTTGTGTTGGTGTATATATTTTTGGAACTTAAAAAAATTGATGTACAGTCAGAACTTATTAAAAGATATGAAAAAGAAAATTAATGCGCGAAATGCAATAAGAAAGAGCAGTCTAAGAATATACTTAAATATATGAAATTTTAACATATAAAACTAAATTAAACCTAAGTAAACGAAGTACATTAGGTCTGTTTGTTTTTAAAGAACTTCTGAATTACTGCACACTTGTTTGACTTTAATTTATTGTAACGATTTGGAAGTTTTTAAAAAACAAAAAGAACTAGTAGAAGGGAAGACAGAAATTAAAAAAGATACAGAGGACTTGATAAATAAATCTTGTGTCATGTATTATTGACAGGGGAGGATACATTGCTCCCTCTTCACATCTAAATAATTGATATTTTAAGACATGTTGATACTTACTTGATGTGTATACATTGGACTCTCCATAGTAGAGAAAGAAATATTTTCCGCAAATATTGGAACTGGGGCTTGAAGATTATAATAGGATCCAGGAATATTTGCCTAAAATATATTTCTATTAACTACAAATAATTGGATATGTAAAATATACCTATTGTAAATTATATATAAATTATATAAAACAGTGCAATATATTATAAGTAGAAAAGATATATCAGTTTTATTCTAACATATTGCATTAGATTAAACGTTCTTTGAAAATGAACAAACTTTTTAAAAGGAGAGAGAAATTAAGAAAAAAACGAATAGCACGGCTGACTGTTATGTATTATTGGCAGAAGGACACATTGATGCCTCTTCGTATTTAAATAATTAATATTTTGGGACATCTCAAACTTACTTGGTACGGATATTGGAAATGCGGGATTTGTGCGTTTCTGATGATTGGAACATATATGACATTTGTAGAATATCCTGGATACGTGTAGACTGTAAATTGGCCATCGCAAGCTAGACCTTCAAAACGATTTATCTGAAATATATTATTGTTAATAGCAAATAACTAATTGGAAATATAATCTGCATTTATATATATTAGTTGCTATTGAGATGATTAATTCCATCAGAATTAAGTGAACTATACTTTAAAGTCTATTGAAACTTCCCAGTCATCAAAGTGTACAAATATACACTTTGTGATTAGAGCAATAAATGTATTGTGGTAATGTTATCTAGGACGTATTGATTCCTCTTCATATTTAAATAATTGATATTTTGGGACATCTCAAACTTACTTGGTACTGTTGTTGTAAATGCAGGTCGACTACTGGACAAAATACTGTATGTGTAGAATATTCTGGGCGCGTGGGGATTTGGACACAGCAGTATGTATCTTGAGGCATCTGAAATATATTATTGTTAATAGTAAATAACCAATTGGAAATGTAATCTGCAGTTGGTTATATATATTAGTTACTATTGATATATATATATTTTTATCAGAATTACATTTCAGTATCTATTCAAACTTCTCAATTATCAAAGCGTGCAAGTTTAGACTAAAAGAATATATTATTTATATCTATTTTAAATTTATACTTTGTAGCAAATATACTGTTGCAATTTTTTTCTATTGACTATTTTCTTAATAAAATTAATATGATTTTCAATCATTGCCTGTATATGTAACTAATTGAATATTTCTGTATGCAACTCTATCATACTGGTATTTATATTTCACATCCATTTAATATATTTAAATGGTGCAATCAATTAGTAATATACAGTAAAAATTTAAAAGAATTTTTTGAACTAGAATGTATTAAGAAACCAACATAACTTTTATATCAAGCAGTAATTGTGTCAGAATGCTTTTTTCTCTTGCATTAGAATACATTTTTAAAACTTAAAAAAACTGATATACAGTCAAAACTTGTCAAAATATATGAAGATGAAAAATAATGTGCGAAATATAGTAGAAAACATGTTTCAGTATATAGAAAACAGAACAGTTTAAGAATACACTGTGCATATAAAACTATAAGTGGATATTAGGGCTAGTCGTTTTAGAAAAACTTCTGAACTAGTGCATTGCAATAAATTTTAAGTAAACAAATTAAACTCGTTTTATTCTAACTTTTTGCACTAGATTAGGAATTTCTCGGAAATGGACAGACCTATCAAAAGGAGAGAAAAATTAAGAAATAGAAAATTTGATAAAATATACTAGCAAATAATACAGCTGATTGTCATATATTATTGGCAGAAAGACACACTAATTCCTCTTCGTATTTAAATAATTGATATTTTGGGATATCTCAAACTTACTTCGTAGTGATATGATACATAGTGAATTCTTCCATCGATAGGCTGAATATTATGACCGATGGTATTTGTAGCATATCCTAACATGGGGTTTGGATGATAGCCATAGGGAAGTGCACCTTGAGGTATATATTGAGGTACATTTTGGTATTGAGGTATACCTTGAGGTATATTTTGAATTGGATTAGACATCTAAAATATATTATTATTATTAATAGCAACTAACTAGCCAATTGGGAATGTAAGATATATCTACAGTAAAGTATATATATATATATATATATATATTAGTTTTTATTTTAGTTAGTATATATATAGATATACATTAGCTATTGATATAATTCCATCAGAATTAAGTGAACTATATCAGAATTCAGTGTCTATTGCAACTTTTCAGTTACCAACCCTTATAGAAAAAACACTCAAATATTGAGTATCTATACTCGACTATTCGAATTTGTTCTCAAATGTTGGTATATACACTCAAATTTGAGTGTATACACTCACATTTGTGAGTAAATTCGAATAATTGAATATAGATACTCAATATTTGAATGTTTATCCATAAAGGAAAGCTTGCAAGTTTACAATTTACACTAAAAGAATGTATTATATCTGTATTCAATTTTAAATTTATACTTTGTGATTAAACATTTGAATCAGATTTTAACTCTAATATTTTTATAATATATAGTAATGAACAAATTTAAACATCTTTCTTCTGATAAATTTCTAAGTATATCTATTCAGACATAGCGAAATAGGGAAAATGAAGAAAAATTAATCATTTGCAAATTACTAAAAAACCAAAAATTCTTCTATTATGTAATACAGCAACAAAAGTATTATTGCATGTTTTTTTCCATTATCTTATTAGGATTAATATAATTTTTGATCATTTCCTGTATGTACAAATGGTTGAAGCTCTATTGTGTGAGATAATGATATTGGTGTTTATGTTTCAAGTCTATAAAATTAAAACCTTTTGAATGTTACTTAGAGACAATATGTTAATAACATATATCAAAGTCAAGTTCATTGAAGGTGATTTTAATGATATAAACATTTATTGTTTCTTTTTTTTTAATAGAAAAACTGCAATATTAGAACAATATGATATTAAGACAAAATTGACCTTTATTCCTCTTCTTGCTAATGGATGCTTCTTCTGTTTATGAAAAAATTCATTTCATCGATTATAAACCATATAAAAAATGAAAGACAGTCTTAAATGTATAGAATATATCTCAGGAAAGGATATAATGAAGTATACATTAGATGTTTTGTTTAATTTAGAAGGTTGATGATCAATGGATTGTATTATTTATTTAAATTATTTCAATTAAGATGATTTTTTCCACTTATTGCAACATTTCTCTGGCAATAAATGGATTTTATGATAGGAAAAACTTATCTTTAGGAGCAATTCATTTATTATCAACTTTCAAAATTAATCAAAACACCTAACCCAGGAAGCATGTGTCGTTTAGAAACGTTTCCGAGACGTTTTACAAACGATTATGAAACGTTACATATATTTTTTTTTATTACCAATAATGAACGACTTTAGAAAATATATGTAAAACCAACACGCGCTACTAGGGAATAACAGAAGTTACAAAAAGGCAAATTCCCACACAGTCTAAAATATATTCTAATATCATCCTGAGTATACTCTGAATATAGAAATTTTTAAACTTTCACTTAAAATCAACGTAGAATTATATGAAAATAATTTACATATTTATTGAATATTATACTAATCGTTTTTTTCGTAAAGATAAATTATAACAATTGATCACATCTAAATTTGAAATTGCATTTGCTTTCAACGTTTTTGACTGGTAGCGCAAAATTGTATTACTTATCATGTGCCGGAGGAAGATAGAATAATACTTTTAATATAAAAGTGTTTAAATCAGATGTAGTCTAAATAATTACCAATAATGAACGACAGCAATTAAGAACTTGAGTACTCAACAGCCAAGTTGAATTGAATAGCGCTTTTAACAGTGACTGCGTGCACACGCTAATGTTAATCTGGTTTTGTAACAACTGATTGGTGAGTTCTTGCATATAATTGGAGTATATTTTTAAATCTAAAATAATACACCAATCAAATGCAAGAAATCTAACTACGTTGTTAAGGTCATTACATACATTTTCCATAGCCGTAACAATCAGTAACAATATGATTTCGACCAATCATGTTGCCCGATTTGGCCGTCCTTAACGGTAACTGTTTGAAACAACAACATGATTGATTGAAATCTTACCGCCCTTGCGCACAGGATGTAGTACGCTTGCGCGCGGAAGTTGGCTAGGGAATACCACAGTGTCCAATCCATTGGTCTGTTCTTTTTAGCTGCACTAGTGAACTGGTGCAATAAGTTAAAGTGAGAAAAAATATAGTTGTCTCATTCTAACTTATTGTACTAGTTCCGCAGTGCAGCTGAAAAGAATAGACCAAATATCTTGCTTGCCTGGAATTATTAGAATTAATACAAAACATCGGAACGTAAGTTGTTAATTGGATACTATGGTATTCTCTAGAAGTATATATATCGCAGTGGCCAATCAACGTCCCACCAGTGATGACAAGTTGTGGGAATTTTTCCTATATGAGAGCCGTTGTGCGCATGCGTGAGCATGACGTCAGAGCTCGTTGCAAGCGTTTCCAGTGGTGGACGTAAGCGCAGATAGTAGGCGCAAATAGTGCGCAGAGTCCCGCGTGTCTGTCCCTTACAGTTGCCTCGCGTTTTCTCCGTGAATACTTACGTTATGTATTCATAATGTGAAGTGTTATAATAAATTGGAGAAGCGATAAGTTTAGTGATAAGTTAAGAAAAAGCTGTGATAATAAACGCAATAGGAATTAATATAATATATTAACTGCAAATGTAAAAAAATTACAAATTAATCAATTTTATTATTATCTTTTATTATTCATATATAAACTACATTATATAAACTATATTATATTTATTGAATAGAAATGTTTTTCCTTCCCTATAATTTCCTTCACATTTCCTTCATAATGGGGACTTAACAATACCTTCAAATATATACGTGAAGTTACTACAGCGTTTGCTCAATACGCATGCGCGACTTTTCCCACGACGTGTCATCACTGACCCACATGACTCATGTTTTGTAAATACTGGCTGTGTTTCAAAATTCACTGCCAGCATTGAAATTACATAGTTTGTGTCACGTATATTATATTATAGATTTTCAGTGCTGGCAGTGAATATTGGAATGCAGCCATTATCCCGGTGAAGCAAGATTCTGAATAGCTGCTGCAGTATTTCCTACCCAACTTTCGTCGCGCGGCAAACGTGTCGCGGCCTGTGTCCATAGGTCAATGGCTGCGTTCCGAAATTCACTGCCAATACTGAAAATCTATAGTATACGTGACGCAAATGACACTATGTATTTTCAGTACTGGCAGTGAATTTCGGAACGTAGCCTATATCTGTCTATGTATACAAAATTTACCCATAAGTACTAGCGAGGCATCACGAGGCATTCTAAAGCCAGCGACACACGGTGTTTGTTTTCGTGCTGGATTGCTTGCTGGATGAAAATACTGCGTTCTGATTGGTGCATTTCCATCCATCTTTGAAAATGTACCAATCAGAACGCAGTATTTTCATCCAGCAAGCAATCCAGCACGAAAACAAGCACCGTGTGCCGCTGGCTTAAGGCGTTCTAACGTTTGGATTGCATGTTCAAGAATTTTATCATTGTTGGATACTGTTTCAGGGTACATGCGATCAAAAGTTACAATTTGCATCCAAAGTAATTCGTAAAATTTTTAATACGAACACAAAAGGTAATTTCATATAATTCTACAGTAATTTTGAATGAAAATATTTGGTTTTGGTGTTTGATTACGACACATACGTAAAATTGTAAAAGGACAGCATAAAGCAATTTCACGTAAATTAAAAAAGAACTAATACTTTAAATCTATGCCTTTTATCATAAATATTTAGTAAAATTTTATTGCCTTTTATTATAGTAAAAATTGTTTTATATATAAAATTAGTCAAATTATCTTTTTAACTGTAATGTGTGTGATAGTAGTATACAATATTTGACATAATTAATATGGAGCATTAATATGGAGAAACTATAAATTTCAATTTATAATTTTCAACTCCTGGTTTAGTATTGACAGTAAAATTATATTTTAGATGTCTCAACGAGATAGAAGAGACTATGATCCTTCTGAACCATCAACTAGTAGTGGATATCGCAGAACAGGAACACATGATCCATCCTTTAGTAGGACACCCTATTCAAGACCTCAAGAATCAGTAAGTATATAAAATCTTTCAAAATATTAATTATTTGTATGAAGATAGAAAAGATCCAATATATGTTCCTTTATTTTATATACAAATATGAGCCAGCTTTATACTTTCTTTTCTTTTCTTGAATCTTTTTTGTCTTACTTCTTTTCTAGTTTTCTTCTTGATACTTTTCTATAGTACGGTTTTCTCATTTATTTTATACTTAAATTTTTCTTTCTGTTTTTTATAATGTTCATATTTTTTATAAGATATTTTGTGTATTTATAAAGTTATATCTTCATTTAAAATGTTCTTTAATTAAATAATTCCTTTTTGTTAATAGAGAAGACATCCAGGAAGAGGAATAGTAAGGGTCAGTTTTGTGATATTCAATATTATATTGTTGTAATATTAAATATTAATGTTAAAACATAGTATGTTGCAATAATATGCATGTAATAAGTAACATTTTATTATAATAGAATGTTAGAGAAGGTCGTGAATATAGTGCTGGTCCAAGTTCATTATCTATACAACCAGAGCAACATGTTACTAGACGGAGTGAAGTTGAATCTACTGGCAAGTATTTTAGCTACTATATTTCTTGTATGATGAAAGATCTTTAACACGTTTGCGACAATCAATAAATCCATTGGTTCACTCTAAAGGACTCACAATTTATTTTTTAATATATTGCTTCTTTGTGTTTGTTTTATAACAAAAGGCTTTGCTTTCATCTTATTCAATGCAATGTTTCATAGTGTATGACCCACTGATGAACATGCACGTCTATTAATATAAACCAGTGTGATCCACCAGTGGGTCATGATGTCGCGAATGTGTTAAGAAATTATAACAATGTAATTATTTTTATAAGATGGAAGCGGAGATACTAAATTAATGAAAAGTCAACGTCGGCCTCCAGAAACTATTTTTGTCACCAGACCAGATAATTTAGTAACTAAGAAAGGTCAGTGTAAATCATTGCCTTCAAATGTATGTATGTGTGTATGTGTGTGTGTGTATGGTATGTATGTATGTATGTATGTATGTAATATTAAAAATATTTTTAGTGAATATTAAGTAAAAGTGATATTTTTAGCACATACACATTGGTTTATATTATTTTATAATCAATTTTTTCATTTCAATATTTTTTTAATTTTTAGGAACATCAGGGAGACGAATAATATTGTCATCAAATTACTTTAAATTGCATACTGAAGAATTTGCATCTACCTGGTGCCTCTATAAATATCGTGTAGATTTTGAACCAGAGGAAGATCGCACTGTGGTTCGCAAAGGTATGCTTAAACTTCACAAAGAAAGAATTGGATCATATATTTTTGATGGAACTGTTCTATATACTACTGCTCGTTTACCAGACGTAAGTCTATTACAATATATTTTCCTTTGTTCTATGTAAATGTAAATACACAAAAATTTAATAATTTAAACGTTTGTATGAATGTTACAGATACTGGAGTTGTTATCAATTCGAAAATCAGATGAGGTTCATATCAAAATTACAATACGTTTTGTTGGAGATATGTCACGAGACGATCCGCATCATATTCAAGTTTTTAATATAATAATGAGGAAATGTCTGGAACATTTAAGGCTGCAAATGGTAGGTCGTAACTATTACGACGCAAATAATAAGGTTAGTAGAAATTTATACAAATATGATTATATCTTACTATATGTTTAGAAATCAATAATTCTGATATTAATCACACTTGACCACAGATTGGCATACATGACTATAAACTGGAATTGTGGCCCGGTTATGTTACATCTATTCGACAACACGAATACAATATTCTAATGAATTGCGAAGTGACACATAAAGTATTGCGGCAGCAAACACTGTTGGACGTCTTATTAGATTGTTACAAATACAATAGTTATGACTTTAGAGTAAGACCAATATTTATTTTTATTTATGCTATATTTTTTGCACTATGTTTAATAAGAAGTATATGCAATTGTAGAGTGAATTCTGCAGAAATGTTATTGGAATTACGGTACTTACGGACTATAATAAGTACACATACCGTATTGAAGACGTCGATTTTGATGCTAGCCCTTCCTCGACATTTTCCATGAAAACGGGGGAAGTTATATCGTATCGTGATTATTACTGGCAGAAATATACAATTAGAATAACGGATATGACGCAACCAATGTTGGTGACAAGAACAAAACCTAGGGTACGAAATGCAGGCCAAGGGGATCTTGTTTATCTAGTCCCCGAATTATGTCGTGCTACAGGTATGTTGCGTCAATATCTTAAATTATATCAATTCTAATTGATGTGAAAATTTTTCTGCTTAAAACATAAATATCGAGACTTTTTATGTATTGTAGGTTTAACCGATAATATGAGAGAAAATTTCCATCTAATGAAAGCATTATCTGTGTATACCCATGTCAATCCTGAAACTCGGATCGCAAAATTGAGAACTTTTAACGATAGACTTCGCAGAGAATCGAAAGTCATAGAAGAACTTAGACAATGGAATATGAAATTAGATCCACAATTACTTGAAGTTCCTGCTCGTATATTATCTTCTGAAAATCTTCAATTCCATAATACAGCTATTACTTGTGACGAAGGCGAATGGTCGAGGAAGATGCAAAATGTGCCTTTATTGCGTGGCAAGGAATTAAGAAATTGGATGGTGATAGGTTGCGAACATGAGAGACCTAGTATAGAGGTAGTTATGCAATAATTTTCATTAATTTACATCAAATATGTACGTTATGTGTACATACGTGTACATTATGATATATTGGGCTAAAAGGATATGATTATATCTTTCAATTTAAAAAAAATTTTTTCCAGAAATTCATAAAAATGTTGATGGATGTGTCTCGACGAATATCGTTTCGTGTTGGATTGCCAAATACAAAATGGATACGTGATGATAAGTCGAGCACATATACTGAACAACTTGAATATTACCTCAGCAAATTTACTCCTGATTTAGTTTTTTGCGTAGTGAGTAATAATCGCGCTGATCGGTATATTGCTATTAAGAAGAAATGTTGCGTAGATAGACCTGTACCGTCACAGGTCTTTTTGCAAAAAAACTTGCACGCCAGATCAGTTATGAGTATTGCTACAAAAGTGGCAATACAGATGAACTGTAAATTGGGAGGAGCCCCTTGGACTATAGAAAACAAATTGAGAGGATTAATGACTATTGGATTTGATATATGTCATGATGCATCTACCAGGGGTAAAGATTTCTGTAAGTATCTTTAAATATTTATTTAATTTGATGAATATATTACCGTTATAATATTTCTACGATATCTATTTCTTGTTTCTTAATTTGCAATTTTCAGATATTTACACAAATATTTTACATACGCGCGCGTGTGTGTATTTGTGTATCTGTTAATTTTTATATCAATTTTTTTATTACAGTGGCCATGGTGGCAACTGTGGATCAAACGCTGACACAGTTCTACAGCTCTATTACTTTGTATCATAGTAAGGAAGAGCTTGCAGAACAAGTTTGCACGGGCATCACCAAAGCTGTGCAGGCTTATCGAATGAATAATAGAGCATTGCCGATATATCTTATAATTTATCGCGATGGTGTTAGCGAAGGAGAGATACCGCAAGTTTATGAAAATGAAGTAGGAAATTTGAAGAAGAAGCTGGAAGAACTGTACTATGGCCCGAACTTTAAAATGATATATATTATTGTATCAAAAAGGATTAATACAAAATTATTCTTTAAGAGGGGCAACTGGACCAATCCTCCAGTTGGTACTATCGTTGACGATGTTGTGACTAGTCCATTCAAATATGACTTTCTTCTCGTATCGCAACAGGTTAGACAAGGTACAGTTTCTCCAATCTCATTCAGTATAATATCCGACAATACTAAACTAGATGTGGAGACGATACAACAAGTGACTTACAAATTAACTCATTTGTATTACAATTGTACAAATACTGTACGTGTACCGGCGCCATGCCATTATGCACAGAAATTATCCTATTTAGTAGGAAAATACCTCCATCGACCTCCGCATACACAATTGGAAAATCAACTGTTCTTTTTATAATTTTCCTTTTTATTACTACAGAATTGATAATTTTTTGAAACAGTACTATTATGATTTTTGTTAGAATATTAGATGATAATGTCTGTCGTTTTTTTTAATCATCAGAGTCATCTGGAATAAGATTTAAAAAATTTTGACTATATATGTGTACCAAAAATAGAATTTGTTAATGTTATGGATTTATAATATTTTGTTACTAAGACTAAGGTTCACTTCCCAAAACTTAAATATTTGGTTGACACCAAAGTAACTATTTAATCGCCAAATATTTGCATTGACACATTTTTATTTTATAGAATTTTGTATTCTGCAATATATATATATATATACACATATATACATATATATATATATATATATGCTAAAATGTATACTATACATGGTAGTCTGCGATATGTATATGTATGTATGTATGTATGTATGTATGTATGTATGTGTATATATATATATTGCTAATAGGTATACTTACATATATTAATTTTGTGTTCATTACATACTTATATTATTGCATGACAACATATATATATACATATATATATATATATAACCTATATATAAACATACAGAGATAGAACTATATATCTATCTGACTTGGCAATTTAAATGATTTGACATAGGCTGATCTGGATTCATCATCAATATTAGATACGGGATATCATTAATATTGATTGTTCTGAGTTCAAAATACTGATATTCTAGTTATTTTATTGTTAAGAACTGTGAAGAATATGTTTATTTAGATATATACTTAAAATAGTATGTAATATCATAGACTACATGAAGATGTAGAAAAATACTAAACTATTTTGTCATATTCTTGAGTTATGTTACAAACTTAATAAAAAGTATAATTTTGTGTAAAAAGTGATTTATTTCAACATTAATATATAATCTAATGGAATGTTATGAAATTAATGGAAATGAAGCATTGATTTTCTAAGGTTAAAAAAACATATACACATATTTCAAACGTTGTCGATGTTATGAATTATAAACCAAAAAATATCAACAAATTTATTATTTTCTTGTTTATCAAAGCACTCATTAGCTACAGTATGAGTGTACCCTGCTGCAAAGTGTATTCTAATGTAATTGATACATTACAATCACAATGATACTAGAATATATAATTCATTTATTATTACTGTTGAGTAATAGACTTCAGACATAACATTGTTACTAATTAAAAGTGAACTATTTATTGCGTACCTTGGTTGACATCATTTTCATATGTGATATTTTTATACGATTTCCTATTACATAAAAAAATTCAGCACAAGATTGTCACACTTAATTCTAAACAGAATACCATATAGAAATACGAATCAAACATTCCTGAAATGTATTTTGCTGCATATAATCTGATTACACACACGTACACATCTTATACATTTTCCACGAGTGTTCGAATATTCAATTATAAAATTTTCGAATGATATACGAACATGATGTGTTAATAAATAGACTTATATTTCTTAAACTTAAAAACTATATATTATATTTGTACAAAATCAAAATATGTACACATCTTGTGTCCTTACATACCTTTTCATATCCAACTGGTGAAGAATTACGTGATAATTTAGGAAATAATGCTTATAGTCCGAAAGTTAACAATATGTGAAATAATACTATATTAATTTTTTTCCAAGTGATTTGTGAAATTTGAATATTATAGTCTGTAAAACAAATAATTTAAAAAAAATCAATGTCTCGTGCATATGCGTGAAAATTAAATGAAAATACGATTTTATATATATAAAATATCAATTTGTATAAATATAATTAGATTCGTTTTTGAAAAACTTCTGTACTACTGTAATAAAGGATGAAACAAGAAACATTATACATGAAACAAGTATACTTTCATTCTAACTTATTGCATTAATATAATTCTTCGAAAACGAACAGACCTTTTAAAATTGTGCATATGTGTAACTCATATTTTACTAGTTTGCACATGTTGAAGAGATTTTACACATATAAAATGCAAATAAATCTACATATTAATAAAGCACATTTAACTTGGTCGACTCTTAAGTAAAATGTTATGATTATTAATTGAAGGTACATTTCAGAAAGACACATCGTACGCTCCTAATATTTTTCTAAAAATAAAGTATACATCTATATACATACATATATAAGTTCAATTTAAAAAATATCTATAATATATTAGTAATTTTTCTAAAAAGAACATCTCTCTCATTCTCGCAGAGCTTACATATAATAAAGTGACAAAATACGATATAGGATATCGCTTCTTTTAATGCTATATAGTTATTTTTATCACGTTCATTTTCACACGGTATTTACAATAATGATCAAAATATATCAACTGGTTTAAAATGTAAAAAACTAAAAGCTCAAAGCTAATTAAAAGACTAAAGCAAATGTTTCTCATTCTTTTCTTACGTATGCAAAATATTCGTATTTATTTTATAATAAAATATATACGTACTCCCTTCTCAATATAATAAAATAATTATATATTGCAAACAAAAAAGAAGTAAACAATTTCAAAACAAAATATATACTCTAGTAACAAGATATATTCTTGATCACTTTTATGTAGAAACTTGAAAAAATATGTCATTATTAATATAAATTAAAAGTTTATCCAGTTGGAATATTTCACTTGTTAAACATTATTTGCATTTATTTCGATGTTAAAAAACAGTAAAGAAATAAACAAAAAGATGACAGATAAATATGAAATGCAATGTATCGAATTTATGTGATGTCTAGATATAATAAGTTTCAATAAATATTTGTATAGACTTTTCATATTACTTTTTGATGTGTAATGTACGTAGATGATAAAAAATGATAACATTTCTACCATAGCATAAATGTACAATTTAATTTCAAAAAATTAGTCAACTATTGATATCTATTTTTAACTGTATCATATTGCCATATAAATACATTTATTTCAAGCTTTAATCGTCACACGTTATTATTTGCAAGAAATGTCCTTTTAAGTGATTTTTCCGCGTATATCTACTGTTTCTAAATTAGCGTTTTTACCATTTAAAATGTATAATTGTTATTAGTAAGAAACATCAAATTTGTCCTTATTGACTTGTCTTATCTATGTCAAAATATTTTCGAAAATAAGCAAATTCTTTTTATTAGAGGGAATTTACGTAATTAAAATGTAGCAATAATTTCGAGAAACATAATATAATTATACAGGATGTGGCACTTAAGACAAGTACACACACATACACACAAAATTTTAAAGATAATAATAATAACAATAACAACAATAATAATAATAATAAAGATATAATAACTTTAGAAATAATATTGTTTTGACATTATTATATGCTTTATTAGTTCTATGTCAATATGTGCACACAAATAACAAATATATACACACGCACGCGCGAGCATGCAAACTAACACAGAAATAATAGAAGCATATAAAAATGTACAATGTGGCAAAACAATATTATTTTCCTAAAATTATTATATCTTTATCTTTTCTTATTTAAAAAGGACTGCACATATCACAAACCATTGTCATAATATCTCCTCGATAAGATAAATCAGTAGTTAAAAATCTCACAAATTACTTTCATATTTACAACATCTAAATCTAATTAAACAAATATTTATAATATGATTGTTAAATATATATTTTTAAACAACAGTTACTTTTTTAATATTAAAATAAGCAGTTAAAAACTTGTTCAAATAAAATAGTTTTCAGAATATACTACTACAGAATTGACTACTATATTGGTAACTTACAGAAAAAAGTTTGTAATATAAAATATAACCTCATAACTATGACTTTCAATTACAATTATATTTTAGTTTTTATGTTAAAACCTCAGCATACATGGCTGAAATGAATCGAGATAGTAGAACGAAGGAATATTTTATATGTACAGTGTGATTTTTTGAAGCTCGTCGATATGGATTCCAAATACTAAGATTATTCATTGTGGATATGCTTTGCTACTTTTTCGAAGTTGCCTCGTAAAGAAGTTTTGACACTGCATGTGGAGATTGATATAAAAGAATGTCAGGATTCATAAATCAATCGTTGATAATGAGGAAATATTTCCCAAGTTGGTAGATGCAGACCAAATTCTAGAGCTACCAGCACAGCAAATTCAGATGTAAATAAATCTTTGCGATTTAAGCGGAATACGCCTTCAATTCTCTGTAAATGAACGTAAAGTTTATTGTCATGCAAAAATTGATTTAATTATTTGCCACATAATATGAAACAGATACCTCAATGAGCGACTTAAGAATATCACGTCTTGCATCATTAAATTTTGCTGCGAGAAGTAAACAAGCACCAGCGCATAACTTCCGTGTTTGTTTTGTCACAATATTTCGGAGAATGAGCTTTTCAAAATACACATAGGCCATTGCAACGGTAAGTAAATCAATGCCATATTCCAATCTAGCTATTTTTCTCATTTCCCGTTTTAAGCTGAAATAAAATTTTATTTTATGAAAGCAATGTTTTGCAATATAATATTAAAACATTATACAATGTTTGTGAGGCCAACTATTATTATAAGTTGTACGAACCTTCGAAGTTTACTGAGAGTAAGTTGAATATGTGGAAATTTCTCTTTAAATTTATCATTCAATTCTTTCTTCAGATCGGAAGGTCTTACATAATCAATAACAGACGCCTAGATAAAATATTAAATTATTTATTGATTAAAATGCATTGCAATGAAATATTAGCTAAAGCAGTTATGTGTGCATGCGTGTGTGTACATAATGCATTTAAATACATACCATGTACGAGGTAAATGTAAGTAATGTCCTATGTTTCCCAGCAATAAGTTCTGGATCGTCCAGTAAATTTGGATTGTATTGGGCAGATTGTTCGTCCCAATCATAAACTGTGACATGGGATTAAAATAATTATATTATATTAATATTGGATATTAATTTGATAGGAATTTGCGAGAAGTATTATGTCGTTATTCACCTTTAGAATCAGCACTAAACGATAATGGTGGAGACTCAGATGTTATGTAATGCGCACGATTTGTAGCTGTATCATATGAAAGACACCTGAAGTAAAAAAAAAAGAGAATTACTATGAAATATATTCTATGCAATTATTTTACTTTTAGGCATGCAACGCGTCACTTTAGAATTTTCGCATTCTTTCCAATTCACGCTCACTCACTCACAGAAATTAGACTTATAAAGTGCTTAACTTAAATTTTTGAGATTCTATTTATGTTTATACATATACTATAAATACAAGTCAATGTGTTACATATTTTAAAATACTTATAAATAAGCATTTCTCTAGATTGGTCAATGATATGGTCAATAAAAATGGATAATTGTCATATTACAAAAATATGACAGTTATCCATTTTTACAAAGTATGTACAAATTATGTTAAAAATAGTCAGAATGCACATATGGGAATGATAATAATATTTAACTTTCAATATTAATTTTTTCTTATTATATATTTAAAGTAAAGTGTAATTATACTATATTACTATATGGATATTACCATGTAGATATTACATGATTACAAATGATACGATGCCTGATTCTGATAACACATCTTTTGCAGAAATATATCATAATTTAAAAAAATAATAGCTTTCTTGTTGATATTTGTGTATAGTGTACCTTACATATACAAAACTACTCAATATCTTTTCTATATATTTCATTACTTATATTGTACAATAGTTTTTACCATTTTTTGTGATCCACATTCCAAGTAATTGTTTTTGTCCTGCAAAAAGATGGTTGATGTTTTGTTGTAAAATAAATGTATGATATGAATTCATGTATACATTACCTATAAGATAGAGATAGAGAGAGACAAGGCGGAGAAAGAGTGAGAGTAAGGGAGAAAGAAAAGACGGGGGGAAGATAATAGATATCTAGATAATAATGTACGAATTGTGCAAATAATTTTAAAAATCATAAGTATGACATATATAAAATTAAAGATGTTAAAGATATGTGTATTGATTTTAATGCAATAATTACTAGACATTCTTTATAATGAACGAAATTTGAAACACTGATTTTTATGATATTTCTGATGATCTACATTTTTAACCTATAAAGTCTAATTAAAAATTTAACTTGTATAATACACAAATGAAAGGAAGAAATATACAAGATTTTTAACATAACAGTTCGCACAATATTTTAGACGCTTTTGAACGTTTAAAGAAAAAATTGTAAAGTGAGTATTCACTTGCTTCATACAGACTACAACTTAAAATAAAAAAATTAAAAACAAAATTCTCTATAAAAATTAATCGTATTAGCTGATCTTTTTAAAATATGATTTCAAAAATATCCTAAAGATAATTTTGAACTATTTTTTTGCATTATAGACTAGACAAACCTGTTAGAAGTACACACTCTTTATATCAAAGGGGATATTTTGTTTTAGCTATAGCAATTGTGTATTAAGAAAATGCAGATATCGATGTGATGTTAAGAGTCCTTTGTAAAAATGAAATCATGCTCTATTCAATAAAATAATAATCTAGTATGTCATTAATTTCTGTATTACATCATAAGTTTAAGTTTTTCTATTGTTTTTATATTGTTATTAGTAAAAGTGAAATTTATAATGTGTTGGATTCGTCTTAAAGTCCTCTTCAATAATATTGTAATGTAATATAAGAGAGATTGCATGGTGCCACTTAAAAAATTTAAGGTGACCTTGATTTTTTATGAAGAAACTTCTTTTCAGATATTTATTACAATTGTAATCTATATAAAGCAGATGAACGTTCATTTTATTTTCTCTTTAAAACGCGGAAAGTGTTCATAAAATAGTGGGGACCATTATGTTAAACATCCTGTATATATGTGTAAATACAAAACTCTACTACAAGTAAAATTTTCGTTTATAAGTACCTTTGCACTATGTGATGTTTATTAGGTATGAAGTGCATAAGTTCCATAGCTTCATTCTCATTTGGGTTAAATTTTTTATCCCTTTGGAATTGTCTCGATGGTACAAGCAATTGTCCATAAGATATTTCCTACAATGTCAGGAATTGAATATTATATTACTGTCGAACATGAATTTTTTCGAACATTTCACCATTGAAAAATTGGACGAATATTCTGTTTCTAGTACCTGGCCATCTTTCGCGTATTCTATGCCCAATGATCCAAATGAATCAACATTGTCGTTAATCGAGGATAGTGGTCTTTGAGACGAAACGTTTTTTCTTCGACCTGTATCTTTACGCAATTCTGACCTGTAAATAACATTACAATATCAGCATGAATTTTATCAGGTTAGCATTTATCACATTATTCATAATAATATTGAATAGATTAGCGGACATTTTAACGTCACATATCAACATAATGTATTCGATCAATATCGTCATTTTAAACGAAACAAATGTGTTATATCATAAATAAGAAGTATATATGTATATAAAATATCTTAAAATTGTCACACTTCTGTGCATTCTGTATGTGCGCTCCTGTATGTGTACTCTTTGCGAATTACAAATTCTACAATTGCAACTAAAGATATAATAGCAGTTATTTAAAAATACGAATATTCCGAAAACCCGAATGTTCCTTTAAATTTGCTAAAATATCCTTAATTAATTAAAAATATACGACAAACTTAATGATTTTACCAATCATTATATGTATGAAACTTAGATTACTTGATTAGATTAGTTGATAATAAAGTCCTATCGGACAGAATTCTATTGTTAGATATAATAGGTACAATTGACTGATAAGCTGCCTAAGATATTATTTTCATATTAAGTGTTCAGTACCAAGTAGTTATCTATAAATGTGTTTGAAAACAAACTTGAAATAAGATCTTAAAAATGTTTCAAGTCAAAAATAATTTTTTATCACATTTTCTTATTTATACATTAAATATAAAATTTATTTGCACTGTAAATAAAAATTCTTTGTCTCTTCTACATATATATGTATACTGATAAATCTTACCAACTAGTACGTTGTCCTTTGTTATATGGTATAGCAGAAAATACTACAAATGGCACATGATGGTTTGATACCAAAACCATTCTATCGTCTCCAAATTTATAGCCATCTACAGGCCGTTGTATCAAACGTAATTCCTTTGTAACTTCTGGTATTATACTACTATTTGTAGAAACAGTTTGCACATTAATCACTGCCTTTGTCTTTGGTTTTAACGATTGTGCCTTTGAATGTACGGAGCCGATGCTTTCGCTGCTACTATTATACTGATGCTTAATATCTTCTGATAACGTAGAGGTTTGATGACTTATACGCTTCTTATATTGTAAAGAACCCACACGTCTTTCTGGTAAAGAATAGTCGCTTCCGGTAGTTCCCGTTCTGTAAATATAGATACAACATTAAAATATATAAATTAAAATATATAAACATTTAAAATGTATATTCAAAGAAAAAACAGAGCAATAGTAGTAGTGTGAATTTTTATATGATACAGATAATATTATTTCTTTGTTCAGATAGATATATATATATATATATATATATACTGTTTATTTACACCAATTGTTTAATACGTATATCAAATAATTATTTTCTACTAAATTATTTCAATTTCTGTAATGTATATATACAGCAGTATATCAATTTAATATACTATCTTTTAAATGTATCAAAAATAATAATAATTATAATACTTGTAGATGTTTTCGATACTACTTGAATATGCAAATATCATCCAATCTGTCAAAATCAAGGAATCTGTCGAATCAAGGAAAACTTTGAGGTGAAACATTGTAATATATTGTATTGTAATGCAAAAACTCTCAAATATTTTTAACCTCACGTTTCTTGTTCTAAAATACAAAGAATATAGAATTTTTTCAAGACATGGCAATTATATAAAAGAATATCTTGAAATTAGTATAAATATTATACATAAACATTTCTAATACACACAAACTCAGCTCAATACTACAGTTCTAAGATTAATTTGACTTGTGAAGTCATATATTAAAGGATATAAAATTATAAAAATGTTGAAATTATATAAAATATTTTACAATATATTCATACACAACTTAGTGCTATTGAAACTCTTTATCTTTCTTATATCACAATTATAGTATATTATGATTATTTTTTACCATTTCTGTTATTACATTTATTATATTCTGTTATTATATCTTTTAATTCAAACTAAATATATGATGAATAATTCCCCATTATATATTTGCCTTATATCTATAAAATCAAGTGATATAAAAAGGATATGACAAATGCTCACCGTTCTCTAAATGAGCTATGCATTCCAAAGGAGAATTGCAGATGATTTCTCTCCTGTTCCAAAAACATGGCAACTGCTGCTTTCGCAGGAGTAAGTACACTATCTGAATCAGAGCTAATGGAGTTATGGTCCGTGCTCTTGTGTATTAGTTGCGGAGAATTAGTCTGTACTGTCTCTTCATTCTGTGGAAAATTGCAAATCTCTTCTAGACAATCATCTAGAACTTCCTCCATAGAGACCTCAAAGTCAGAGCTCTGACACATATTGAGTATTGTTTGTTGATCTGACTGGCCATCGCTAAATACACGTGCGTGTGTCGATTCATTTCGTGACAGAACGGCGAACTTAGTGTCACGGTGACTGCCGTCAAGGGAGATGTTAGACAAGAATGTGAGAGCGGCCAATCTTCTGCGTGAGTGATTTTTCTTTATGGTCGCTGCCATTCCACGGTACACCGTGCTGAGATACCGGTGTAATCAAATACCAAGACCAATAACAATGTGTGTTCGATGATAATGACAATAGCAACGTCGGCGACCGCGACGACAACGGCGACAACGACGGTGATGGACACAACGTCAACGATGTCGGCGACGGCGACGGTGACGACGACGATGACAACAATCACAACGGCGACAAAAATGACGATGATGATAACGACGACAATAACCACAACAGCAGCAGCGAGGACGACGGCGACGAGGATCGCGACGACGGTCGCGACGACGGCGACGGTCGCGACGACGACGACGGCGACGGCGACGACGGCGACGGCGACGGCGACGGCGACGGCGACGATGACGACGACTTTATCGAATAAGAACTACTAAGATCACAATACATTATCATTACTGATGCACTTAGTTCTAGCATTGTCATTTATAATCATAACCGTGCACCACACATATAAGCGTGAACTGATGTTGTTCATCATCATGTAATTTCTTCTACCCGGTTGCTTCGCGATCTCACTCACGTTACTTAACCACAGACTTCTATATAATACACTAGACTGCTAACTGCGTCCCTTTAACTGTTGTCAAAAAGTATGTACGACTTGCGCAGAATACGGACTAAGGGATGCGCAGTAAACAGTTTTATATACTCTTGTAGGCGCGCTGCCGTTCCGGCATGTTTTTTTATGAGTATTTATTTACAATTTATATAAAAATTTAATAACAAAATTTTATAATTTCACATACTATATATATATTTTTCATGATCACGCACACACACGAGTATTTTATTACTTACCGTAATTTTACCAATATTATTTTTCGCGATACGTATTTTTTTCTTAATTATAACTGATATTAAAAACTTGTATCACATTCGGGCTTATTGCAACGGCAATTACATATGTGTATGTCATTTCGAAAGGTTAGAATTGCGTTCGTATTTTGCGCATCTGCTCCGCGCATTACATGTACATAGATAACACTTAAAGCCAGCGGCACACGGTGCTTGTTTTCGTGCTGGATTGCTTGCTGGATGAAAATACTGCGTTCTGATTGGTGCATTTCCATCCATCTTCGGAAACAAGTTTCACCATAATTAATGTGGAAACATATTAATGCTGAAACATATTAATGTTGAAACATATTAATTATGTTGGAAATTGTTTTCATATTTGTCTATAGCGGAAAAGAATTAAGGATATATATCACAAGCAAAATGTAAGAATTGTTTACATACTTATATCGTACCACATATATTTCATTTCTCGCCTTTCGTTGTGAGTCACTGCGTAGGAGTGCTCCGCAGGCGGAACAGTAGCTCGGTTCAGTTCAGTTCGGTATATGGCTTTAGGTAGAAAGGCGTATCCATACGCCATTCTCCAGCTGCGTTGGAACAGTAGTTCTCATCCTTCTCGAGTCGGGATGCGTCCCGAAAATTATTAAAAAAAAAGTGACAACCTTTATAACCCAGTTCCACAAAATCAAATTTAAGGCCCAGTTCTACAACTTGCTTTAAACTCCGTTTAAAGCAAGTTGTGGAACTGGGCCTTAATAGCGCTAACAGCGAGCTACCCGAACGCACCTCTAGTTATTCTTCGCGTCCATGATTGGATGCATTTCTGATTGCCCATCTACGTTCCTCTGGCCATGTTCTCGCGCGTCGTCGCACGTGTAGGTGTACGCTGTTGCTTTGTGAGTCAGCAAAAAGGGAAGGGATTCGGTGATAATTTGTTGCAGCGGCTGTTACTGGCGAATATTATCGTCGGGAACGGCAAGCAGGTCGCGTGTTATAGTGAGAAAAAAGTCGCGAGCGAATCGAGCCGAGCGACGATGTCGAGCAATGAGAAGAAGCCGTTTCGCCGTCTGCCGACGACTGTGCGTCCCTATCATTACGATATTACGCTGACGCCAAATCTCTCCACTTTTACCTTCGACGGCACGGAGAACGTGTACATTGATGTAAGTTCGACCGCCTGTTCGACTACGCGCATCGTTCTGTCTGTTTTATTTGGTGATAACCACTCAGCGGACTGAACGACAAGAGGAAGTGCCACTAACCATATGGCGACATAACCAAGAAACTCGTCGCTTCTTCACGAGCTATTTTTGATTATTATCTAAGTTTTATTAGCACACAGTCTTATCTTGTACTTACGGGCAATTACAGCTTAGATCTTTGGACTAATTTATTAATTGCGAGCATTGTGAGTTGCACAATGATATTTGAGCCTGAGTTATCTTCCTTTTATCATATCGTTTCTTTTATCATATGTTAGACCTCTTGATAGTCCCCTCCCATTATCTTTGAAATAAATTGATCATTAAACTATTCCTAGATTCTAAATTTTTTAATTAAATTAAATCAATTTTTAATCAGTTCTCTTTTATTTTTGGGATATAGGTAAACTCTGCAACCAACACTGTTGTCTTAAATTCTTTAGAAATTAATATAAAGAATGCAACATTCAATGGAAATGATGGTAAGGTCATTTCTGCTGATAAAATTGATTTGTCGACATCGGAAGAAACATCCACTTTAGTGTTTCTTGAAAACCTACCCCTTGGTAAGAGTGGATACTTGAATTTTGATTTTGTGGGCGAAATCAATGACAAAATGAAAGGTTTCTATAGGAGCAAATATTGTGGGTAAGAATTTGATTTGTAATACTTTGTAATATATTGTTGATATAAAAAATTACAAAACTATTCTGGTTCGTTTGATTGAAATAAAAAGATATCTACTATATATGACAGTTAAAATATTTGCTAGTTTTAGTATAAGTCTTTTGTTTTTTATGATGAGAATTAGACAACTTGATACAATATAGAAGTTTTTGCTTTCAGAGATGATGGCAACATTGAACATGCAGCAGTTACTCAGTTTGAACCAACGGATGCTAGACGTTGTTTCCCATGTTGGGATGAACCAGCACTCAAAGCTACATTTGACATTACTCTAAAAATACCTGTTGGTCTTACAGCACTTTCTAATATGGTAAGCAGCACTCAGTATCTGAAATATATTTTTTTTCTCTGTTTCTTTATATTTCTTTTTTTTCTTTTTATTCAGAATCAAGATACATAGAGATTTTGTTAAATTAGTTAATATGTATATTTATACATCTGTATAAGTTAAAAATTATATCTTTTTTTAGCAATCTTGTAGTGTCAATCACACATCATGTTTATCTTTATTTCTAGCCGGTGAAAAACACAATTACAAATGGCAATTACGAAACATTGACTTTCGAGAGAACGCCAATTATGTCGACGTACTTAGTTGCAGTAGTGGTGGGTGAGTTTGATTATATAGAAGACAAGTCTAGTGACGGTGTGTTAGTTCGGGTTTACGTACCCAAATCTAAAAAGGAACAGGGCCAGTTTGCACTGGAAGTAGCGACTAAAGTCCTGCCCTACTACAAAACCTACTTCGGTATAGCGTACCCTTTGCCGAAGATCGATCTCATTGCAATCTCCGATTTTTCGTCTGGTGCTATGGAGAATTGGGGTCTGGTCACGTATCGTGAGACTTGCCTCCTCGTGGATCCACAAAACACATCAGCGGTGCGCAAACAATGGATCGCATTGATAGTAGCGCACGAACTGGCGCATCAGTGGTTCGGTAATCTCGTCACGATGGAATGGTGGACGCATCTGTGGCTAAACGAAGGCTATGCGTCATTTGTCGAGTTTCTCTGCGTGGCACATCTATTCCCCGAGTACGATATTTGGACGCAATTCGTAACAGACACGCACATCCGAGCACTGGAATTGGATGCCCTGAAAAACAGCCATCCTATCGAGGTACCCGTCGGTCATCCGTCGGAGATCGACGAGATCTTCGACGACATATCATATCACAAGGGAGCCTCTGTGATTCGCATGTTGCATGCGTATATAGGTGACGATGACTTCAGAAAGGGCATGAATCTGTACCTGAAGCGGCACAGCTACGCTAATGCGGAGACGGAGGATCTCTGGGCTGCATTAGAGGAGGCCAGTAACAAGGCTGTGCGTAACGTCATGTCGTCGTGGACCAAGCGACAAGGCTTTCCCATTGTCAAAGTAGATTACAGCCAAGAAGGTGATAACAGAATCCTGTCGCTGTCTCAATGTAGATTTTTGGCCGACGGGTCGATGGACACTGCGGAAGACGTATGGATCATACCGATAAGCGCGAGCTCGTCGCAAGATCCGAATAAGACAATATTCAACGGAATATTAGACGCCAAAACGAGGAGATTCGTGATTGAGAATGTACCGGAGGATGCATGGTTGAAGATCAATCCCGGCACCGTCGGCTTCTACCGAACTCGTTATAGTCATTCCGCTCTGTCGCTTCTCTTACCCGCGATCAAGGATCACACCTTGCCTCCTTTGGACAGATTGGGTCTGCTGGATGACCTCTTCGCCATGGTGCAAGCCGGCCACGCGTCCACCGTGGAGGTTCTCGAGCTCATGCAAGCATTTCAACGTGAGGACAACTTCACGGTATGGTCTAGCATAGTGAACACCTTGAGCAAGATCGGCGTGTTAGTTTCGCACTTGGAATTTGAGGATTCTTTCAAGGCGTTCGGACGCAATCTATTTCGCGACATTAACAACAGGTTAGGATGGGATTCTAAGCTGAATGAGAGCCACTTGGACACGTTGCTCCGGTCCCTCGTGTTAGGTCGTATGGCGGCTTTGAACGACCAGGATACCATCCAAGAGGCGAAGAGGAGGTTCGAGCTCCACGTAAATGGTACGACTCTCGTTGCCGATTTGCGTAGTCCGGTTTATCGTGCCGTGCTATCCGTGGGCGATTTAGATACATATGAAACTATGATAAAACTCTACAAAGAAGCTGATCTTCATGAGGAGAAGGACAGGATTCTGAGAGCGCTGGGCGCGATCAAGGATGAGGTGTTGCTGTTGAAGGTCTTGGATTTCGCCATGAGCGACGAGGTGCGCGCTCAGGACACCGTGTTCGCTATCATGTCCGTGGGTATGACGTACAAGGGACGCCTTATGGCGTGGAACTTCTTCAAGGAGAACTGGAAGACGCTGCTGGACCGTTACGAGGGTGGCTTTCTGCTGGCCAGATTGGTGAAATTCACCACGGAGAACTTCGTCACCGAGGAACTTGCCAAAGATGTGGAGAACTTCTTCGAAGGTCACCCGACCCCGGGTACCGAGAGAACGGTGCAACAGAGCGTGGAGTCCATCAGACTGAACGCCGCGTGGCTCGCCAGAGACAAAGACTCGATCCGAAAGTATCTGACCACTCAAGTTTAGTAAATGCGATCTTCACGTTTTCCTCGTTACCATTAATCAGACATAATCGGAAACCGTGCGAAGGCGAATTTGTATTATCGCACGAAGCGTCTTACTCGGTATTGCTTAAATATTGCCGAAGCGGCGTCAATTAGGCGACAGGGACGGTCTCTCGTATACGAGATAATCCGCAATAATCTGGTACGAATCATGTGTGTGTGTGTGTGTGTGCACGCTTAACGGAACTTAACGCGAATTCAACGTTGCTTTCAACATACGGTCGAGAATTCTTTCGAGAGCGAAAACGAGTGGGAAGATACCGTTTTGTATACCTGTTATACCTCACGACCGACGAGTCATCTTGAGCTAATGCAGCATTTTACAGTGTTCTTATACTTTCTAACTTTTGATCGGTATTGTAGATTAGTCGTTTGTTATCGAAGGATGAGATTTTCAAAATATCCAGGGCATCATTTCTTGGTCTTTATATTTCGAGTGGGGTCCTTATCGAACGACATCGAATCTTTATCGTTTCAACCATAGTTATTAAAATTCAAGTTATTTCTTATTGCTGTTATATCGAGATAAACTTTTGTTTCTTTTAACGAAACAGTGTTCTCAGTGTTATCATCCGATTAAGACTAAAATACCAGTTAAGAGTTAATTCCGTTTATATTGTTATTTACTCATGTATTACGATCCATTTGAGTTATGTACTCCGGATTTTAGAAACAAGTTAGTCCGACAGTGTTTTCATGGTATGAAGAAATTACACGATTTGCTGCGATAAAGAAGAGAATTTCTTTCACATGCGCTTGCAGAAACACATACGATCCGATTTGAAAATCAGATGAATTGATTTCAAACGGGAGATCAGCAATTTTGTTCAGCGTATCTAATCGGTACGCGTAACGGCGACTTATTTTATGGAATAAAATGCGACTTAAGAAAGAACCGTCTTGGAGAATATATAATTAAGGGCTTGCGAGTTGGTGTTGAATAGTGGTCGTTACCTTTGCCGATTGGACAGGGGTGTTGCTGGCACTTCTCAATTGACACGAATGTCACAAAAGCGTTTAGAAAATTTTGCATATGTTTGAAACATCGTGAAAAGTGTCGAGAGAAATATTTGTTATATTTTTTTAGATGATGTAATTTATAAAATTTCCTAAACCTTTCAGATCGTCTTCGCGTATCTTTCGGACATTTTTTTTTTTATAATTTTTCAAGAATTCCTCGGATTTCTTGAATTTCTGTTATTGCTATTTTGGTTATTGCGTTATCACTGATAATAAACAGCGCGCACTACTATTACCTCGTTAGTGGTACCTCATGAGCGGCTTCATCCACGAATCAGCACCAGCTTCCGAGTCCTGTACATAACTTATTATGTAATCCATTGATATGTACAAATTACAATCTATAATATAGACGATGAGGTTGTTTATTTGAAATATTGATATTAAATGCAGTATACGTGCCATAATCATTTTAAACACATCGGTTGTCACTCCTCCGCTTGTATTAGAAGAAAGTAACCACTTCCGACTTTATCGTCGTAAATTGAGGACCTGAAGACCCTTGGTTTAGGTGTTCCTTCGATATAGGTTTTCACAATACGTTCATCCTGTTATCAATCTCTCTTTCTCATCTCTAGTTGTAGTTTCTTGTAACTACACTCATATATGCATTCTTCCGGTGCCTTCTTCTATTTTACATTGTGATCATTCGCGTATTGATTTTTCAATTTGCTCAAGATGTTGGACTTAAAGATCGCATTGACGATAACGCGATTGTGGTTATATCATCATCAAACAGAAGACGGTATTGATCATCTTTTGTAAGCATACATTTAATATATTAAAATTTGATGGTAAATATCCGCTGTGCGCAGTTACTTTCAACCCCTTCAGTCACTCATGACTTTTCGCCGAGGAAAAGAAGTACTTTATATAATTTCGTATGTAGAGAAAAATCCTGTAATTTATAGCAGGGTTTACGCATCACAAGTAATACATGAAGACAGTGCGTTAAGAAATAAAAACAAGAAAGATAGATTCTTCGTTGTGCTATAAGAAATCGCGATGTTCCTCACTATCTATCGACTGTCACGAATCGCTATTCCCCGTAAATCGATTTCATAGCGGCACGTGCCGAAACAAGAAAGGAGGATGAAGCCGATACTGAGTCAGCCTTCATTTCCATTATCAGCGTGACCAGCGTTCACCATCAGCAAGTGGTCGGTTACCAGCGAATAGTCCGCTACCCTCGTGTCAGAAGAGAAGTCTCTTTCGTCTTCTCTTCTCTCTTCTCTCTCTCTCTCTCTCTCTCTCTCACACACACACATCGCTGCTTATTACGAGCGTCTGAAACAGCGTGGAGCCGTGACAAAGAAGGGAACCTATCTCGTTAGATGCCTCTTGATTGAAGTACATGGTACGTCTACTTATCTCAAGAGTAAGTTTGAACACAGGGTCATGTTCTGATCTCCAAGGGTGGAGTTGATCACGAAGTGCAGAACTGAATAGAGATTTACATTAGATTTAGATAAAGTGGATTTTTATGCTGATTTCGCGTTCAGACGCGAGAATTCCCGCTTCGTTGCGCTTCTTTAAATTTCGATCTTCGTGAATTTTTGGTACAGTAATTCCGATAGAAATAACCCAGTGCGAAGCAACATGATGATTTCTTATTATCTCTTTTACCTCATATTATAACATCGGCAGATCGATTTCCTTTAGACTTCCGATATATCTCATGGCGATACCGTTATGTGTGCTGCGCTTTGTTCTATTTATAGCTCAATTTTCCACACGATTGTTCGCTTTCTTCTCTTTCTACAATCCGGACGTATATCTCTTTTGTTTCCAACAGAGAAAACGGATCCGAGAGACACTTCAAATTTTTCTCAAGCGAAATAATCGCAGCTGCAGCCAAGATAGAAATAAGGTAAGCATAAGGCTGCAAAAAAGGGTGGAAAAAGACTGCGAGTCCGGAGCTTTTTCACAGCTTATGCTGTTCGACGGCAACATTTCCGGATAAAGGGTTTGCACACACTAATGTTGCTGATGGATGCTCTTAGAAGATTGTGCGAATTCTCCAACGATAATAAATGCATCCACTCATTCGCCCAACCATATCGAGGGGAACCAAAAGCGAACACGAGTTGTCCAAGGAGGAGGATGAAGGGAAGAGAGAGAGAGAGAGAGAGAGAGAGAGAGAGAGAGAGAGAGAGAGAGAGGAGAAAGGGAAAGGAGAGGGGGAGCCAAGGGGGCTAGAGTCAGTTCCCGTGGGTATACCCCAGACCGAGCGTTCCCAGGAACGCGCACGTGACCCGCGCCAGAAGACGATCAATACGGACTTTGCGAACTCCTACACCCCACCGGAACGACGTGTCACCCTTGTACAGTTCGCACACATTCTTCGCCGACGAGACTGATGGCGATGGCGAACGACCGGCCACCCCTCTTCGCACGTGTGCGTAGATTGTTGCGCGCACGTGCGCCTATTTAGTCTCCCTTATCCGCTACCCTTGTCCTTCCGTTCACGATATCGTCGAATCCTCGCGGATTTATGCCTCTACAACGACGATGCAGCCCCGAAGACACGACTACCAGGCTGGCGTCTGTTCACTGCTCACTCGCTTTCAACGCTATATTTTTTTTTGCTTCACGAATGATGACAGCTGAATTCGACTCATTGTCCTTGGGATTTCTGGGGGAGGGAGGAGGCAATCGCGACGTCTACGGTTCTACAATGCCTGGTGATCGGATTTATTCAACCGTTTGATTATTGTTTCCAATAAAATGATGACGTGAACATTTATATCCTGGAGAATATTCCGGAAAGATGCTAAAAAACAAGCTCTAGCCGGTAGATTTCCGACAGATTTATTTTTACCGTCAATATCGTTTGTCGCATTTCTTTCATTTCCAACGATAATTTCATTTCGTTATACCTTTACCGAGAAAGACGTCGGACTGCGAGATTGCGAATCTCGTTACTCTCAAAATTGTACACATGGTGGGAACAACGTGGGATATTGCATGAGTAAAAAACAAATTCACTGATGTAACTTATAGACACATTTTGCGTTTATTTTGTGTTTACACGTACACGTGTGTGTTGTGTGTGTACGTGTCCGAGTGTATCATGCCCGCGCAATAATGTACTTACAGCCTTTCAGTCTTTGCAAATATACAATAATCACGCGGGCTGAAAAATGAGGGGGAGGATTAGCCTTTCCTAAATTATAACATAAGGGTAAACTACGATAACGATATAATAATCATACAAGTAATCAAAGATACTAGCGATACAGTAGAGCGTGAAATCTTAATGGAAAATAAACCGGGAATCGAAAGGGACCAGTTGAGTAATCTCGGTGAATTTGATTGTCCACGTCGCCGAGGAGACTCAAGAGACGCGAGAATCGCATCAACGTCGTCGGGACAAGCGCGAATTTAGAGCATGCGTTCCCTCCGGAATCCGGATTCTCGTTTCACCGCTATTACACCTGCTTTCGATTCCTCGAAACGAATTTCTCTCTGTGCTATCTACAAGTTGCTCCAACTGTCGCCGATTGTCGACGACGAAGCGTTTTCCAAGGAGAGACCGTGCAAGAAAAGGCGATCGATCGGCGAGCAGTTGGGCGGGGCGCCGTAATGATTCGAGTGTAACAAACATTTGAGAGAAGGAGGGGAAGAGAGAGAGAGAGAGAGAGAAAGAAGGGGGAGAGCTTTTGCCCTCTGCCTCTTGACGGTGCATCCACGTGAAACCGCGAAAGCGGTGGTGATCGATGACAGGACAGGTCTCAGTGTACAACACATCGATGCTGGTCGCGGGATGAAGAGTCGAGCCGAGCGATCGCCACTCCGAGATCTCTCGTCGGAAAACGTTAATTTATTTACCGATGGGAAATTCCCGCATTGTGTCCTCCTTCTTACAATCCACCTGTCGCAAAACACGAAAGCCTCACGAAAGAGGCACGATGTTGCGGCCTCGCGGCGGTGAGACATCGGCCGAGACCGAACATGGAATACGGTAGAGTCGACTACATGGACGAGGAACAGGGGGGCGGGACGGGGAGGGAGGTCGTGCCGGATCCATATAACCGATGAAAGAGATCTCATGAGGAATGCGATGAGCCTATGTACAAGTGTATTTACAAATTCCTCTCGCGCGCAGGAAGAGAAACTTCGAGATCGGGCTCTCGTGCTTCCCCTCGTCAACGTCCTTCTCTTCATCACCGTCATCTTCGTCTCGGGCGCAAACACCGTCGAGCGGACTACCGTTTTTCTCTTTCCCTTCGTCGAACGATCGATCGATCAACACTCTCTTGCCGCGGAAAGTCAGCGACGTCGTGGTTCTCAAGTCCGCGGGAGGCCACTCGAGCACCCTTCTTCAAAGATGAGCGGCGCCCGTTCGTCGCGAAATCTCGCTGGAGTCGCGGTCAGCCCGCGAGGAGCGGAGTGACCTCTCGCATGCGACCTGTGTCTCAGTGCTCGCTCCTGCCGACAGGTCACCGTTCGGCGATGGTCGCGGCGGCGGTGATGGACGTCGTCGTCGTCGCCGTGCTGGTGGTCGAGGCAGTGCTGCCGGTGGTCACCGCGGCGTTCAGCAGGGGTTCCAGCGGCTGCCTCGACGACTGCATTGTCGTTGTCGTCGTCGTCGTCGTCGTCGTCGTGTCCTGCTGCGCGGCGTTCGTCTCTTCCAGGGTGGTCTGCAGGTCGCAGATGTACTCGATCACCCTCTGGATCACCTCGAGCTTTGACAGCTTCCTTTTGCGCGGCATGTCCGGCACCAGCGAGCGCAACTTGGTCAGGTACGCGGCTACTTCCTCGGCCTCCAGATCGCGTCGTGTGCCGCCAATCCCCAGGCCGTTGTGTAGAACACCGCGATTGGGCGGCACTCGGCCACCCACCGGGCTCACCACCATCGCCTTCATCGCGGCGGCTACCTCACCGAGTCAGTTAGCGATCGAGATGATCAATTCGGCCGGCCCGTTCGCTTTTTTCTCTGTCTGTCTGTCTGTCTGTCTCTCTCTCTCTCTCTCTCTCTCTCTCTCTCTCTCTCTCTCTCGTTCTGTCTCGTTCTTCTCTCACGACACCCTCCCGATGTGTCTCGCGCGAGAGAACACGCTGCCTGATCGCTCAGCGGATGACAATTCCGCGTGCATACACAACACACACACGCATACACACGCACGCACGCACACGTACACGCACACACACACACACACACACACACAAATAGCACGTATCCGGTGTGTGTCCTATCGATCGTGGAGAAGCTGTTGATGTCAGTGTTTATCAGACAGAGAAGGAGCGAGAGCGGTAGTGGTAGCGGTAGGCGAAGAGGTACGAGAGTGACGAGCGGATGCACAAACAATCCCTCTACCTGTCTTCTCTGTGAATTGAGTGTGTAGGTAGGTAGGTAAGTATTGTTTCCTTCCGTTTTGCTTCGATCGTACGGAGCAGGCTGAGTATCACGTGCGTCACAGGTAAACGTACTCGTCGAGCGCTCTATCACGAGCAATTCGTCGCACTAACTAGTCGCATCCTCGGCCCAGAAGAAGGTACACCGTCCGTACGTGCGTCGTACGGACAACTACTGGTCGATGATTAAGTGCGAACGGTGCGAAAACGTAGTGCGGATTGACTGCAGGATCGACCAACGAACCACAGATAATCGTTTGACGGATCGAAGCCGACTGGCCTCCGCCCCTCACCTGCGACCTTTTATAGCCTTCCCGAGTCCCTCTCCGCGCGTACCCCTGAGACGCTCCCACCATTCGTACGGCGCAATCGCTGCCTGAGTGGCGCGTAGCGATGGACTCGAGCGTCGCGCGAGTCCGGCCATCGCGACCCATTTTCGCTTCCCTCGCTCGATTGATACGCGATCGGTTGGGATTTATTATTTCCCCGTTCTAACGCGGACAGCACTCTCGATCAGACGTGGGTTATACGTCCTTTTAAAATGTTATGTATGTACCATCCCAAGTAGTAGTAGTAGTATTTGAGCAAACAACCTGCCTATCGTCCTTTATCGTTAATTTCATGTAGAAAGAAATGCGAGATATAGATAAAACCGACGAGTGCTGCCGAGAATAAATATATGCAAATGCATCATTCGTGATTTCCTGTTAAAAACAACAAGATTCTCTGGTATGAGCTTGTCGTAGCCGCAAAATGGCGCCGATGCGGAAAGCAGAGGAAGAAACGTTATTAAAATATAATAAATTCGACTGTAATTACACGATGGATCGCCCAGCAGTCGTATAAACCGCAGGAAGACCACGAAGACGATCGCGACTAGAGTGAAATCTTTATAACCATCGAACGAGAAGCGCGACACGAACGTGATTAGCAGAGAATAAAATGATTGAATGATGAAACAAGGTCGAGAGCACCGGAGGACCGGCGGAGCCGGAGCGTGCGAACAAATCTCGCGACGAGATCCAGTTCGAAGCTGTCAGTAGTCGGGGGTGTTTGACGACTATGCGACTGGCGGCGTCGGTGGAACACGAAGGGAGTGTAAAGGTAGGAGGGCAAGGGGAGAGCGACCATTGTTGAACGTCCGGCGGCGCCAGCCACTAGCCATCACGGCCACAACCACCACGTAGACATCGTCACTAACACCGTAACGCAGAGAGACCCACCACCACCATCACCACCACCACCACCACCACCACCACCACTACCATCACCACCACCACCACCACCACCACCACCAGCCGAGACTTACGCTCGATGTACGGCGATCGTTCGCTAACCTGTGCACCATGATTCCGGCTGCAATTTTCTGCAGCGGCCAAGTCGCGCGCTACGTTGCGCGAGTAAATCCGCGCGAGCGCTCGCGCTTGTTTACGGATGGCTCGGAGAGCCACCGCAATCACATGGGAACACGATTGTAAGTTTGTAAATGCGTCTATTTCGGGCTGTGGGATACGCTTTATACGGCTACACAGAGAGGCCTCGCGGCAAATCGTTCCGCGATAAACCATTGTCGCGACAACGTGTTCGTCGTTCTCTCCTTCACGGCGTGAAGGAGGGAACAATCGTTGACGGAACGACAGAAAGAAAGAGAGAAGGAGAGAGCAGCGGGAAGGAGAGAACGAGAGCGAGAGAAAACAGCTGTTTTTCGCGGCTATACTTTTAGTCGATAAAAAGATAATCAAATTTTCACTCGCGACAGACAGTGGAGAGTCGTAAGTATCGCTAGGAGCGGAGAATTGCTGTGATTTACGCGAGTTGTTTAGTTCGCCCGTAGCCGATTTTGCACAGACTGAGGGGGAGCTCCCTCTCGACGGTGTTAGATATGGATTTCTCGTCTTTCCCTGCAAGATCGTCTTTCTTGCTAATTTATCGCCTTTACGTTCGTATGTCAAGTAAAAATAATACGAGCGGTCACATTGTTATTCAGTTCTCCGAAGGATATCGATCGCAGGGAATCTGCAAATTGTCCTCTCACAAATGCGCGATTTTGCCTTGTTCGCCTCCTAGCGGCGCCACAATGTTGCGAAACCTCCAAATAGTGGCCATGAATCAATTGTCGCTATAATGTACTATAGTTGAATGAAAAGCATACTATATTATAAATACTAGTACTTTATCACTAAAATAACATGTTTTCTAATTTTATTATTTTATTTTTTATTTTTTGTTTTTTTTATTTTCTTTTTGCTTTTTTATTTTTTTGTTTTTTATTTTCTTTTTTAGTTTTTATCTTCTGCTTTTTACTTCATATAACTATTAACTAAACAAAATATTTAATATAACTATTCATCGTTGTAGCAAACTATATTTGCTACAACTGGATTTGCAATTCAATAACTTTTTTAGGGAAGGGATCGGCTTTTTTATCTGAAACTTTTTTTAAAGACAAAATGATGGGATCTGAGGAAAGAAGAAATCTTTTAAATAAAGCTTCATTCGTCGCAATTCTCGAGTTTTTTCTTGTATGATACTCTCTCATATCTCTACAATCTTTATTTTTACTATTGTTTACTACATTATTTAATTAGAGCTTAAACATTATTGTTAATTATTATATTCGTAGTTAACATTAGCAAAATTAACTAGAATAAAGAATTTTGACAGAGGATATAATTTTTGTGTTGAACAATATTACCTGCAGTAGACAGCGTCTGACCGTAAGCGCACTGAATGTCAAACTCTGCTCATTAAATTTATCATATTTTTGTAAGCGCTGGATATCGCTCTTTCTACCTTTGCGTAAGGATTAATAAATATTTTATCTTTATTTTCACAAAGTTACAACATGGTGCGAAATAATGCATTTTTTAGATATCACGATATAAGTGATTAATTATATATTAAAAGTGAGTCCTGTAAATCTAATTTTTATTGTATATACTTATAACTTTCTAATATACTCTTTATTGGAAATAAAACTACACAGATGAGATATTAGACAGGGAACATCATCTTCATGATAAAAAATTGTTTCAACGCAAAATCAGTTATATCATTTGGAGGGTTATAACCTAGCTATTCTGTACTTCGCATCACGTGTACATTTGAATTCGCTTATCTTCGTGATACAATTGGATTTCATCAAAATGTTACAACTTATTAATTTGGACCTTTTAGAAAATATATTGAAAATGGGAGCCGAAAATTTCGCTTTTTATTTTTTCCTATTTCGGCCACGTTTAGCGATTTCTGTAACACTGTGCGGCGTGGTGAATCACGCAAGAAACACCGCCGAGCAGTTGTCAAAGATGCCGCGTGCTCACCTTGCTGCTTTTAATTATTACGTATTTCATAAGTCCTGTCATGTTCTCGAAGGAAGTGAAATGTCTGTTCTTGGCATCACCGATTCCATTGTTTTTTGACAGCTTTGCAGAGCCAGACCGCATCGCTCGATCGGCCATGTTCGAACCACCATGCGAAAATAATACCAGACCGGTGAGTTACCTCAGCGCGAATAACTCGTTCGAGTTCGTTTGCGTTCGAGGTGGCGACGTTATGCTTCTGATTATACCGTATTTTTTTTCTAATCGCCTATTCCGCCAGATTGGCGTTTGCTCGCGCTTAGCATTTGCGCGGAGTCTCGTTACCGGTCAGGGCAAAAACCCACCCGACGATATGACGGTGCGTCACGAGGTGAAAAAGCAGACGAGGAAGGGAGGGAGGGAAAAAGAAAGAGACGCAGAGGAAAAGAAAAGGAGGTGAGGTCCTCGATAGGAGAGGAGAGAGCAGGCTGGCGTAGCGGCGACACGCTCCGTAGAATTTCCAGGCGACGACGCTCCGGCACGCTCTCGTCCGAGGAAACGAGCGGCCTATGAAATAATTGAGGGCAGCGGGGTAGACCCGCGGAATCATTGACAAGTGCCCGCCGGTGCTTCCCCCCGCGCGATTCTCGCCGCAGCTGCGCGAGAGCTGCGCTGAAGCTACGACGAAGTACTCGCGAACAATCATCGGCGATTGCGCGCGTCAGCGGTGCGATAAGTCGACCCTCTCGCGCCGCCAGAAATAAACCGCTATATTTACCATATAAAGCGGTTACAATTATAATTGCGCAAGACGTAGTTACGATGTAGCGAAATTCATGATCGACGATCATGCGCGTTTCGCCGTTCCGCGGACGTCAAAGCGATTCAGCGGCGGCTTAGAAGAGGCTCTCCCTGTCGGAATGACAACGGACAGAACGTCACGTTTCGCTCAGCAGGTTGCTGCCTTCCTTCCTCCCCTCCCCCCCGCCGCCGCTTAGAAAGTGCATTTCTGTTGGAAAACACCAGGTGTTCGATGAGTCGGAACTCGAAACTGTGACGAGATCTCATGATCCCCGAATTATATTCCCCCGCGAACTACACCGTTTACAGAGACACCCTTTTCCTCTCTCGAGCTCTCGGGTTCTGTGTTACTTTCGCTTGGCGATTTTCGAGAAGTTTTCCCCTCTCGAAAAGCTCCAGCGCAAACACGTTTCACTTCAAAGGCGGCGAATGCGGGAAAATGCAGCCGAAAGAAACGGACACGCGAGTGTGCGCTTGTCTCACAGCGGACACGCTCTTTCAGCCGCGTTCTCGTTTACGCGAGTCTTTTATAGACGACAGTGGGGTCAAAGTAAACGGAAAACGTGACGTTTATCACTTCCTCAATCCACTCGATACTCGAGCCGCTTCAAAGAAAATCCATCGGGCGAAACAAGCTATCTCGCGGGAAACCCGCCGACTTATTTGTCCAGTATTAAGTGCGCGCGCGCGAGAGAGAGAGAGAGAGAGAGAGAGAGAAACGTCATTCTACCAAGCGACATACTTTCTTGTGTTCGATAATACGTATGGTTCTTTTCACACGTCGACGATATCGATAATCGCCCGTCTATCGCCGTGGCGCAATCACCGCGTTGACCGGCGCTGTGAAAAAGCCGGCGCGACGCGTCTTTCGTTAATTTATTTATAAAGCGTAACCGATCACGCGTACAGACGCGAAGAAGACGCGCGGTGCCAACGGCGAGTTGATGAGCCGAGATGAGAACAGACGAAAAATATATGACAAGCGTCAGGAGTTACATTATTTACGGTATCTTCGAGATTGCTTGAGCTCCGGTTGTGCTTTCGAACGATCGATCAATGGAGGTCAGTCGCGATGTCAAGAGAGATCAGTCGCGACTACGTCGAGACGGAGATTATCGATGCGTTTGCGCGCGGTCGAGAAGGAAAATCGCGTTCGTACGTTCGTACGTTATTCGGAACACGGCGGTGGGG